GGATGAGAAGTACAAAACTAAGTAATAAAAAGAATCCCTGGATATGAAGTTTTTGAACCCTTCAAACACAGCTGGAGGTAATGTTCTTCTCATTAGAAAACATGACTGCTTAACACATGTTTGAAGAGCACTTATTTGGTGAACCTGGCAACTGGCTGGAAAAATCGTAAAAGATCCAAGAGTATGTCCAGGACACCGCGAAACCCTTTATTCAAAGGTACATAAGGCCATCCCAGAATCCATGTAAAAACTAGCAACGAGAATCAAGAAATTGATAAAAACAGAATGCGAAACATTCTTTAAAAAAGCTAAACAATAGAATCAACCCAGTTAATGATTAATTTTTCATCATTATTATTATTATTATTATTATTAATCTGATTCTCCAAAAAATTTTTGATTTAAATTTATTTAAAGCCAAAATAAATTTATTTTGTATAATCAATTTCAAAAGTTAAATGATTAGCAGCGTTATAATTTAAAGGTTATATTTATTGTAGGGTTAGACATTAATAATAAACTAATAAATTTTTAAAAATTTTCATAATAAAATTTCATTCAGGTTTGAATGGTGGTTTCAATTTATAAGCCAAATGCGCCTTGGGCTCATTAGATTCTGCCTATTATTAGGTTATAATAAAGACTACTATAATGACAAGTAATATAATTAATCAAATCTTCCTATTCTGATGATCATCAGATACCTGAAAAAAGGTCTTTAATCATATTTTAAAGCTTTTGCAGCAGTATAAGAAGAATAAATTAAGTTTAAATGCTTCAAGATTTAATGATTCATTATTCAGAAGCCTGCAAGGAAAATTTGTAAAGATACAAAACATACACATATGATAAGTGCATATAAAATTAAAAAAATTTTTATTAATCAAAAACATACTTTAATTTATAAAGTATCTTATCCCAATTCATTAAAATTATTAAGTTGGAATGGCTAGATTACTACGCCAACTTATTTTATAAGTTAAATAACACTTTTTTAATCTATCAAATTCTATTATCTTAATCGCAAATCCTTATTGTTATAGTGTTTGTTTTCTAATTTGATACAGAAACCAAAATTTTATATTTTAAGCATTAAATCTCTTACAAGACACCCAGAAATATTCTATGCAAAATGATTATTATTTTTTTATGTACTCAACTGGTAATCCCCTTTAGTTCTCAATTATTTCATAGAAATTAAGCCCAATTATAATGAGTTAATTATATAACTTAAAATTATTAAGATATTTATTATAGATAGCTGTATGAATATAATATTTACTTTTTTGAGTGTTGTTTATATATTTTAATTGTGAATTAATTATTTAGAATGATTAGCAGTAATTCCTGAAAAATTCTTATTATTGTCTACTCTCTAAGACTTAACTAACACATTATTGTTATTTTCAAAACTTTAGAATATTAGGCGCATCAATAATTTTTTTACTTAAAATTGCAAATTTTTACATTTTAATGATGAAAGTAAGATTAAGGATTTATAAAAATTTCGATTATTTATTAAGATAACTTATTAAGTTGTTTAAATATTAATATTATAGAATTTTATGTCAAATCCATACTAATAATCAAATCCTCAGTACCCTCAATAAAATTAATAATAATACCCCTAGCAATATCCCTAATAGTACTCTTAGTAATATTCCTAATAATAGTAACCCTATCCTTAATAACAATAACAGTAATACCCACCATAATAATAATATTACCAATCCCAATAACCTAATTACTAATATCAATAAGTTTAATAGCCTGTCCAACAATAGCCTTATTATCAATAGACCCAACCTCAACATAATGTTGTGATAGATGAATAATGTAAATTATAAAATAAAATTAGAAAAAAACCCTTTGGTTGATTATGATCTTGGAGAATCCTTTTTAAGCAATGTTGGGTTTGATTAAAGAAAGAAATTTATTGTTAAGGTTTATAGTTTACTAACCATTCAATTATTTGTGACATTTTTAATGGTAGCTATTGCATGTTTCTCATAAGGATTCAGAGATTTATTAATTAATCCATATAGTTATTAAGCAACACCATTTTATTGGAGTATGTTTGCTGTTGCCTTTATCACTGAAATCGCTATTTTTTGCTGTAAAAAAGTAGCAAGAAAAGTACACAATATATAATATAAACAAAAAGGTTCCCAATAATTATATTGCCTTAACAATATTTACAATTAGCTTTTCATTTGTTGTTGCTGGTTCATGTGCAGTTTGTAAGGATGCTTTTGAAAATGGTGGAACCTTGATCTTGATTGCTGCACTTATGACATTTGCAGTCACTGCTTCGTTAACTGTCTATGCATGCAGAACAAAAACAGATTTTACTATGGCAGGTATTTATTAGAAAAATAGTGATTAGGAGGTGCTTTATTCATTCTGGCCTCTATAATGTTTATCCTCTTCATCTTTGCCATTTTCTTTTTTAATATCATCTTATGGCTCTTATTATGTTCCTTATCCGTAGTCCTTTATGGTTTCTACCTAATTTATGATACTCAATTGATTATTGGAGGAAAGGTAACATGATCATAATATATTTAGTCTCATCAATTAAGTATTGATGATTATGTGATCGGAACTATGTTCATTTACATCGATATCATAATATTATTCTTGAGAATATTGCAGATTCTGATGATATTGTTTGGAAAAAAATGAAATATCAATAAATACATCATAAGTATTTCTATTATTTGTGTTATGCTGGCTTTTTTTCACTTCCATAATATTCATGATTTCATATATTATATTTCCATTCATGTATTTATCAAACATTCATATTTAAAATTCATTATAAATAATAACCTATATCATACTTTAAAAAATATACTCTTAGACTAAACCATTAAAAAGTAATTGAATTGATCCTTCTGTAGTTTCATTTCTGGATTGCTCAACCTTTCATTGAATATATTATTCATGTATGTCAAGGCCAAAGTAGATTTTATTCTTTTTTACTTGTTTACCCTTTCTTAAATTATCATTAAATTAACTCAAAACAATAATGGATAACTAAAATTTTTTATTTTTATCCATAGGGGCTTATATTGGAGTAAGCATGAGATTAGAAATTGTATCGATAGTTGGCAACATACTTACAGAATAAACAATACCTATGGATATATTTGACAATTTTATTGGATCCTTTGTGATTGGATTTTATAATGAAAGGTATAAAAACAGAGATTTCAGTTCTCATTTAGCTATCAGCACAGGATTTTGTGGATGTTTAACTACTTTTTCATCTTGGATTATAGGTGTCATTGAATTAGCTAATTCAGAACAATGGTATAATTGCATAATTAATATATTTATTGGAAGCACGGTTGCATATTCTGGATTCAAACTTGGCTAGAACGCTGAAATCGAATTCAAATTTCCATTCCATCAAAAATTAATATATTTAGCATTTCTAAAGTTGATAATATTTTAAGTACTATTTCAAAGATGGAGTATGATTGTAACTGCATTATTATCACCTTTTGGAGCAATTTTAAGATTTTATATTAGCAAATTGAATCATAAAGAGTTCCCATTTGGTACTTTAATGTGCAATTTATTTGCAGTTTGGATAGCTGAAGCACTCTTGATTTAGAAAATCCATTATGATGATAATGGCAAGATGATTATAAATTCTGTACTAAAAGGGTTTTGTGGTAGTCTCTCAACAGTATCAACATGGATAAAAGAAATTTGCATAATGTAATCAATTGAACTAAGATTTATGTATTATTGGATTTCTATATTTTTGAGTGTTTATATTGGATTAGTTATATACCAATATTTACCTTGAATATTCAATTTAATGAAATCAACTAAAATGATCTTTTTATTTTTTGATGTTAACTTATTATTAAATTAGATTCTAGTTGTTTTATTTATCAGATAATTTAATATCTATTTCGTTAAAATGGGCTTTATTATGAGTTTCCTTAGTTTTATTACTTCATACAATTAAATTCATAATTTTAAAAAGTTTCACATATGTACGATTGAATGTATGTTCAAGAGTATTAAATTAAACAAACCTCTAGGTTTAATTTGATCTATCTTGATTTATTAGATGCAAACATATTTATCTTGAGTTCAATACGGTTTGTATATATACGATTCAAGTCATGAATTTCAATAGGGCAGAATAATTTAAAGGGTTATAAGGATTCTAATCATTTTAATAAAATGAGCGAAAAAATTAAATCCATAGAAATTAAATACATAAAAAAATACCACTCAGTACTTGAATCCCATTAAATAATTTGTTTATATCCATTAGTTAAAATGTACTTCCATATTAATTATGATCTGACATGTGCCATAGCCAATTTCATAAATTAATATAGTGACTTAAGCATATTTAAAATTTTTAAGGCTGAACAATAGTAAAAAGGAGACACCTCACAACCATAAACAGAATAATAAGTATAATAAGATAAAGATGATATTACATGGGATCACTTTAAATTTACTATTAAAGATAAAGAAGGTAAAGAAGAAAAAGAAATAAAACTAATAAGTACAATGGTTGACAAACTCGAAAAATTACAAGAAAATATGCAGGGTTTCAAAGAACAACTGTTTATACAATTCTCTATTTGGAATGAAGATTAAATATATGCCTATCTAAGCAAATGTATAAAGGTAATTAACTATATTGAATAAAAGTAAAAAACAATAATGGATGGAAATTCTGACACTTAAAATTTGGAAGAGGAAATTGTCGAATAATTAAAAAATGAAAAAGAATGAATAAATATAATGTTATATATCAAATAAAATATGTTAACTTAATGCGTTTTCAAGGCTATGTATTAAAAGGGCTTTAAAGTCATCCCTTTATAAAAAGTGCTTTATTATCTGGGTAAAGCTAAGAAAAAATTACAATAATTCTAATTATTCTTAAGGAAGTATCGGAAGAAAATTACAAAATCGTAGCCTAATAATTCTAAAAAAAACATTTTCACCAATAAGATCATCATCATAACTATTCCTAAAATGAAGTAGTAGATATTCAAGAAACTAAATATTAATCTGATAGTAATTTTAAAACTAAGACGCTGAATTAACAGTTAAAAAATAATACTCCTGAATGATGAGAGCAGATCTGCAGTGAATTGGAAAATATGTCAATCAATAGAAAGTCTTAAGGAATCCCTTTTTAAAAGAATGAAAACTAATAAATTCATTAAGTCAAATTTGAAATTTATCTTTTGAATAATAGAAAGGAATAAGAGAAAATGAATGTTTGAAAAGGAGAAAGTTCAAAAATTAATTGAATAGGACAAATAATAGAAGTAATTAAAAATTATGGAATTGTACAACATATAATTAAAAATAACTTTATGCAATTTTTGGGATATTATTGTTCAATTATAGAAAGTATCCATATGTTTTATAGCAATGAAGAATGCTTGCAACAAATACCAGATACCTAAAATAGAAAACCAGCAGAGGATAATAAATTAATCCATTAATAAGAATTTTAACATAATGAGAGTACAATGATAACAGAGATTAGAAAGCTTTTACAAAATTCTTTGAGTAGAATTATAGTTTTAGGGCTTTAAAATATATATATCCAAGAAGAATATAATTAATTTAAAATCAAACTTTAGAATTAAAAATTAATTAGATTAAGAAGGCAATTTGAAAGAAGATCATCTATGCAATTCCTTCTTAACAATAGTAGTGCGTTTTTGAAATAATAATTTTTGAATATCTATAAAATATATTATTGTATTGTAATAGTTTATAATCATTTTTACATCTACCTTCAAAACTCTTATTTAAACTTTCTATTAATAAATTAAAAGTTTATAATATTAACTTCCACAATATGGAAATTTAAAAAAAATTATATATTAGATTAAATTTGAATATAAGAATTTTCGAAATTAAATTTGTCATTAACAATTATTAATTATGCATTTACAAACAACTATCTTGATAATTAGTACAGTCATATTGATAAAATCAACAAATTTGAACATTAGTAACAGTTGCAAATGCTCAGAATTGATTTATTCAAATGACTGTTTTAGTGGCTTTTCAGATTGTTCTTGGAATACACGGAAAAATTAGTGTGTTGATGTGGCATGTTCTGACATCGAGTGGTCAAATCATTGCAATTGGTCATCAAATAGATGTTATTGGTTTGATAAATAGTGCCATGATTTTACATCCTGTCAGGCAATTCCAGGCAAAGACCAATCTGAATGTATTTCAGCCAATATCTACTGTCCTGCTTCAAATGGAATTAATTGTTTACCCATGTAATATCAATAGGCTTGTTCGGATATTACAGATCCAGACACTTGTAATGACTATTTTTCCCCAGATGGCAAGTGTATGTGGAAAGAACAGAAATGTATCATTCTTTAAACATGTACTGAATTGTGGACTAATACAACAAAGTCATGTTTACCATATGTTTGCTATTTTGATTCTCTCACCTACATGTGTAGAGATATGACATGTGCAAAACACACAATGGAATCTTAATGTGATTTTGGTGTTCCAACCATAGGTCCATATTTAAATAATTTTATTCCGTGTGAATGGGATACTAAAAATGGAGTGTGTAGAGAAGCCAATCCCAGTGACTTGAATGTTGATGACTGTTATGGTAATAGTGCAAGGACTTACCATTGGAGTAATAGCAAATCTAGTAAAGGAAGTTGTGTCCCTTGTCAAGGTCTCATAGTAACTATGATTATTGAATTAATGGTGATAATTATTATGTGAAAAATACAATTATTTAACAGAATCTTACATCATTAATGAATATTCTTAGAGAAAATATTAAATCAAATAAGATTTTATATTGATTCAAGTTTTAAATCGAATTTGATTGATTAATAGTAAAAGAAATTTGATTGCAAAGATAAGATGAATAAGTGTATTTTAGAGATAATTGGTTTATTCTATGACAGTATTTTAATTCTGAGCATTATTATAATTTTTTAAATATAATATGTTAAACGAATTAATCCAGCTATTTTGCAGCAATGGTACTCATTCGAGTGAATTGTTTTACAATGCCACTTTACAGTTGAATGAGTTCTTGGATAAGAAAGAGATAATACGATGCTTTCCAAGGGTGTCAGAGAACCTTGGAGATCAATTGGTATAAGATATTGATGGATAATTAATAGCCGAATCTAAGGAAGGCATCCCATTAGCTTTTCCAGGCGTACATTCGTTTTAACGAGAGTTTTGATGGTGTCCTTACTGCAATGCTTAGTAGAGGTCTAATTCACCCTAATGTAAGAATTTTTTAGTATATAATATAAGTGGGTGGTGAGATAGAAGAATGTGAATTCATTGCAATCGCTGTTTTTATCAGAAGGATAGCATTTGGAGCCTGGGAGTGGAATGGTTAAGAATATGGTGGAGATGTTGTTAGGGAAGTTGTGCGATTGTAACATAGCAGTTTGTAAGGCCACAGAATAGGTATGAATATGTTTATATTTCTAGACTTTGATAACTTTGATTAGTTTGAATTAATATAAGTAATGTCATGCATAATTGCCAATGGGAATTCAATCTCAAGTGGAGCATTTTGTAGAATAGATGAAGGAAACCAATTAGATGAGACAAGAGATCAGATTGAGAGAGCCCACACCTAATGGATTGCCATTCGACAAGTTGGAAGACTTGAAAGATACATAGTGGCAGATGAGAGCTGAAGCAATACAAAGAATATATGAGGAACTGTAAGATGTAGTCTTGACTCCTTTATAAGTGGAGGTCTTGTTTGAACATATTGTAAATTTAGTTAATGATCATAACTTCAATATAGTGTTAACTACTCTATAGATTATGCAAAGATGTTTGTAGTTTAACATAGTGAAGAGTAGCAACATAGTTAATATATACACTAAGCTAGGGGATTCGAAATCAGCGATCAGGACTGCTGTTAGATAAGTGTTGGTGATGTATTTGTAGAAAATTGGAGATGGAGAATTACTGATTCAAATCTTGTAGTTGCCAAACAAGAATTCTTTTTACAAAGAAGAATGCTTAGATCTTCTAATTGACTTGGTCCAAAGAAATAAGATGCTGGTAACCTGATTCCTCAATATGCAGCTTTCACAACACCTCGAGTTGGCCATCAAAGAAGTGGCTCCTTTCCTCGAGGACCAGAAATAGAAACTGCGCTCTAAAGCCATCGACACCCTTACTCAGTTGGCCACAATCAATCAGCCTTTGACCAAGCGAGTGTTCTCATAGCTCTGTATCACTGAGGATCTCTTTAACTAAATCGATGTTAGCACCGCATCTTCTAACAAATCTGATCTCCCACAATTGCGATTCAAAAAAGAACAAAGAGACCCAAAGGAACAATATACACAATCTTTACCTGAACCTAAGCATTAGTAATAATTTGACATACCCATTTTCCAATCCCAATAATAAGGATATGTGCCTACCATCATTTCTCAGCCCCAAAAATAATAGAGAAGTGCACAAAAAGCTGAATCTCACCCTCAATCTTCCAGCATTGAGTTCAGAAATGCTCAATAACAGCAGGAATATAATCAGCCACCAGCCACTTAACAAAGCAAACCGTTTAGAATAGTTAAAAATCCATAATAAGACATTCCAGATCAAGACACTGGTCTAACTTACACCAAGCCTTTCCAAAGAAAACCAAAGACTGAAGCAGATAAAACATTCTAGCCAATTTATTTGGATGAAGTCTTGCCATTAGATCAACCAGAATCTGTCCTTAAGACCTTGCTGAATGAATTAAGATATGATGATTGGAATAGGTAGTTTGAAGCCCTCAACAATCTAAGAAGGTTGGCAAAACACAATACTGAATTACTCAGAAAATCGGTCAATTTCCCATAAATCTTATAAGAAATGGTCAAATAAATTGAAAACCTAAGGAGTGGAGTGTCTAAAAATGCTTTGATATCTCTGTAAGAACTGAGTGATATTTATAAAAAAGACTTGGATTGTGTGCTGGATTAAGCTCTATAAAAATTAATAAAGAAAGCTATCGATCTCAATACATTTATAAGTGAAGAAGTTAGAAAATCAACTATCTCTTTATTATAAAATTGCAGTGAATAAAAATCTATTTCTCTCATTACATAAGTTTATTAGAGCAAATCAATAGCTGTTAAGGTGAATATCTGTTACGCATTGAATAATTTATTGGATCCCAGCAAATACTATTTTGAAAAAATGCTTCAAATTCTGTGTGTATATGTTTGCGATCAAGGTTAAGAAGTAAGATAAATTGCTAAAGAAGGGTTGCTTAGCTTAATAAGTTAAATTGATAAAAGGGAACTAGAATCATTGATCATCAAATTGGCACCTGAGGGAGAATGCAAAAGAATTCTGACAATCATTAATGGTGAATCTACAACAACCTCTGAATTTAGAAGGTTTGGCGCTACTTAAACAAAAGAAGCTAGAACACCAGAATTAAGAAATAGAACTCCTAACAATAAAAAGTTGTCAGCTGATTTTGAATAGATGCCAAACTATATGAATTAGGCAGAAATGGGCAAAGATTGGAAACAAAAAAAGGAGGCTATTGATTGGCTTTGCAATTTCGCAAAAAAAGAGGCTTAAGCTTTGAATGGTCATAAATACTCCAATAAGTTTTTGGATCTCCTATGTAAATTAGTCGATGATGGAAATAAAAACATAGCGTTGTATACTTGCGAATAGTTCATCCAATTAGTTGAACCACTTAAAGTATTTTATTTTAAATACTATTTATTAGCTTCCTATATAAAATAACTATGTTAATATATGGAATGGAGTATTTAAAGCTGTCTCGTCCACAAATAATTAAGTAAGACAATCAGCTGAATCCCTATTTCACGAACTCATGATACAAATTGACATTCAGTATTCATTACCTTAAATCTAACATCTCATATTGTATGGTCCAGCCAAATCTAAAGGCATAGCCATAACAATGCTAGCAAGTAATTTACAATATTAGGATTAGATTTTGTATAATAATTTTATGATGAGCGACCTTAATTAGTAGTGAAACACCTTGTTCCTTTGGCTAAGAAGTTGCAAGAAGAATAGAAGCCAGACATTAAAATAGCATCCTAGAAACTATTTTAAGCATTGGTTTCTACATGTCCAAACGATGTTGCTCATTTGAAGTTATTAAAATGAATATTATTATTTATTATAATGTTAATTAAATTTACTCATCATATTAGCTCAATGTGTATCTGATTTTCAATTGTTTCTAAATAAATCTGTTAATTAAATCTTTGTTTAATACCAAACATCTTGGTGTCTAGATTTGTGAAGAACTCTGGCCATCCATTCATAAATTTAATTAGTTCACCCTCAATGTACTAAATCCTCAATGCAGCATTTAGTTGGAACTACTCTTGATTCTCCTTGCTCATAAAAATATTTAATAATTCTCCTTGAAAATAGTAATCCAAACGTTCCACCAATATTTTAGCTTCTTAAAAGATTTCATTTTCTTCCTTATCCTTCTGTCCACTCTCTATCAACGTCTACAATACTTAAATCATGGCTGGTTCATTATCCAAGAAATACTCCTCAGTCAAATATCTGATATGAGTGTGACAGGACAATTGAATAAATCCTTTTGACACTAAAGAGGAGGAATCCATATAAATAACTCTAAATGATTACACAATGCAGTCATATTTGATAATATCTCTGTATCTCCGTTCCTCTTTATATGGTCTTGGCTGGATTTCAATAACATTCCCAATTGCAATTCCCAAACATTGATCTTCAGCTTCCTTATTATCATTTTTTGTAACCTCCACAAACATAGGTTCATTTGTTCTATAATCACACCCACCAGAGTTATAATACTTATTCTATTTCTAAACAGTTTCATAGATCTTGACAATAATCTCTCCTGGACCTCCAGTGTAATTACGCATATCATTTTATTCTAGATCCCATGGGGGTCTATAAAGATTTCGTTTAAAAATGTTGGTAGAATCAGGGTCTGCCTTTGGTTTTGCAAATTTAAAACAATTTATATTTCCATCAGAGTTAGGGAAACCTTGTATTCTGCACTTTCCTTTGAAGGTTTTCCTTCCAGGCAAAGTGTAGCCATCCACAATAATTTTGATTCCCATGACTTCAGTTTTATTGTTGTGTTCTATTAGCATTATGAAGTGTTGATCTACTTAACCAACAATGCATATGCCTTCAGGAGTCATAATGTGTTGATACTCATACTGTTTACCCTTCACTCTTCTATATGGATCAATAAATCTGAGTTGAAATTGCTAATCATTTGAATGTACCATTAATATTTTATATTGATTGTGTTCATCATAAAGGATTTGATATATTTGTAAATAATCAATGTTTTATTTTGCTTATATAATAATAGTTACTTTTATTAATAAAAAAGAGTGACAATTAAATTTGCAATTTATCCTAAATGCAGATGTAAATTATTGCAATGAGGGAATGGAATTAAATTATATTAATTTATATATATATATATATTGAGAAACGGATAATGAGAACATTTATCTTATTAGGATTATTGTCCCTCACCTTCGCAGTGACCATTAGTAATTAGGGCACTTTAACAAATCCAACATCACGAGTGGAAAGAATTATGACTAAGTTCATGCAATTAAGTGAAATGAGCACACAATTCAATTTTAACAAGCTTTTCGATGCAATTGACTAATTGAGTGCTTAATTAAAAGTACCATTGTGTAGTCATACTGATAGCAATCTGAAGTAGACGAGAACAATCTATTTGATGCTGACTTCGCTTAATATGTCGAGGATTAGGCCTTTTACACAGATTTAGTTACTTTCTACACGGCAGAAGTAGCTTAGCACACAGAGGATCTGAGATCTTTGAATAACCATTTGGAATCATATCAACAATAATTGACATAGAGACAAGAGGAATTGGATAGAACTCAGAAACAAAAAGCCTAATTAGAAGAGACCATCAGACAAAATGAAATCACTTACAATAAATAAATCACCGATTTTAATACAGCAATAGATGTTTTAGATCAAGCTATTTAATTATTGTCTGGGTTGAGAAGTAGATACATATAGCATATATTTGATTAGATCCTGTCTTAATATAAACTGAATAAGATTAACTCAAAACCTTGGCTACTAAATTAAATTCTATCAATTTGAAGAATCATAGAGTCTTATACTAACCAATAGTTGATATCTTTATGTAGCTTGCATAAAATAAGTATGAAAATTAAACCAATATTAGTTTGGCTAATTAAGATCTCCTCAAGAAGGTGCTTAATATGTTGAATGGACTCAGAAACTCGTTAGATGGAGGCAGAAATGCATTAACCAGCAATTACAATAGCGAAAGAGCCTCCAATTTGGAGTTGTTGGAGTCTTACAACAAGAAGATTGATGCTCTCGTCAATGAAGTGATTCCAATGTTATAAGATTTAATTGCAAATACAATTGGTATGCAATTTGTTGATTGAACCTTATAGAATAAATTAAGGTGAAGACCGAATTGTTGAACAATGCCTAAGCCAATTTGGATGAAGCAAAAGAAACCTTGCAATTTATTGAAGATAGATGGGTTAAAAGAAAGGCTTAACATGCAGCATTGTTAGCAGAATATGAAAAAGAATAAGCACTTATAGCTTAAACTATAACTGTTTTGCAAAGAGGTGGTGTAAGAAGATAATGATTTAATTTTTATTTTATTTCACATCGGAGGCATACTCATTCCTGCAGGCATCATAGTTTATTACCCAGGTAAACCCATTCCCTTAGGTTATGAAATCAAACCAATATTCGGTGCTCCTGTAACTCCCTGTCTTGTTATTGGTTGGGCTTTTCCTGGTCCTGGTTATAATTCTTGTTTCTTTGGAGGTTGATGAGGAGGGGCTTCAGCTGATAATGATATTATATTATCGCCTCTTACGATGATCATTCCCAAAGTTCTTTTGGTTTCGATTTCGTGGATTCCTACCTTATAAATTACTTCTACCTTGCTTTCTTATTCTGTATTCTTCGCATTCACTCAGAATCACATTCAAATGCTTGTCAAAAGCTAAAAAGGTTCCAACCAACATACGTCCATCGCCTAAAGTAATACGAACTCTGTAATCAATCCACTAAAAAAATTTACTTTTCTAAGACATATTTTAATATATTTTAATATATATATTCACATAAGATAATTTATAAAATACTTTAATTAAACATAAATCAACGCTTGAAGCAAAAGTTTCTAATCTCCTGAAATGCATATCTGTCTGGCTCTGAGAACATTTGTTAAACTGCTTATTGAGCTGTTTTCTTTACCTTCGTTGTAGATTAATTTTAAGAATTCTCTCTTTAACTAACAGTCTAAACTCCAATTGAATTTGTCTGTTTTTGCTTTGGAATCTGACTAATCAGAAACATTAACCCTGCATTAATCTACTCCAACATCTCCTAATCCTTCTCCCTTTGATTTAGTAAATAGTCCATCTTCTATTTCAATTCCAACTTAAATTAATAAATTCATTTACTTTATAATTATTCTCAGGAACTTAGGCTTCTTAAGTTTTCTATTAAGATTCTTTTACAGGTTTATCAGTTCTCACTGTGAAATCACTCAAATTCTCTGATAAACTAGAGTGCTTTGATTATTCTCTTTGCAAACTAAATTCATTGGAATTACCAAAATTTTTTATCTACTGTTTTTCCTTTTAAGTTTCTCTTATCTCATTCCAGTTCTCTGATTCACTTATTCTATTGGTTTTCATCAAACCATTATTTGTTCGTTTTGTTTTTACTAACCTTATATTCATTACCAATTACTTTTCTGTTGCAAGACAGAAATTAAATTGATGATCTAATCTTCATTTGAATTATCCTATTCTTCGTCAGAACTCATTTGATTGTCGTTAAAATTATAAATTAAAATATAAAGAATAAATGCAATTTATAAATTGTTTTTCCTTCTCATACTTTATTTTTGTTTTCTAAAATTAATAAATATTTTTGTTGAATTAATATTTGCCTTTTGTAAATTAACAGTGTTATAAAGTAATGAAATATAAGTTTCATTTTTATAAAAATAAATGATTAATATTAATTTAAATATATGATATAATGATTAATAATATATTTTCAATTCCTCAAGATTATCATCTACTTTTTATCCTTTTGTCGAACCATAATCTAATCAAGAGAGAAATAAAGTTAGTAACGAGAATTATAAGTATTAAACAAACCTTTTTATTACTTTGTTCAGGTGAAAAATTAATTTCAATTAAAAGTTGTGATACTTAATTACTCAACCTTAAATATGCAGTTCCATAATATGATTCTTAACATTCAAGTACTAACTTATCAATCCTAACTAAATGAACTTAATGATAAGATTGTCGTATTATCTCAACAAGTACAAAATGTGATGTATTGTACCTTTCAATTTGGGTATAATTATTATTTCTCAACTTTTAAATACTGTCTATAGTTTTAGATTTTGATAAAAAGCTTATATCAAATACATTCACAAATTTATCTTCTTCAATTTCAAAAGCTGCAACAACATAATTATTATCAATAAAGAGTAACTTCTCAAATATAGCTTCACAATTGTATCGTATCATTCCATATTAGACTAATTTCAATTGATCTAAATTATTTTAATTAAATGTTAGTTTCATTAAATAAGCTAGATGGTGTTTAAGAAAAATAATAAACATGATTTCAATTTGATTTTCTTTTGTGATAATCTAATAGATTGAAATTTTTTCAAAGACCACTTTATCAAATTTCAGATGAATATCACCAAGAATATCATTCAATTCATAGTATTTGTAGAAAATGATATNGAAACATTAACCCTGCATTAATCTACTCCAACATCTCCTAATCCTTCTCCCTTTGATTTAGTAAATAGTCCATCTTCTATTTCAATTCCAACTTAAATTAATAAATTCATTTACTTTATAATTATTCTCAGGAACTTAGGCTTCTTAAGTTTTCTATTAAGATTCTTTTACAGGTTTATCAGTTCTCACTGTGAAATCACTCAAATTCTCTGATAAACTAGAGTGCTTTGATTATTCTCTTTGCAAACTAAATTCATTGGAATTACCAAAATTTTTTATCTACTGTTTTTCCTTTTAAGTTTCTCTTATCTCATTCCAGTTCTCTGATTCACTTATTCTATTGGTTTTCATCAAACCATTATTTGTTCGTTTTGTTTTTACTAACCTTATATTCATTACCAATTACTTTTCTGTTGCAAGACAGAAATTAAATTGATGATCTAATCTTCATTTGAATTATCCTATTCTTCGTCAGAACTCATTTGATTGTCGTTAAAATTATAAATTAAAATATAAAGAATAAATGCAATTTATAAATTGTTTTTCCTTCTCATACTTTATTTTTGTTTTCTAAAATTAATAAATATTTTTGTTGAATTAATATTTGCCTTTTGTAAATTAACAGTGTTATAAAGTAATGAAATATAAGTTTCATTTTTATAAAAATAAATGATTAATATTAATTTAAATATATGATATAATGATTAATAATATATTTTCAATTCCTCAAGATTATCATCTACTTTTTATCCTTTTGTCGAACCATAATCTAATCAAGAGAGAAATAAAGTTAGTAACGAGAATTATAAGTATTAAACAAACCTTTTTATTACTTTGTTCAGGTGAAAAATTAATTTCAATTAAAAGTTGTGATACTTAATTACTCAACCTTAAATATGCAGTTCCATAATATGATTCTTAACATTCAAGTACTAACTTATCAATCCTAACTAAATGAACTTAATGATAAGATTGTCGTATTATCTCAACAAGTACAAAATGTGATGTATTGTACCTTTCAATTTGGGTATAATTATTATTTCTCAACTTTTAAATACTGTCTATAGTTTTAGATTTTGATAAAAAGCTTATATCAAATACATTCACAAATTTATCTTCTTCAATTTCAAAAGCTGCAACAACATAATTATTATCAATAAAGAGTAACTTCTCAAATATAGCTTCACAATTGTATCGTATCATTCCATATTAGACTAATTTCAATTGATCTAAATTATTTTAATTAAATGTTAGTTTCATTAAATAAGCTAGATGGTGTTTAAGAAAAATAATAAACATGATTTCAATTTGATTTTCTTTTGTGATAATCTAATAGATTGAAATTTTTTCAAAGACCACTTTATCAAATTTCAGATGAATATCACCAAGAATATCATTCAATTCATAGTATTTGTAGAAAATGATATCAGATTAAGCACAACCTCCTATTATTGTAAAATTTCTTAGACTAAGTTTAAACTACATATATTGTAAATTTAAAATTAAGTAAGTGGAATTATTAATCTTGATGGCATCAAAAAAATCAAAGGGAACCAATTCTAATTATTTATAGAGTTCATTATCAAGCAATGGTTTATTCTTGAATCTCAATTATAAATAATTTAAGTTTTGATCAGCTATCTGTAAATCTTAAATTTATCTGAAATTCTTGAATACTAAAATAAATTGAAATATTACTGCCAATGTTACTTAAGACTTTGAAATTCTAAAGTAACGATTAATTCTAATTGCAAAAATTAAATTGATTCAATATTAGTGAATCGTTATCCTTTATGTAAATCGCATGAATGCAATCATCTGGATTAAATCCGACATAGATTATGGTAGATTCTGTATATTCAGAGTGTGATATAGATGTGTTTTAATCAAAGATTTTTTTTATAATGGATGACCTATTAACACAAATACCATATCCATAATAATCACATACCTTTGAAACATTGTTAAACGTAATTGGCAAATTTACTTAAATATTATCCGTTCCAATAATCTCAACTCCCTCAATATTTCCAAAAATATTATCAATGTTAACCATATTCCCTGTCAATATTTCCTTACTACAGTTTATATATTATAATGTATAATTCTTGTTAATAATAATAAGATGAAATTCTAGATCCACATATTAATTGCTAATTTGTGAGTAAGTAGCTATTTTTAGAGGTTTATCTTAAATAAAGTCTAAACTATCTTAAACTGATTTGAAGTAAAAGCATGGTTGATACAAAGGTTGGATTTAAAGTTTTTTCTAAAAATAAAAATAGTATTCGTGCTCATTAGCAAAATCAAATGGAAATCTTTCTTCCTTATCAATTTATGTAATTTAAATTAAGCATTTAACTGCTGTATATTAGACATCATAACTCAAAATAAAGAAAGCTTAATTAGAATTTCTAGCTTTAATCATTAAAATTGACCTCTAAATTCGATATTAAAATGGGAATTCGATAGAATAATTATATGTAGGTAGAGTGTAAAGTAAGAATACATCATCCAAATTAACTTGATATAATTTAACATATTAATTATTGTTATAACAAGTGAACAGCAAAAAATGATCACTTAGTACATTTCTTACTTCAATTACCAGCTCTTTTAAAGTTAATTTTTGAACATAAAAAGACGACCTATATTTTAATTTTATAGACTTACTGTCTATGTACACATCTTCTTTTATAAATTAGAGAGAACTTTTACAATCAAATATGTATTTTGAATTTTCAAAGTCTATATTATTTGATATCAATTTAATTGCAACCTTATTACAATTTTCAAATAAATAAAATACGAAATAATTTAATTACATAGTCGCAATTATCTTCATTTTCGTTTAATACAGTTTTTTTTGTATGCCACCAAATTTTATTTTATAAATTTCAATAGCCTTTTCATATACTATTGTTATTACAATCTCTTATCTATTTATAAAAATGTCAATCAAATTAACAAGTAACACAAATTTCAGTGTTTTTACAGGGTTACCATTATCGTAAAATACAAATTGAATAATAGTATTTTCTTCAATTCTTACTAAAAGCAATTAATCTTTTTAGAACTTATGTAGAAAAAGATATTTATAATTAAAAGGGATTCCATTTAAATTCAAACTTGATGTAAATTCTATAGTTTAATAATCGACAGCTATTTATTTATTATCATTTTCCAATATCTATGTTATTTATATTGGAAGATTTCTTTGAAATTTTATATAAGATAAGCATATTAGCTAAATATTGCTATTATAATTAATTAACTCATGATGTATTTTTTTTCTTGGAAAGTATTAAATTGGATTATCTCGGTCAAATAATTTTAAATTAATGAAAAAACTAGGAAATTACGTTTATCCAGTTTGAATTACCAATAATTTATCAGAATTTTTAAAAGAAACAAAAGATTTAGGTAAGATCAATTAAATTACCCTTAACTATTTATTTGATAATGCCATAAAATATGGTAACTCACCAATTTAAATGAAGTTGTTAGTATTAATGGATATTCTATTTGAACAGATATTTTTGAATTAAACAAATACTTTATCTGTAAAGTGAAACAAATAAAATTATTTTTTAACTAAAAAAACATTTTATAACTCGACACTACTTAAATTCTATTATTATTTATTGACATAAAGTTATTAATTGTCCTAATCTATTTCAACCAATATTTTTATGGAAATCCTATTGGTAAAGGAAAATTATTTAATTTAAAACTCTGTATTAATAAGGTAATATGATAATCCCTTTGTTTTGAGAGAAAAAAAAATTATACACTTAGTGTACCCTATAACTAATAGGATTTGAGTGCTAAACTAAATATCTATTAATTGTTAAGTAGTTTGAGTAAATCCTACGGTCTCTTTTAAATCATATTGAGTAAGGTTATAAAAGGTTAATAGATTTGAAATGGAGAGGGAATAGAATAAGGTGGATTCACATAATTTATTAAATATGATTAATGTTTGATTATTATTAAATATGGAATCGGATTAACAATTAGATTGGATTGGAAGTATGATTTAATCTAATATTGATGTTGAATTGATAATTTAAATAAGAGTATTAGTTGAATTGTATTTACATTAAATTATATAAATGAATTAATCTACTTTATATAATTGATTGCAATCTTATTGATTTAACATTATTTAGCAATCTTATGGTTTCATTATAATTTGATCATTCTAAATGTAATTCTTAATTTAATATAAACATTCTATACTACCATTCTTTAATAACATTATATCAATATCATCATCATTATTCTTATTAAAACTAAATATCCTTTCATTCCCATTTAAATTATTCAATTACCTATCATCTATACTAATCTCCTCTAATATATCAACACTATAATTCTTCATATCAATTTTATCTAAATTATCATCATTAATATTTATTGCATATTATTCATTTTTTACAAAGATCTTCTCGTCCGGATAAATATTGTAGTTCATCTCCTCTAATAAGGTGGTTACACTCTAACAGAAAGTTATCTTTATAAGCAAAAATGTATTTAAGAACATATAAATTTTTTATTAAACACTGAATAAAAATTAACATAAGCAGTTGGTGTAATTTTTGCTATTTTGAGATTTCTTTCTTTAGGTTGCAACTTAATTTTATATGACAGTTATTTCATTCAAAACGTTGTTAAAGCACTCAGATTACTGTTTTAAATCTATTTGATCTAACAAAAATAAACTTTTAAGAAATAAACATATATATATATTATAATTCAACTCTTTTAACATTTTAGATTCAACGCTAAGACAATCTAGCTTACACTTTCTTTCTCCTTTATAACTTTAGAATGAGTAAAATAAGTATATATGTAGTTATAATTATGCAAACTTCTAATTTCCTTACTTTTCTACTAGATATTTAATTATTCTATAAATTTGAAATTTCTATTGAGATTGTTGATACTTCATTACTAAGTTGAATAGATTGAATAGGTTTGCACTCATTTTAACAAGTAAATTTCAGTTCATCTAGAGTAATTAAAAACATTCCTTCTGCAGATTTAAGTACATATTAAGATGAATTGATCCTCTCCATTTCAGTAAAATAGTGATTTTCAAATTTCTAAATGCTATCGATATTGCTTTAGATATGTTTTCTACGAGTATCATAAACGTAAACAAACTGAACTTTATTAAATTCCAAATTCAACAGGGTAAAATTATTATCGACATAGAGCGGCCTCTCTAGTGAAAAATCCTTTTAATATCTCAATATTGCAGTATTTTCTACTTTAGGCATTGATTAAAAATTGATATCCATTTAATATGAAATCAAAAGAGAGAAATAGTAATTAAAAAACACACCGATTTGAAAATGAATTATGTTCTATTCAACATGAACTTCAAATATTTATAAACACTTTAAATATTAAAATAGTATAGATTTTAAACTTTCTGGAATTATCTCATTTAACATTACATGATATTATAATCTAATATCATAATTAATTTCCGTTTCATCCTCTTAAGTAATTACAATAAACTTCATCGTTATATTTTATTCTGTTTATTTGGAGAGAAAAAGAAAAGTTGAATCAATTAAATAAGCTACCTCCAAAAATGCCTCAGATTTAAAAGCTTCTATTAATTATTCGGCATAAATGTTGTTGTATGTAAACAAGTGATATTAATATAAGAACTCAAAAATTGATAGATTTTATGTTGTTTAAATTTTTTTAATATTAAAATCTTAATAATAATAAATTTATACTGTATAAATTTTTGTAATAAATATCTGGGATTGCTGCTTTTTTGATTTCTTAATAAACTTGATCTAATTTGATAGTAATTGTCATAAAATTTATATATCCTTCAATTGATTTATAAAAAATTTGATAAAATAATTTATTTTTAGATTAAACAACATTGAGGATTCTAACTATAGTATTTTCTTTTATATGGTATTGATGGTCTTCAAAACAATTAAGGATAAGGCTCTTTTGCAAATCATAGCATATTCCTTTCTCGTAAAAGATAAAATTTTTATCCACATCAGTAAATGTTATTGGATATATTACTTAATAATCGTCTAATGGTAAAATTTCAATCTTCTCCACGTTACCATATATGTTGCTTAAATTGAGTGTATTTTTGGAGATTATGGTGTGTTCTTATTTAAGTATTCTTAAATTGTAATCATCAGAAAAAGTAATCAGTTCAAATTTAACGGGTAAAATTTCATTATTAACTTAAGATATAATTTACAATTGAATATCTTCCTAGAATATAAAAGAGTCATTTATAGTGTTAGGAAAATGATTAAAGCAACTAATGGATATGCTTTTGATTTTAAATTTGCCTTAAAAATAATACAGGAACGAATCGGAGGATATGATTTAAAAAAAAGTTTCGTATTGATCAATCTATGTAATTCGAATGAGAGATAACAATGCTGTTTTCCTTACATCATAGGTTAATAAATAGTTTAAATCTTACTTCTACGCTCTGATAGTAAGGTAAACTTAATAAGTTGAATACGATATCAAGTCTTTAATTTGGAAATCATATGTAGGAAGATTATATAAGAAAATTGCATCAGATTAGCTTGTGGAAAATAACTTCAATTAGTAGTAATTTTATGCCTGTGTTACTATAATAAAGAATTGTCCTAGTACAATCGTCTTGATATTTTTTTCACCCTCCAAATTAAGCAGTTTTCTTTTAAAGCCATTAGTTGGGAAAATATGTATTTAATCTTAAGTGATAAATACTTCATTAAATGTAAACTAAAGACTGTGATTACAATCAAATGGATACTTATCTAAAAAAATAGGTTACATTTCGTTAATTGCGATATTTACATCTGCCTTTGTACAATCTTCGAATAAGATATTTATTTCTGCATAATTTTAATTGTATTTTAAAATCTATTTATCATAGTTTTTTGTAAATTAAATAACTTATAAGTTTGTAAATTCTATAAATACTATTTTATAATCGTAAATGATAACCAGTTTAAATAAATGTGGAAAAGATAAAATATCTCTATAATCCTTTTAAATCGTTATTTTATAAGAATGTTTAAGTGTATTCTTATCACAAGTATATGTTTATAAAATATGATCTCGTATCGTTATTATAATATAAGTATTCAGATATTTTTATTCAAAAACAAAGAATTTCCCTTTAGAGACCACTTGCACAATGCAGAAATCTATGTTATTATTTTATTCAATTAAATTAACATTTGATTGTTATTAACTCATGAGTATTTCAAAAGCATTTGTTTTTTATAATGTGGAGTGATGAATGCAAATTTTACTGTTTATTTGTGTATTCAAATGCTTAACATTTTAAGTTAGTAGTAAAAATTTTAGATTTTATTAAGAGAAAACTTCAATTTTGCTATAAAATAAAATTGGTGAGTGAAAAAAGAAACCTGTATTGACTCGCATTTTCTTTAGAAGATGCTAATCTTTATAAACTGTAAAAAATTTTTAAGGATATTTCACGTGATATATGATTAATTAATTTTCATTTATTGCAAAAATTAAGGGCAATTCTGTCAAAACTAATATACTTTAAAAAGATTTGGTTAGGTGTTATTTTATATTATTATTGACAAGTACCACTAATTCATCTTTTTTGTGAAAAATCATTAATTAATTAATCTAGTATGATTAGATATAAAATGAGGTACTAATATTTAGCTCCCTTTGCTTTAACAAAAATTAATTGCTGTCTTTGTTTAGTTGGACATAATTGAAATAACTTTCACAAACCAAGAACCTTTAAATAATTTTCTCGTCACGTTTGAAACGATTTTGTGCTGAAATTTTTTTCTAAAGTAATTCATAAGTGATAAAAAGATTTTCATAGTTGATTTCGATTTTGTCATTTGAACAAAATTACATACTAAACAAACCATTTGGAGTATAATCTTAAATGGAAATGTCATCTTTTAAATCATATTGAGTAAGGTTATAAAAGGTTAATAGATTTGAAATGGAGAGGGAATAGAATAAGGTGGATTCACATAATTTATTAAATATGATTAATGTTTGATTATTATTAAATATGGAATCGGATTAACAATTAGATTGGATTGGAAGTATGATTTAATCTAATATTGATGTTGAATTGATAATTTAAATAAGAGTATTAGTTGAATTGTATTTACATTAAATTATATAAATGAATTAATCTACTTTATATAATTGATTGCAATCTTATTGATTTAACATTATTTAGCAATCTTATGGTTTCATTATAATTTGATCATTCTAAATGTAATTCTTAATTTAATATAAACATTCTATACTACCATTCTTTAATAACATTATATCAATATCATCATCATTATTCTTATTAAAACTAAATATCCTTTCATTCCCATTTAAATTATTCAATTACCTATCATCTATACTAATCTCCTCTAATATATCAACACTATAATTCTTCATATCAATTTTATCTAAATTATCATCATTAATATTTATTGCATATTATTCATTTTTTACAAAGATCTTCTCGTCCGGATAAATATTGTAGTTCATCTCCTCTAATAAGGTGGTTACACTCTAACAGAAAGTTATCTTTATAAGCAAAAATGTATTTAAGAACATATAAATTTTTTATTAAACACTGAATAAAAATTAACATAAGCAGTTGGTGTAATTTTTGCTATTTTGAGATTTCTTTCTTTAGGTTGCAACTTAATTTTATATGACAGTTATTTCATTCAAAACGTTGTTAAAGCACTCAGATTACTGTTTTAAATCTATTTGATCTAACAAAAATAAACTTTTAAGANTCCTAGTACAATCGTCTTGATATTTTTTTCACCCTCCAAATTAAGCAGTTTTCTTTTAAAGCCATTAGTTGGGAAAATATGTATTTAATCTTAAGTGATAAATACTTCATTAAATGTAAACTAAAGACTGTGATTACAATCAAATGGATACTTATCTAAAAAAATAGGTTACATTTCGTTAATTGCGATATTTACATCTGCCTTTGTACAATCTTCGAATAAGATATTTATTTCTGCATAATTTTAATTGTATTTTAAAATCTATTTATCATAGTTTTTTGTAAATTAAATAACTTATAAGTTTGTAAATTCTATAAATACTATTTTATAATCGTAAATGATAACCAGTTTAAATAAATGTGGAAAAGATAAAATATCTCTATAATCCTTTTAAATCGTTATTTTATAAGAATGTTTAAGTGTATTCTTATCACAAGTATATGTTTATAAAATATGATCTCGTATCGTTATTATAATATAAGTATTCAGATATTTTTATTCAAAAACAAAGAATTTCCCTTTAGAGACCACTTGCACAATGCAGAAATCTATGTTATTATTTTATTCAATTAAATTAACATTTGATTGTTATTAACTCATGAGTATTTCAAAAGCATTTGTTTTTTATAATGTGGAGTGATGAATGCAAATTTTACTGTTTATTTGTGTATTCAAATGCTTAACATTTTAAGTTAGTAGTAAAAATTTTAGATTTTATTAAGAGAAAACTTCAATTTTGCTATAAAATAAAATTGGTGAGTGAAAAAAGAAACCTGTATTGACTCGCATTTTCTTTAGAAGATGCTAATCTTTATAAACTGTAAAAAATTTTTAAGGATATTTCACGTGATATATGATTAATTAATTTTCATTTATTGCAAAAATTAAGGGCAATTCTGTCAAAACTAATATACTTTAAAAAGATTTGGTTAGGTGTTATTTTATATTATTATTGACAAGTACCACTAATTCATCTTTTTTGTGAAAAATCATTAATTAATTAATCTAGTATGATTAGATATAAAATGAGGTACTAATATTTAGCTCCCTTTGCTTTAACAAAAATTAATTGCTGTCTTTGTTTAGTTGGACATAATTGAAATAACTTTCACAAACCAAGAACCTTTAAATAATTTTCTCGTCACGTTTGAAACGATTTTGTGCTGAAATTTTTTTCTAAAGTAATTCATAAGTGATAAAAAGATTTTCATAGTTGATTTCGATTTTGTCATTTGAACAAAATTACATACTAAACAAACCATTTGGAGTATAATCTTAAATGGAAATGTCATCTTTTAAATCATATTGAGTAAGGTTATAAAAGGTTAATAGATTTGAAATGGAGAGGGAATAGAATAAGGTGGATTCACATAATTTATTAAATATGATTAATGTTTGATTATTATTAAATATGGAATCGGATTAACAATTAGATTGGATTGGAAGTATGATTTAATCTAATATTGATGTTGAATTGATAATTTAAATAAGAGTATTAGTTGAATTGTATTTACATTAAATTATATAAATGAATTAATCTACTTTATATAATTGATTGCAATCTTATTGATTTAACATTATTTAGCAATCTTATGGTTTCATTATAATTTGATCATTCTAAATGTAATTCTTAATTTAATATAAACATTCTATACTACCATTCTTTAATAACATTATATCAATATCATCATCATTATTCTTATTAAAACTAAATATCCTTTCATTCCCATTTAAATTATTCAATTACCTATCATCTATACTAATCTCCTCTAATATATCAACACTATAATTCTTCATATCATTAAAATCTTTATCATCTACATTCATTGCATATAATTTATCATATTAGAATACATTTTCATTTTCTAAATAAATTCCACAATCCTAATTATTATTTATGAAATCATACAGAATCATCATTTGTAGCCTATTTCGACAGTATAATTAATTAAACAATCAATAGGATGATTTTCATTAATTAATTTAGTATGTAATCTAATCGGAATTTCTTGAGAAATTAAATTATTTCAATAGAAGTAAAAGTATGAGTCGATATTACTTATTATATTATAAAAAGTCAAAGTATATTTGATTGGGAAACATATAATGCGGGGGTAGAATTTGAATGGATGGGATGATGGAGAAAGAATAAATGACTTAAAATGTATCAATCTAATAATTCAATATTCTTGACAGCATTAATTATGACTTACTTAGAGGTTTCGATAATTTCCCCACCAACAATCATCTCATCAATAATTGAGTATGCCTTAGATTATGATGTTTGTTACTTTGTTAAAGTTGAAGACAATGTCCAATTCGCATACGTTTCCAAAGTATTTGTCGAGGACTTCAACGTAAAGGTGAATTAATTCAAGCATGGTGAGTTCATTGTCTGAAACATCGACACACAAAGCAAAAAACAAGCCGGCATATCTCTTATATATGATCTTGTAATTCCTGAACTAAGGTAATGAATAGGGATGCATACTTCAAGGAAATTAGTGTGCTTGGTGTCTCTGCAAACAATCAATCGATGGACTTCGTTTTGTAATTTAACTTTTTCAGCATCGTCATAGTAGACATACCACTTGGATAATCTAGTTTTGCCCTGTCTATTCTAAAGTAAAATAAATCTGATCTACAAATAATATTGCACAATAGTACCATTAGATTTATATATAATAATTAAATTTATATATTAATTATTTATAAAAGTCATTTGGTGATCCAAGGATGATTCAATATTTGAGTGATTGAAGGTCTCTTATTGCAATCATGCTAGAGAATCCCCTTCACGAAATTTTGGAAGTCTTTGCTGCTCCAATTGGGAAACTAGAACATCAGATTCATGATCTTCTTTTTTGTATCTTGTTCATTGTGAGACTCGAAGGGAGGTCTGCCTGAATAATCAGATAGAGTCAATACCTACTACCAACTCATAAGCCAACACGCCAATAGTCCACACATCCACCCTATTGTCATGGGATTAGTAATTGATCATCTCTGGACACAAATAATCTAGAGTTCCACATAACGTCTTCCTTCTATTTGATGGGGTGTGCACGCTCCATCCGAAATCAGATATCTTGAAGATTTCATTATTGAAGCATAGGATATTTTCTGGTTTCAAATCTCGATGGATCACATTCATTGAATGCATATATCCAATAGCCTCAGTGATTTACCTAATAATTTTTGATGCCATCTCTTCAGTGAATCTTCTATTTGTCTACTTCTTCATCAATCCGTAGAGATCTCCCAAGGGAGCCCACTCCAGCATCAAATACACTCTTTTTTCAGTCTAAAAAAAACCATAAAACCCAATAATATTTGGATGTTTCAAATGACTTAGAATTTCCACTTCTCTGGTCAAGGAACCTGTTAATTGGCATAGGTTCAATTGTCTCTTACTGATTACCTTCAAAGCTAAGATGAATTTGCTCTCACGCTCTCTAATTGGATATAAACAAAAGTGTTTACCTCGCCAAATACACATGTCCAAATTTACCATTACCCAAGTATCTACCCATCTCAAACCTACCCAAACTCCATTAAGTAGGATCGAATTCTTTGGTCTGGTCCTTGTTCATATCCTCCTCCTCACTGTAATTATTTCTTGTCTCTTCTTCAATACACTCCTCCATTGGCTTCCTCTTCTCTAAACAATCAAAACCTCTAGTGTTTTCGTAACTATTTGTAATATTTGACAGCACAGAATTAGCATTTTGCCACATAAATTTAACAGCAAAATTATAAATATATATTAATTAAGTATCAAAATCTTCAAGCTGTCTAATACTGGCCCAGCCATTTCACTCGTTTGCCATTCAGCCATTCCCCCTCTCTACACAGTCCACTTTTTGAATAAAATGTGCCATTTCCATGTTCCCTCCCCTCAAACCAATTCCCCTTATACATAGACCCGTCCTGATAAGTAAAGTCTCCAAACCCTTGTTTCTTATCCTTCACATACTAAGAGGGATATCAGAAATCATTACATATCCATCATACTATCTCCCATCAGGCCATGTGAATGTACCATACCCATCCATCTGATTATTCTTCCATTGCCCTTCATATTTTCTACCATCAGCAAATTTAAAGACGCCTTTCCCATTAAATTTGTTTTCTATGATTTGTCCAACATAACTAAACAAATAGATCTAATTAATAACCTTGACCCATCCTAAAAGTGAAATTCTCCAAAACCCGTCTTCATACCATCAACGAACTTTCCTTTAAAATTCGTGCCATCTGGATATTGTTCAATTCCTTCACCCTACTGTTTGTCATTGACCCAATTGCCCTCATAAACATAGCCTAAGGTAGTAACTTGCTTGCCTTTCCCATTGGCCATATTCCGTTAAAATTCACCTTCATAATAGTCTCCTGTTCCTAAAATAAGTCTGCCATATCCCCACATCTAATCATCCTTCCAGAAGCCCTCGTAGATGCTCTTATCCTGGAAGATTGCTCTACCTTTACAATGACGCAATCCCATTTTCCATTAACCCACATAAACAGTGCCGTCTTATAGTTGAAAGGGATCCAGATGAGGCAATGCTAGTTCTTCCTCTGTGTAACTCAGTTATTTTGCAAATTCCTTGTAATTAAAATTACCAATTCTAAAGATGAGATTGCTTACGATTGTTGAATATTCACTACATTTGCGATCTACCTTAATAGCATTTTGAGGGGAATGATCGATCTAGGATGATTATTGAAAATACAATCTATTCAACAACTTCAACAGGTTTATCAATTGCAACAGTTTCTTGAGCAGGAGGTTCATTGCTATGCTAACTATCAATTGTGATGATTAGACGATTCTCCTATTCCTCTTTTTTGTGTTTCCACTCTAAGAGATTAATTAAACGAATACTTCGATAGGCTCTCTAAATAATAATTGCATTACGAGAGTAATACGTGAGAGCAGAGAATTCAAAAAGACTCCCAGTATGTGGTCCTTAGGTACCACAACAAGTTCCCATTTATATTAATATATATAATTGCTTATCAAAATATTATTGAAATAATCATGATTATCTTGTAAAATGCCATGATTTTTCAGATGAGAGGAATTAGACTCTGAATCCACNTCTAGTGTTTTCGTAACTATTTGTAATATTTGACAGCACAGAATTAGCATTTTGCCACATAAATTTAACAGCAAAATTATAAATATATATTAATTAAGTATCAAAATCTTCAAGCTGTCTAATACTGGCCCAGCCATTTCACTCGTTTGCCATTCAGCCATTCCCCCTCTCTACACAGTCCACTTTTTGAATAAAATGTGCCATTTCCATGTTCCCTCCCCTCAAACCAATTCCCCTTATACATAGACCCGTCCTGATAAGTAAAGTCTCCAAACCCTTGTTTCTTATCCTTCACATACTAAGAGGGATATCAGAAATCATTACATATCCATCATACTATCTCCCATCAGGCCATGTGAATGTACCATACCCATCCATCTGATTATTCTTCCATTGCCCTTCATATTTTCTACCATCAGCAAATTTAAAGACGCCTTTCCCATTAAATTTGTTTTCTATGATTTGTCCAACATAACTAAACAAATAGATCTAATTAATAACCTTGACCCATCCTAAAAGTGAAATTCTCCAAAACCCGTCTTCATACCATCAACGAACTTTCCTTTAAAATTCGTGCCATCTGGATATTGTTCAATTCCTTCACCCTACTGTTTGTCATTGACCCAATTGCCCTCATAAACATAGCCTAAGGTAGTAACTTGCTTGCCTTTCCCATTGGCCATATTCCGTTAAAATTCACCTTCATAATAGTCTCCTGTTCCTAAAATAAGTCTGCCATATCCCCACATCTAATCATCCTTCCAGAAGCCCTCGTAGATGCTCTTATCCTGGAAGATTGCTCTACCTTTACAATGACGCAATCCCATTTTCCATTAACCCACATAAACAGTGCCGTCTTATAGTTGAAAGGGATCCAGATGAGGCAATGCTAGTTCTTCCTCTGTGTAACTCAGTTATTTTGCAAATTCCTTGTAATTAAAATTACCAATTCTAAAGATGAGATTGCTTACGATTGTTGAATATTCACTACATTTGCGATCTACCTTAATAGCATTTTGAGGGGAATGATCGATCTAGGATGATTATTGAAAATACAATCTATTCAACAACTTCAACAGGTTTATCAATTGCAACAGTTTCTTGAGCAGGAGGTTCATTGCTATGCTAACTATCAATTGTGATGATTAGACGATTCTCCTATTCCTCTTTTTTGTGTTTCCACTCTAAGAGATTAATTAAACGAATACTTCGATAGGCTCTCTAAATAATAATTGCATTACGAGAGTAATACGTGAGAGCAGAGAATTCAAAAAGACTCCCAGTATGTGGTCCTTAGGTACCACAACAAGTTCCCATTTATATTAATATATATAATTGCTTATCAAAATATTATTGAAATAATCATGATTATCTTGTAAAATGCCATGATTTTTCAGATGAGAGGAATTAGACTCTGAATCCACTACAGAGAAATTAGGTATCTTAATATTAATATCATCTTCAATTAATTAGTTATCATGATATCTACCTTATTTCAATACTAACTTCTAGTATCACATATTCAATTAATTTTAAAGGTTGGATCAAAAAAAAGTGTTGATTAAGTATAAATTATCATCAATACTAATTACTACTAAATTAAATAAATAATGTTAGTAAATTAAAATATATATAAATAAAACAAATTGTTTATGTAGAGTAATTAAGGTGGTTAGGATATTTGAATTGGGAATAAAATTAATAAATATGGACATGGCAACTGAAATTGTTGTTTTTCATCCAGCATTTTATCAAAATGTTTATAAAATAAGGAGACACCTTCACATCTTTGGCAATTTGATGTAGTTAATGATTAATCTATCAAAAGATTATTGATTGATTTGAAATTCACATTCTCTAAGAACAAAAATATAATCAATTTAATGATGTTGGATTTTTAGAATAATATAGTTGGGTAAAAAGGGTAAAGTGTTATTGATATCAATTATGAAAATCTATTGCGCATAAGCTCTACCAAATACAGAATTCCTGAGTATTCATACATTATAAGAGCTTAAAGCTTATATTAAATTCATTATGAATTTCTCCTTTTTTGAATTTGATTAGGTAATTTATGTATTTAACAATCAGTTTGACTTACTCTAGATGATTACTTAATTGAAGATTAAAGAGCAACGGTAAGTGATTTAGGAAGATAAAATGTATCTGGAAATACCAAATTCTGATGGATTACAATAGATATTTCATTCTGAAAACTACCAAATGAATAAATATCTTCTATATAAGCACTTAGGATCCGCTCTATCTCCTGTATTTCATAAAATTAAATAAGCCAGGTTTGATTGAAATAATCAAATAGAATCAACTTAGCATAGTATCTAAAGTACATATAATATTTCAAGGGATTCCTTATAAAATATTTAAGTATAAGTTGTGTGAATTGAATAATTTCAGAAATTCACTCCTTTCTAGAAAGGCTCGAATTTCTTAAATATCGATTTTGCATTGAAGTCGTAATTCTCAATAGAGCAATCTCTGATAATTGAGTAGGATACAAATAGAAACTAATAAATCTTCAAGTTGAAATTGCCTATGTATTGTGAACTACTGAATTTGAATTTGAGAACACAATTTGAAGGTCCAATGGTGGGGATGATAATTGAATGATGATTAATCGATTTTTCCTTAGAAATAACACAAAAGATTTGCAAAATATCAATTTACTCCAATATATTAATGATTAATTTCTGATGATCCTACTTTTTGGTGTTGAGCATACATTCTAAAACACTAATAAACACATTTTTTGAGATTGTTACATCCTTTTGGTTTTTTCTTAAATAAATCGTTAAATTAAAAATTCAAAAAATGAATGCACCCAAAGCCATTCCTTTCATAAAATACATCAACAATCAATTTCAGGTGGATCCTCAAGCTGAATAGTTTCTGGCTTCCCTGGGTTCAGAAAAACTGGGAGTTGTCTCTATTGTAGGCAAATATAGAACCGGCAAAAGTTTCTTTGTCAATAGAGTTCTCCTGAATCAACAAGCAGGAGGTTTTTCAGTAGGTCCCACGATAAATCCTTGCACCAAGGGATTGTGGATTTGGAGTCAAACAATCACAGCTTAGAATGCTGAATTCCCTGATATGAAGGCTATTATCATTGACACTGAAGGTTTCGGAGGCATGGACGAGAATGTTAATCATGATACAAGGATCTTTCTCTTCAGTCTTCTACTTAGTAGTTACTTTATATACAATTCAGTTGGCAACATCGATGAGAATGCCTTAAACACTTTGAATTTGATTGTCAATCTTGCTAAGGTAATATGAAATCAGTAACAATTAGGACATTTAATAAAACACTGAGAATACGTTTCCGTAATTCTTATGGATTGTCAGGGATTTTTCTCTTTAAATGGTGGATCCATAGGGAAACTCCATCAATCCAAAGCAATACCTCGAAAATGCCTTAGAATTGCAGAAGGGATTGTCTGATTCTGTGGAATAGAAGAACCGTATCAGAAGAATGATCAAACACTTCTTTAGAGAAAGAGATTGCATGACAATGGTGAGGCCAGTTGAGAAGGAACTAGATCTCTAGCATTTGGATTCTCTACATGACAGTAATTTCAGAGAGGAATTCGTTTAGCAATTGAAAGAGGCGAGATCTAAGATTTTCAAAAGAGTTAGACCTAAGTCTGTTTAAGGAAGCATGGTGAATGGCATATAATTACTGCAATTGGCTAAGGCTTATGTGGATTTAATAAATGGAGGTAAGGTGCCAAATGTTGAATCTGCATGGGGTTATGTGTGCAAGGCAGAAGGAGAGAGGGCGCTTAGAGAATGCATTAACATGGCTGAACAACAAATTGAGAAGCTGAAGACTTAGGTGATTTAGGATTTACCTGCCGTAAAATAGCAATTGCTGGATTAGGTTAGGAAATAATTCAAATTGAAAGCCATAGGATCTGAGGATGATCTCAAATAATTCACAGAAAAGTTGTCAGAACAATTTGATGAGAAATTCAAAGAACTCAAATAAAGTAATAAAAGAAATCTCAAGGTATCATTGAAACCTTATCTTAGAATCATCAATCCAAAGTCTTATAACCTCATATTGAAAACATCCTTGATAAATTAAAAAATGACGAGTTTTCTAACTATTATGAATTACAATCTGAAATGTTTAAGATTAGAGATCAATTTCAAAAGGAAGTTGGTAGAAATCAATAGGTTTCTTAGTTGTTTGATGAAATGAGCTTGCAAATTTATTAATAGGCAGCAGAAAAACTGACCAGAAAGGCTTCTCAATAAACTAATTAGGAGAATAAGTAGTTGGAATACAAGGTTTAGAATTTGGAAAAGGAATTGAAGACCTTGCAAGAAGAAAAGCATTAGTTAGAATTACAATCTAGTAGCAAATTAGAACAATTATGTAAAGAGAATGAATTATTATCGAAAAGTGAATTACAACTCAAAACATAGTTTCAATAAATCTAATAATAAACATAACAAGTTTAATAATAGAGTTAACATCAAATACAATAACATGATAAATAATTGGCATTAATTAGTTAAGAAAATGTGTATCTTTAAAAGGAAATATCAACATTGAATGATAAATCATCTTAGTTAGAAAATGAGAACAAGAAACTCAGATAAGAATTGATCACATCAAAGGCAACAAATGAATAGTTATAATAAAAGTGTCACACTTTAGATTATGGAAGAGCTTAAGAGATACAGAAGTTGCAATTGGAATTTGAAAAAAAAATCCAAGAATTAAATAATGATATAGATTCAAAGAAATAAACAGCTAGACAATAAAGTGAATGGATGGTAGAAAAATCTTATTTGGAAAATCAAGTGACATTCTTGAAAAGTTAGTTAGATGAAAACAAAAGATTGCATGATGCTCTTTTGATTGCTTTATAATGTATGTTTTACTCTCTAATTTCAAGCTTAAAACAATCCCAGTAACGATTATTAAGAGTCCACTCTTGAACTTTTAGAGACAAACAGAAATCTTTCAGCTGCTATGGATAAAATGGAGATGAGATGCAAGCAATTAGAAGAAAAAGTCACCAAACTTAAGAAATTCAAAAAGATCTTCAAAAATAGTTCCAGTATTGTTTGCCTACATTGTAATAGACAATATTAAAGTAATGGATTTAGTTAACATTTATCAACATGTATTGATAATACTCCTTGTAATCCAATAGTTCCAACTTAGTAATAATAATCATAGTAATAGTAATAATAGTAATCATAATAATAAGCTTAAAGTCATTAATAAACACATAATCAATCTCTCACTCATCCTCTACCGCCTCCTATTGATTTAAGTTAATTATAAATTTCAATCAATCAAACAATGGTTAGAGAAACTCCTGATAATAAACCTTATACTGAATACATGATACGAGTTCAATATAACTTAAAGAAATGGACTATTTCAAGGAGATATAAAAACTTCTGTGAATTGCATTAAGCAATCATCCAATAATATCCCAATTTGAAAATGCCAGAATCTAGTTCAGCCATCATCAATACAGCTGATATTGGCAGTGTCTTTAATGCTAAACGACCCACAGTCATTGAAGATAGAAGAAGAGCTTTGCAATCATATATTAGAGATTTGGCTAAACTAGATCCTGTAAGAAATTGCACAGCTTATCGCAAATTCTTAGAATTGGACACAATCGATCAAGTTGAATAACCAAGCAGAAGCATGTCATAAAGTACAACTTATGCTTAAAATTAGTGGGGTCACCTAAAAATGAAGGGCTTTAGTCGTCTAGAGATTATGGAAGAGATTCTCTATCAGTTATGCCTAAACCTTTCTGGAAGTAATCCACCTAATAAATCGCCATTGGTGCTTCTACTTCCAGGGATTAGAAATACGAAGAAGTTCCTGTGTAAAATAATTATGCCAGATAAAAGGAAAATTAACCTACATCTTCAGCATCAAATTTGAACACCAAAATTGATAGAAAATTATTGCCACAATCACCTTAATCATTCCTCAAGGCCTTTTAGAAATAATAAGAAAGTAAATTTATTCATTTAATCACTAGCAGCCTTCAAGGTATATAGAATGCATCATTAACATTCCTTATTAGAAATATCTGGAGATATATAATGATCTTATTTTTAATAAATTATTATTAAAATGATAATTAACTAATTCATTTCTATATTGATATATTATATCCAGAATTTAGGTAGTATTAAAATGTTAAGTAAAAGAATCCTAAGTCAAAATTTATAAGGTTATGAAGGTTTTTAATTAAAAATCAAGAATTGAAGATTAATTGATATAACTGAAAGTTAATTAAATTATTCTTCCATAGTATTTAATATCACTTTAAGAGTGAAAGAATTGATAAAGTATGCGATATCAACATATATTACAGCCTAAATAATTTGGTTTATCACTAACGATAAACAATTCTATAAATTTATTTGAGAATTTTAATAATATTATTATGTATTAGAGCATCATGTGTAATTTTACCTAATTAGTGATGTGAAGTGAGTAACAGAGATAGGAGAATCAGAGTAGGGGAGATTTAAATTCTTAAGCAAACAAAGGGAGACTTTGTAGTGAAATTGAATTGAATAGAAGAGCATTTGAAATGGCATTGCAACTGAAGAAAAAGCAAAACTAAAAAACTTGAGCATTTGATAATAAAGAATTCGAGTAATTTTAGGAGCACTTTGATAAGAATTGCTTTGAACTCAACGTCACACCACTTACTCAAATGAAAATTGGAAAGCAAAATGAAAGATAGAGGTGAATTTGCGGAATTCAATTAGAAAAAGCAAAAATGAAAAATAAGAAAACAAAAACATGGTCTTTTTAATAAATGAGTTACTCTGTGAATACATAAAGATTCATGTAACTAAAATTGAAAGATGATTTATATCATATATTTGCAGTTTATATAATAATTATTTGGGTGATCGTTGTAAATTAATTAGACATACATCATATGCTTCCATAATGAGTGTAAAAATATCACATAAATATCACATAAAACTTCTCAAAATATCACCAATTTCCTTGAATTCCATTTGTAGCATTTTGAATTCTTGGATTGTTAGATTAATAATTTGTTTTTGTAGGTTGCCCTTTTCATCTTGGATATGGAACTCTAATAAAATATACAGCTTTTTCAAATTAGGGTATTTGACATCTCCATTGTATTAATTGACTGTCCATTTCAACTCTTTCAACTTGCCTAGACTCAATACTTTCTTGACTGTCTCTGGATCAAAGCCAGACAGAACTTTGATTAGGTATTCCCTATGATCATCTTAAACAAGAGTGTTCTCCTTCAACCATTTACTCAAATGATCTGCAGAGATATTATTCTTTTGCACAAATCTAATCAAGTACACATAACTATTGATGCAGAATTCCGACTCTGAAGTGTCTAAGGGTACAGACTCACGTTAAAATATCTGAAGCATTGATTGGAGTGAAAAGGCACTTTAATAGGAGAGTGTGAATTTGTAAATCTCATCCACCATGTATGCGAAGAGACTCAATGGCACCTTTAAGGAAAGATTAAGTCCCCTGATCGAATCTATGTCATACACATAATTCTGCATTATTATTATTTTTCTACGAATAACAGTGACTTTTTATATTTTTATACATATTCATTCTATTGCATGTTTCAATCCTCCCAATATGTCCAGGTTGATTAATATTGGTGCAACAAATTGCTCATTCAATTTGACCTCTTGCTTTTTGCCAATCTGCACAAACTTTGTGTCTGCCTTGTGAGCCACCATCATCACCCAAGTTGCCAAAACCAAATACAACCATGGGAACAAATAGAACACTATGCAGAACGATTGTAAAATGGCCAATTTAATCAATCTCTGAGCATTGCTCTATTTCTTGATCTCTTCCATTGTGATATCCTGACCCTCAGCTGGAATCGCACCCACTTCAAATTTTGATGTGCCTCTATCAAGGAAGTTAATCATTTGATCCAACTTGGTTTCCTCCTATTGAATGTTGAGAGACAAGTCATTGACTGGCTTAAATTATGGTTATGTTGAATTCTTACATATTAAATTTAAACATTTATGAATGTTAAATATAATCCATAAAGATATGCAACAACCTCTCCTATCAGGTATCCAAAATGGATGAATCCATCGTCAAATACTGAAATACATAGATCTATGAAGAAGATCATCACAAAGAATATTACTGTGTATTCTATATTGATACGATATGCTCTTTACATTTCACACTTATGCATGCACTCCCAGATGAAAGATGGATAATCATCCCCAGGGTTAGCATAGGAAATAAGAAGGTCATCGTAAGGTATGGCAAATAAAAGAACCATCCTAAGTACAATACATTCAACAAAGTCGAAAATAGAGTTGTTGCAAACGAATAGCATATCATCCAGCCTAGCCATTACAACTTCATCACTCCTTCCTATTATTTATTCAACATGTTATAGATACTTCTTTCTTCATCCCCCTTGCTTTGTATGTGGCTATAAATAGATGTAGACTCAATGTGAAGAAGAGGAAAAGGAAGAAATTACTACAGAATCCCCACTCTTCGACAAAAGCAAAACCCAAGGCCAGTGATAATTGGAACATCTGTTACACTAACAAGGCTCTCAGACTTTGAATAAGAAATTGCTTTCTCTCTTCACTTGAAGCTTCTCCGATGGTTCTTGCTGGAGTGTTATTGTCTAACACAATATTTTATTGAATGACTGGAATTGCCTAGGAGGCTGTGGGTTCTTCAATCTAGTGATTTGATTCTTGTTGTTCATCAAATTAAGGATATGGATTAACATCTTGCAAATCGCTCATTATTTTTTAGATTATTATTATTAAATTATAATAGTTTTTGTATTTGTGAATTATCAATATATGGATGTTATAAAATCAAAAAAATATAATCGGGATATATAATAAAATATTAGCAGTTAAAAAAGTAAACTATTTTGAGTGATAACACCATCTAAATTATGAGAACTAATCGTCATTAATTACAATATTTTATTCATTTTTATACAAATTGATTTTTAAATTATGTAAGTCTAAGAGTCAGAAGTTTATAAACGCATCAAACTCCTTGGATCAGGAGCCTATGGAAAAGCATACCTGGCTGAGAGTATAAGAGACAGACAGTTATGTGTGATTAAATAGATCGATGTGTCTTTTATGAAGTAGGATGAAATTGCAGTAAGAGTATCGCTTTGATTATTATAGCAAGCATATAGAGAGGCAAAAATAATGTCGACTTTGAAGCATCCAAATATTATTAATTTCAAGGAAGTTTATAAAACCAAGAAGGGTAAATTGTGTATAGTTATGGATTATGCCGATGATGGCGATTTGGCTCAAAAGATAAAACAAACACAAGGTTCTTTGTCAGAATCTCAAGTACTTGATTGGTTCACTCAATTGAGTTTGGCTGTCAAGTATTGTCATGATCGAAAGATCCTTCACAGAGATATCAAGACATCAAATGTGTTTCTAACAAAAGAAGGAATGGTGAAGTTGGGAGATTTTGGCATTGCCAAGATTTTATCAACAACTTCTCCATGTGCAAAATCAGTTATCGGTACTCCCTATTACATGGCTCCTGAGATGTTTGAGAATCAACCATACGGATTTAAATAGGATATATGGTGTTTGGGAGTAGTTCTTTATGAAATGTGCAATAAACGACCCCCATTTGAAGGTGATAACATCGCTCAGCTGGCTTTGAAAGTTGTCAGATGTGAAATAACTCCCACTTTGGAGTGTTATTCAAGCAAATTAAGAAAGTATGCAATTGCATTCACTTCTAGTACAGTTTAATAGGGAAACTTCTCTCTGGGAAAGAACATCGACGACCAGCTATCAATGAGATTTTACGAGAGTAATTAATCAGAGACAGAATCAAGTCATTTCTGAGTGAAACACTCTAAAAAGAATAGTAAGCCATCGATCAAACAACAAAAGCCAAAAGATCTGTCCAGTAATTACCACAATTGAAAAAAAGAATGGCTACTCCAAAACAAAGAGCCAGTCCTAGTGTTCACAAATTACCTGAAATCAAGAGAACCATAGACACTCCCGATTTTAGTAGGAGAGTGCAATTAAAATAGAATCAATCATTTATTCCTGTTTAATCTCCGAAAAAGCAATCTCCAAGAAGAAAGAATCAATTCTCAGAAGGTCCCGAAACACCCAATAAAATAATGAAATCCCCTTCCCTAAACATACGCATTTAGAGTGGCAAATAGCTTACAGACAAACACATTTAATTAAAGAAACAAATCAAGTCATTTGATCGTTAATAGAGTGGTAGATAAATAGTGAACAATCATTAGAGCAATATATTTTTTAGTCCAAAAAGAAATCCCTAAGAAGAAGAAGAGAAAGTATTGGATCCTATAGAAGAGGCTGACAGTACTCCATTAACATTGACCAAATCCAATATTGATTTCTAGGATTTCAATAATTCCATTGAAGATAGAAGGAAGAAAAACAAAATTATCTACAAAGACCCTTTTAAAAAAGATGATGAAATGAGTCAAATGATTTCACAATTGCAAGAAATAGTTGAAGATGATTTTGACAATTCACCAATTAATGAATAGATTAGAGTATAATACAAATATTTATTATTTTAGAATCTAAAAGCAAGATTGATTTAAAAATTAGGTAGACATTTTGATGAAGTCCTTAAGGCATGCTTATAGGTTTTTAAAAAGTATGGTGATCTTGGACAAAGTGAAATGGTTAGCATTTTATAATCAAGATTCTCTGGTGTCTCTATAAAGAAAGTTTCTGGAATAGCAACACTCATTCTCACCCTTATTATTTAAACTCATGGAGAAACCATTAATACTGAAGTTTGACTATTTATAATTATATCATGTTTTATTATCTATCAGGAAGATTTAATAAGGATGAGATGAATTCTATTCTTTTCACTTTCCTATGTTTAGTATTAAACTGAAGAGAATCAGCCAGTATTCAACATTTCTTAATTTTTATAAATAAAAGAAAGTTTCTAAAGAATAAAGGCATATGTGAACACAATTCTCAATAATTTATTCTATCAATATATACATATTTTTTGTTTTTGTATTTTGTTATTTATAAAATCATTAAGGCATTGAGCTTTTGATAATATTTTTGAATGGACTCAATAGATCCATGTAGGTCAAACACACAGCAAATTCAACGTCAGTTTATTGTAATGACTAAAAGATATATAAATAACGTTACTTTTGATGCAATCGGGGTGTTCAAAACCAAACTTACTAATGACAAAGAAAATACTATAAATATGACCAAAAATAATGCATTGTCAAAGAAAATGCACAAAAATAAAACTAAAAGGTAGAGTATGCTTCCTGCTGTAAAAGTAGCTAATTTTCTATTCACAACTATATGTGTAGTCTTTAATTATTAGATAACTTGATCCTATGAACCTTCTTCATTCTATATTTAAAATATTTTTTTGAACTTGCTAATTTTATCTAAGATAGATTCCTCCTCAGGTAATTCATGAGGTAATTTCAAGAGTGTCGCATTCAGTTAATTAAAGTAGTAGAGTGAATAAAGAATGATGGCTTAAGCGATTGAAAAAGATCGATCTAATTCAAATCCACTAAACCCTATACAAGCATTAAAACTAACAAATCCAATGACTGTCCACTTTATATAAGCTGGTCCGTAGTGAGTACGATTGCGTCTCACCACAAGAATCTAGACCAAACTATTGATAGCAAATATTAATAAGGAAGTCTATATGCAAAATGATGTGGAATCAAAATGTTGATTATAAATCTAATAATTACGAACCCCAATCAACAAAAATCCTAATAAAACAGATTAAGTTCTAAAAATGAGTCTCTAGTGTTACACCTTTTTTAGATAAGAAATTTTACTATTTAACGATTTTGTCGAAAGATTGGTAATCCTAATCCTAGTAAAATAAGCAAAATCACAACTATATAGAATGTCCATCTAAATTCCGTTGAATGATGTCCTATATCAACAACTGTTTGACCTACCCATTCTATAGATCCCAACTGGAAAAACAGAGATAAGAAGGTAAATTAATGTTGGATTTTCTTGTAGTATTAAACCAGGAATTCCTTTCTAGTTTTTAGATTAACTGTTTAGTTTTTTATCTCCTATGCTGTTTCCCTCGTCTCATTTAGTTCGATATATTAGGCTTAAACCTATTGGTCTTATGCCCCCTAGATTATTAATTCAGTTTGATTCGCCTCTGTCATTATAGTAAAGATAATTATAATAATTTAAAATATAGATCAATTCATTCATTTAATGATTTATATTTATCATATTTAATCAGTCTCGAATTCCTTCAAATTGCAAACCAAATTTAATCACTGTTTTGGTCATCTGCTCGTTTCAGTAAGAAAGCAGGAATAAAATAATTCAATGATAGGTTAACAAAAACTGAAGAATATCCTACATGCTTCTCATTAATATCTATTAATCTATAAACTAACAAGATTTAATCAATATAGATAAAATTACAACTTAATTAAGGAATAATTATGAAAATCAAATTATTATTATGGAATCTATTAGTGTTTATTAGAAATTTGATTAAATGAGCGGATAAATGATGTAAAAAGGAAAATTTATGCATTCTATATAAAATTTGTATAATTACTAGAAAATTACATATAATAAATTTCTTTTATGGATTATTAGATGATAACATCATTAAAATACGAAAATAATCTGGCAGCAATGATTTAATTCAATAAATTATGATATTTATAAGCTTATCACTCTTGATAATAGCAGCATATGGAGCATAAAATGCTATTGTGAACATTCCTTCAGATGTGTGTCAATGTAGCTAAATTTCTTCATAATTGGATTGCACTTTGGCAAATAGATGCCAATGGAGTTTCTAATCATCTTCATGTGAATCTATCACTTGCTCAAAAATTTCAGATCAATATAGCTGCGCATTAAATTCCTAGTGCTATTGGACTGGATCAGCATGCGCAGAATTGAAACACTTTAGCTGTTAATCAATCTAATTAAATGCTCAAAATGGTCTCACTTCATGCTCAGAAGCAAATATATTTTGTGCCCCTGACCCTAAAAGTACTACCACATGCATTACAAGAAGTTCATCAACAGCTTCCTGTGCTTCTTGTACCACTAGTGTTGAATGTGCTAAGAATGGTTTGGCATGCAAGTGGGAATCGGCTACAGGTGGGTCTGGTACTTGCTAACCTATTGGATGTCCAAATTTGAGAACCTAAGAAGATTGCCTCTATTATGCTACATCTACCGCATATAAGAGTTTATAATTATGTACATGGTAAAATGGAAACTGCATACCTGCTACAACAGCCCAAGTTTCCAAATATTCGTACAATACATGCTTCTTGAATACTTTAGGAACATACACATTCAGCTCAAACAATGTGGACGATCAAGGAAATTTCAAAGGCTATTGCATGAGTTGTTTCGACCTCATATTATCAGGGTTAATCGTATTGGGAGCTTTGATCATTTGATAATTTAATAAACATATAGAATATGATAAATTTATAGAATTCCTCATTCAATAGCTACAGCAAATCCTTATTCCTGCTGTCGCCTCATTGGTCCCAATGCATTATGCTTATTTTTACGAGCAGCGATCATTCTTTCCCTGAGCTAATTAAATTATTATAAAAGGTTATATATACCTCATTATCTTCTTTTGTTTGGAAGTCATCTTTAGGATGATCACCTAATCTGTATCCAATAAAGTCTATAAAGATATAATTAAAATAGTTACCTCCTTCACTTAAGTTGATTGGATTTTTTCTTAAATTTTAGCAAGGATTTTATTATTGCTATTGTTATTGTTATTATTATTGTTGTTATTATTATTATTGTTATTATTATTAATTCTTACTCTATTGACCTTTTTTCTTATTATTTTAGTTTCCTTAGTTACCCTAATTACCTTATTTACCCTGCTTGCCCTTACCCTATAGTTATTTCTCTATAACATCAGGATCTAAATGCAACCATTAAAATTCGTAGATTACAAATTTAGCTAGTTCTAATTAAGTTCCTTCCTAGATTCCCACAAATTTTGAAATCTAATCTTTCAATTCCAAAAGAGTTGGTGTTTTGGATACTTTAAAGACAAATTCTTATGGCTTGATATATACTTTATTAATGGGATCTCTCTCTTTTATTAATAGTAGCATTTCATCCTCCTGAAGATTCTCTGGATTTTCTAATACCTAATACACAATATCATTAGTGGAGAATTAAAATTTCTAAAGAGGCAATTCTAATTTTCTAAACACTTATCCGAAGAATCTGTTTTTATTGATGTCTCTGACTCTCAATTAATCAATATTGACATTCAATCCAAAACTAGAAATAATCATTTATTTCAAGTCTTTCAGAGTGGCATCCTTTCTCATGGTTTCGTGCTTCTGAAAAACACAATCATCAGGGTAGCCAGTAGTTGTTGAATAGAGCTAAAATCTTATCAATTCACAATCAATTTATGCTGTCTTTTCACATAATATAATTAAATCTCTATCTCTTAGATAACATTAAGAAACTGTTTTTGTTTCATCTGTTAATCCTTCAGAAGGTACTTGTAACCAATCTACCTTATAGAGTCTGTGTTAAGTAGCATCTAAATTAAAAGATTTACAGGATTCAAGTTTGATTTGTTCAATCTTGTCTTATCTAGGATCAACATGTATCTCAAAATTCTACTCTTTATACTAAACCACTATAGAAATCTTTCCAGTTTCAGGAACTTCTCCCTTCTCGATTTGCAATCTTGCCCCTCTAAAATATTATTACAATTCTATCTTACCCTTCTCTAAAATCTTAGAATTCCTTCAATTATACTGTGAGGTCTGTTTTACAGAATAGAATCTTTCCGTTGAGGTTTCTTAATCGATGAGCATCAGTCAATCCAAATTACTCTTTAATAAATTCTATCAACTCCTAAATGGTCTAATTGATATTAACATCTAAATATACAATAAGGATTTTTACAAAATTTTGAAACTCCAACTTTATCATCTTATTCAACCAGAATTGACACAATCTCCTCTCCTAGTTATTAGTTTTAATCCTTCTGGTTCTTACTTGCAGTCTAAGCTTGATTCTTCTTTTTAACTAAGATTTAAGTCTCCAAAGTTAATTGCATTTCTCCCAATTAGGTTTCATCAGCCAAATCTGATACTACTTTCTAATTCTGGGTATTTCTTAATTCTTATTCGTTTTCAGGAATTCCAGTTAGAGCGAATACTAATTATTTTAATTCCAACAATGTGGTAGAGGTATACAATAGAAAAGATTAGGGTTGTTTATTAATGATGAAATTAAGTCGGTAAGGCACTTTCTGCTATCCCACCTAAGGGATGTCTTAGTCCTTCTTTACCAAAATCCAAGTTGATTCGTGTCCAACTTTCTCTTCTTCTAATGTACTTTCTAAATTCTTCAAATATCTTGGAAAATGCAATAATTTAGTTTAATAGTTTTCTTAAAATTCCAATAACCAATATTCATCCTTATTAATTTATTCATACAACTATTTGACTGTTGTTGATAATTTTAATTTGTATGACGCCTTTTCATACTTCTCATTGAGTAATTTATGATCTTAAATATCGACTATTGAAGCATCTGCTACTGATATAATAATGTGTTGTTTGGCTTCCTCATATGTTTATCTGTCCTACTCAATCTTTTCATTTAATTAGTTCACATAATCAAATAGATATTTAGGTATCTCCTCATTTGACAATTTCGATGGTATTAAATTCCTATCTCTATAAATCAGAATGTAAGCACTCTCTGAACCCTGATATTGTTATTAAATTTTATTGACAGGAATGGGGATTACAGAACTGTCATTAAAATCATACCATCCTTGGGCAACTTTAGGATTGCCAATCTCGAATGGCAATTTCACTTCATCATAGTCGACTTCATCTGCATTCTATTTCTTTTATTACTATTAGCTCTCTTCCTTTTCTTGCCAATATTCTGGAATGTGAGATAGCCAGTCTCCTTCGTCCAAAAGATCTCTAAAGTAGGCGAAATAATGTCCCCCATGAGCATTACCTCTATGAATTATTACGCCTTGTAACTCATAAACTAAATTATCGACTGGATTTTCCAAATACACTCCCATCTCTATCTCCAAAGGAAACTCAAATCTATCATTTAATTTCACTCTTTGCATCTTCTCATAATCAAACGTGTATCTATTCAATGTCACAGTCAATATAGGTGGCAATTTTCTGATCTTGTCTCCTTTCAATGCATCCACCTGTTAATATATTGAATAGTAATACTTTAATGCCGCAGATATCGCAAAAATACTAATTGTTACCGTCCAACAAAAATGGGTTGATGTAACTGAATAACCCTTCAGATAAATTTTTATTGCCTTCCACTTAAATGTTCAAGTCATACATGATTTCTTCATTTCCATGAGAATTCTTGCAATTCAAACACGTGATATGATGAAATACCACTCCCTTGTAAAATGGAGCAATAATATAAGGAGTCCCATATAAAGATCGATCAAGGGTCTCAAATAATACTCTTAAATATAAATTTATGTCATTTTTACTTATTTGCATCCGAGACATCTTGTTGCCACATTTGTTGGCCTTCATTCCAACCAAAGCTTGAAGTGAGGGCTTCAGTTGATGTGGCTTTAGATTACAAGCTCTGTAATTAAATAAATAGCTTTTAAAATTCCAATAGGAATCTATTTCTGCTTTCATTCTTAGCCAAGTTAGCTGAATCCTCAATTGTCTCTTTGCATAATGGTAGCGAAAGAATGACTTTTCTAAACTCAGGACACATATAAAAGGATTGGATTAAGCTGTTCAAGTAACATGTGGCACCTTAATTTTTTAGACCTGCAAAATGTTTCAGTCTTGGTAGCTCTGGCAATTCCATATAATCTGCACAATTTCTGGCTATTCTTGTTTGATAATTTGTAATGGTTGGGTTCAATAACTCCTCCATTGTTTCAAATGTATCTCCAAACATTTAATTTTTTTATTATTGATTTCCTATAATATAGTAAAATGTTTGAGATTAATTCAGAATTTATATACAGTAACAGGAATATCTATGAATACAAGCATTTAAATGCTAATTTTAAATTGACTAAAAATAAAAATTATATATATTATTCAATGGCTATCATATAATGGTTTATTTAAATTTCTTTTGCTTTTTTTTCGGAATTCGACAAAGAGCAAGATAAATATCAGATTAGCCAGAAGGATTTCTGATTTGATCGTAAATTCAACATTTGAAAGTTATGAATTTTTAAATTAAATTTTTAAACTTAAGCTTGATACATCATTAATGAGTATTAGATTTGCAGTTTCATTACATTAATCTTAACACTCTATTTTAAATGGATTTAAAGTCATAAAGAAAACTGCACCTATATTTTTACTATAAATGACATAATGAGATTCGTTATATTTTTCTATCTTTTTATAATTAAATGATTCTATTCTCTAAATACTATCCAAGTAATCTTTATATTTCGTCTCCACTTTGATATCATACACATGAATATATTCTTTGGAGTTCTATAAAAGAGTCAACACTACGAAATTATCATCTGCATAAAGGAGATCTAAAAATACAGAATTGAAATCATATCTTAGAAATCGATATGATTCAACCACTAAATTATCATAACTAATGTGATTAAAGGAAATCTCCTGTAATAAAGTAAAGTAATATTTATAAATCAAAGCAATCTTAATGAATAAAAAATCTCCCTTGGTTTCTAAATTAATAATCTATATCTACCATTATTCCTTATCAAAGTAATGTGAGTATTTTTTTTCAACACCGTTTTAAATTTTAATTTCATGATACTAAATAATATCCCACTTGCATTAAAATTCTGAACCTAATTAAATATTACTAATTGCAACAATTGACATTTCAATAAAAGAAAAGTTCCAGCTTAAAAATACATATGTATTATTGGTTAGATATGCTCCATCAAATAGATAATAATCAATAAAGCGATCTTTAAACAAACCCAATATTTAGCAGTGGTTGTAATATATGATTAGATCTTACCAGTTTTACATAAATAAAAAATAGAAATCCTTGATTACTTTTATCTTCTGTACCTAATAGTTTAATTGTTGAACTAGTTCCTTTTTTAGTAGTGTAAATTCCTCTGGATTATTGTTATTCAACTATACAGTAACTTATTCCAGGGTGTTTTCGTTCAAATAGATTATCGAATAGGTGAGAGACTCTTAATGAAATGCAAAAGTAGTAATATTCCTATCAGTAATTTACAACTACAAACGATTTTTTACGTTTAGAGATTTTATTTCAATTGTATATTTATCTATTAAACAAACATTAGATTCAAAATATAAACAAGAAAAGTACTCTTAAGTAATATCCAGAGGTAACCTTAAGGTAATATTCTAAGATGGTTAAATTTCAAATCTAACAATATTTCCTTTGATTGAATCCCAATCTAAAGGTTCTTAGTAATGAATATTTCTAATCTCCTAATTCAATAAACTTAGCGAGTAATCGCTTTATAAACTAAAAACCATCATGTTAACAGAGGAAGTCAGATCATCGATAGGAGATTTTACAACTAATGAGAATTATTTTACCTATACGATGCTATCTTCTGAAGTAAAATTAAGATTCATACAAATAAAATTTAAAACATTAAATTAGAACTTTCCATCTTTTAAAAAAACTATTGTTCTGCTATCTAAATCATAGTATGAAAAATATTAGAACGATGAATCAATTTCGGTAATATATATCAGAGAATTAAAGGCTTAATTTTTTAGTTAGTATACAAGTAAAAACGTTTTATCTTGGTGTTTGGCATTTAACATCAACAAACCTTTTTGTAATTTATAAGTTGAAGTTAGTTCAAATATAAAATTGTAAGTGGGAAGATTGTACATAAAAGTGAAATCATTTTTAACCTAATGATATAATTTGAGTTCCAATTTATTTCCTATTTCTACAATTACAATATGTAGATTCTACTCTACGTCTTCCAAAATATTAATGACTTTCCCTCCCTAAGTGAACTTCTATATCTAAATTAATCTATAAATAATTTGATTTTGAAAACTAAAAAAATTAGTTGGTTGCTTGAAAGTACAATTAAAGGATGATTATTTAGAATCTTCAAATATAAGGGTATCTTTAATATCCCAGACTAACCTTGATTCGCTACAATCATCATATAAAATAAAAATTTGAGTATAATACAAATTCACTTACACTACTCTCTTTTGTTATGGAATCTCTTTATGTAAAATTTATAGTGAATCTTCTATCTTATAATATTGAATGCAATATTCATTAAAAATCAGGATATTTGTTCCTAAGAACACACCAACATCAATATAATCTTTGAGTACTTTTATCCTATACTTTTAATTTACTTTACTATTTTTGCAAAACATTAAGGTGATTATATCTTTTGATTGAATCATTATCAAAACGTTTGTTTCATCATTTAATTTATAAAAATGCAATATTTTTGAGTTTTAGTCAAAATTCACCTTGTATGTCTCTGTTTTCTCAGTCTGGTTAGCTGTATAATATTTTCCACCTTCTTGCAAAGCTTATATATTTATTGGTAAATTTTTCGAAATTTAAGCTTACTCGAAGCAGACTTCTTCAATCATGTTTCTAAAAATAGCAATATCTTATTTATTAATAATTATATTTGGTTCACTTTAATTAAGTATTTCTATGTTAATTTACTCTAAAGTGAATGAATAAAAGTAATTTTATCTTGAAAAGATTAGAGATAATATTTTCTATGAAACATTAAATGAATGATAATGCTTTGGAGGTTTAATTTTAAATAGCCTTAACTGACCTTTACACAGTCCAAAGATATAAGTAGAATCAATTATTGGAATCAATTAAGAAATACTTATGTCTATTTTCTGTTGTAATTAATTATTTATCATAGCAATTATTTAATCTTTGTGATGCAAAACTATAATTTTTTCTATCCAAAAAGAATTTATATATTGACTATAATTAACATTTAAATCAAATTAATCAAATTTCAATTACTAATGATAGTTATTTATATACAAAGTATATTATAGTCCTTTGCAAAAAGAAAATGACTTCAATATTGTTGAATTATTCTCATTTATGAAGCGAGCCTAACTCCAAAATTCAGAGCTGTAACATACAATTTTATCTCGATAAAGAAAAGTAAATCTCTGCTTATCGCATATCATAATTTCCTCTATTTAATTGAAAGTAGGGTCTACTTTATCACCATCGTCCTATAAAATGTAATACATTTTGAATGATGTATATTAAAATGATTGTTAATCAATTTCCATTTTATAGACATCATTAGACTTACAATTTTAATAGTAGATAAATAATATTGAATCCCCATAGGAGATTTTTATTTTACAATTAGATTCAATTTCAAAAAGCTTTTCATCGAATACTTTTCCATCAAAATTAATTATTGATATGGCTACTTGGTTCGTATTAAGTTAGCAATTACTAATCAAAATTTAATTCTTTATTTATAATAGGTTACTGCATGATTGGTAAGGCAATGTAATGTTACAAAAGTGAGGGATAATGACTAATTGTTCACCCAAAAAATCATTTTTAATTAGATATAAACAATACAAGTTTGAGTTATCCAACAACATCATCATGTTGTCCTATTCGCTTGTTATATTTTTAAAGTAGTATAATTAGGTTTAATCAGAAATAAAAGTTAAATGAGATTTCTCCACTTTAACCTCTTACATTAATTCTACATTAAATTGAACGTCTTATGAGTCTATAAAATGTTATTCAAATGGAACGTGATATCTAGGTTGTGGAGTATATTTATTTTCGCCTGGAAAATAGTAAAGAGTCTATACTTTAGGTGAAGTTTCTATGGAAATGATTTCCCAGAGCAATATGTTTAAAAAGAAAATAAATTTCATAATCAATATTAAATATTTTAATACTTTTATGGTAGTTGTGAAAACTACTAACTGATTATAGTAGAGATTGGACATATATATATATATTAATATTGGATATATGTATTTTTTATTATTTATTAACAGGAATATAGTATTTAATAATTTCTAACGAATAGTTATGATTGAGTTTGCCAAATTATCAAAATAGGAGAAAGAGAAATATATCAAATTTTTGGTGGATAACAAGATTGAATTCCAACAATCTGATTAGGGATTCACTGCTAGTTTCAAAGTATAAAATAAAGAAAATGTGGATCCGAGTCGAAAGTCGGTAGAATAGATCAAACGAGCATCATCTTATTTAAGAACCCCAACAAGATCAGTGTCGCCTTTAAGAAGAAAATTTACACGGGAGGATGCAATAAATTTGATTTAAGAGATATACTCAAAGAAATTTGATGATGCTTCAAAGCAATTAAAATTAAAGAATGTGGTAAATGAAGACTTTGGTGTCTATGTGATGAGATTTGCTCAGAACAAATAAATCGACATAAAAGATTGTATGTAAATTTAGGATGAGAATGTGTTTCTTTTTAAGAAATTCCTGCAAAAAGAATACGAAGAAGAAGACCTGATGTATTATTTGTTTTTGAGGGCGATAGTGGAAAAGGAAATAGGACAATCAATATATTAATCTAGAAAAAGTCTAGATTTATAAAAATAATACTTAAGTATTGGTCAAGTTTAAAGTATAATATCTACAGTGTATGAGAATCAAGTAGATGAGGTTTAGGAGTTACTGGATTATTTTAGGAATCATTTCGAAAACAATAGAATCAGTGCATTTGATTTCATGGCTTTGGCATTAGAGAAGTACAATAATGATCGTAAACCATAAGATAAGAAGATATTAATTGGTGAATAAGTTATAAATGAATTATAGAAATTCTTTTTTTAAGAAGTTGAGGAATGCACTGAGCAATTGTTCGATCAGGTGAAATTGATAGTGAATGACTTATTGTAAAGCATATTTAGATAAGACAAACGAATTTGGATCAATAGAGTGCAGAATGCAAAACCAGAGGATGTGTTGTATTTGGAAGGGTTATAGAAGCAATTCAAAACTTTGCCCGCAAACAAACAAGACATTAAACTATTCAGCAGGAAGGTATTGCAAACACCTTAATTGAGCAGATGCTTTGGAAAATTGCTGGAATGATACTATTATATATATTATTTAAATAATTAATATGCAACAAAGTGATTCATAATAGCCACAAACAACACAAACTATAGATGAACAACCGAAACCGAAGGACACACGATATAAGACGAGTGTAAGGTCTTTGCCTAAATTGTAAGGATGTCACCAAGACAAAGGGAGTTGAGTTTGAGGAGTTCGATTTGAAATAAGAATTAATGCAAGGTTTAGCAGCTGCAAATTACGAGAAGCCCTCTCCTATTTAAGAAGAGTCTATACCATTTGCTTTAGCGGGATCTAATATAATAGCAAGAGCTAAAAATGGGACAGGCAAGACTGGGGCTTACATCATTCCAATTCTAGAAATGTTGGAAATGGAAGGTCAGATCTAGAGTCTGATCTTGGTGCCTACAAGAGAATTGGCTCTCCAAGTGTCAAGTCTCGTAAAGGAGATTGGTAAGTACATGAAGGTCGAATGCATGGTTTCAACAGGAGGCACTGATTTTAAAGAGGATATCTATAGATTGAAACAAGTAGAGAGTTAATTCATTGTAGGTGGTTCATGTATTGGTTGGGACGCCTGGAAGAATTCTGGATTTGGCCCAAAGGAAACTAGCTGATTTGTCGAAATTAAAGCATTTCGTTTTGGATGAGGCTGACAAACTCCTGTCAGTTGATTTCCAACCACTCATTGTTAAAATCCTTCAATTTGCTCCTCCAGAGGTACAAATCATGATGTTTTCTGCAACATTCCCTGTTGATGTTAAAGGTTTCATTAGTGAACATGTTCCTCAGATCCAAGAAATTAATTTGATGGAGGAATTAACATTGAAGGGTGTCACTTAATACTACCTTTATATCGATGAGAAATAGAAAGTCAATTGTTTGAATTTCATTTTCAGCAAACTTGAAATTAATTAAGCAATCATATTTTGCAACTCAGCAAGAAGAGTAGAATTATTGACTCAAAAAATCACTGAATTTGGGTATTCGTGTTTGTATGCATTTTCTTTCATTCTATTAGCTACATTCATGCAAAAATGAATTAGAAGGATAGAAATAAAGTATTCCATAGTTTTAGAAAAGCTGTAGGTAGATGTCTCGTCTCTACAGATCTCTTTACTAGAGGAATTGATATTTAATCTGTCAATGTTGTCATTAATTTCGACTTCCCAAGAACTGCTGAAACTTATTTGCATCGTATAGGCAGATCAGGAAGGTATTTTGATTCATTCTAAATTTAGATTTGGTCACTTAGGTCTGGCTGTCAACTTTATAACCGAAACAGATAAAGACACTTTGGTTTAAATTGAACAAGAGCTAGACACTGATATTAAACCATTTCCAAAAGAAGTTGATAAGAGTTTATATTGATAATTTAATTACAAAAATTAATTAATTAAACCGATTCTCGTATTCAATAAATAATTTACTTTATATTGAATTTCTTAATACGAACTTATATGACTTCTACAATTTCAAACCTTCTATATGTTACCTAACCATAATGACTCCATACTTACTTAAGAATAAACCACCATCTCGTAAACTTTAAGAGTAAATTAATCATCTATATACATTTATATGATGATGAATGGTAGATTTAAAGTCTTAGCTCTTCATTTTCTTGAAGACATTAGTCAAAAGAAGGCTCTTAATATTTTAAGAATTTTTTTTTCTGAATGGCCTTTATCTTATTGAGGAAGAGTGTGGCTTAGTAATATATAAGTTAGTTGGGAATGTTTAATTCGTCTTCCAGCAAGCGAGTATTTCTAATTTACATTTATTGGTTTTAATTATCGAATATTAAGAAATACCAATACATTTCTTTGGGTCATAACTTTTCCAATTTTTTATTTATTATCATTATTTACCAAAATCATAGCAAAAGGGACCATAAAAGTGAAAAAAAATGGATGCATGTAAATTATTACCATCTGACTCAAAGGCTATTTTTAACTTCAGAAATTTCAAAATTTGATGATAGAAATTTAAATAGGATCATGCTAATCTTTAGGCTACTATAATTTAATTTTTCTAATACGTTTATTCGGTGTTGTAACATTTAAGACAATTTGAGTGGAATCAAGAAAAAGAGAGATCTGAAAATTTTTTATAATAAAAATGTCATTTTGCATGGTTGTCCTGTTTACATAAAATTAAACATATGAGAATATAATATCAATTAAAATAAGAATGGACTCTTTAAACAAAGGATGACAAAATGTCTGTAACTTCAGGAAAGAAATTCATCTCCTATATGGTTTATTCGATGTCCTGACTTGGATAGAGGTCCCCTTCTTTACGACAATTAAGATGTAGATAGTCACTAGGGATAATATAGAATATTCTTGTTACTTTCCTAGTACTTGATCCCACCTGAATCGAAGGTATTTATAATACCTATTCTTGATGGCATTTTGATTTCTATCATTAAAGTACCTTGAAACAACTGAGAACTTCGGTCCATGCTCAAGTACGAGGGACAATATTTTTTGATCTTCATTGAAGTTAAATGGAGCTGTGTTATTCAATTCAGAATTTTTGTTGCTTCTTCTTCTTCTTTTGTAGTGGAAGTCAACTCGCTTCCTTTTCTTCATCTTTTTGGCTTAATGACCGGAGGGCATAAGATTTAAATCAGCTATTTAAGTTAACGAAGGATTCTCTTGGTTTGAGATAATCAATTGTGAAGAATTTTCTTCAAACTAACTTCCGTCTTTTTCCAGTTGTAAGAAATTCATGAAATTTTACTCCGCTGCACAATCTTACATTAAAATTAATATGAAATTTGGCTTTGTACTCACTTGGGATATATATAAAGAAATTTCATAATATCTTTTGAATTAAGACATATTAATGCAGTCTAAGTATTATTTATTTAAGATTAATTAATTGTTCAGTTAGTAAAGGTATTTACAATTACTACATATTACTAGGCTGGTAGCAAGTTATATTATTAATTAATTATAATGTATTATATATGATCAGAATGATATTTACATCCTTAAATATTGAGCACTCTTCTAAATTTTTCCATAAAAGGAGTTCATTTGCCTTCATAAATGAATTTAATAATTAAATAANGAGTGTGGCTTAGTAATATATAAGTTAGTTGGGAATGTTTAATTCGTCTTCCAGCAAGCGAGTATTTCTAATTTACATTTATTGGTTTTAATTATCGAATATTAAGAAATACCAATACATTTCTTTGGGTCATAACTTTTCCAATTTTTTATTTATTATCATTATTTACCAAAATCATAGCAAAAGGGACCATAAAAGTGAAAAAAAATGGATGCATGTAAATTATTACCATCTGACTCAAAGGCTATTTTTAACTTCAGAAATTTCAAAATTTGATGATAGAAATTTAAATAGGATCATGCTAATCTTTAGGCTACTATAATTTAATTTTTCTAATACGTTTATTCGGTGTTGTAACATTTAAGACAATTTGAGTGGAATCAAGAAAAAGAGAGATCTGAAAATTTTTTATAATAAAAATGTCATTTTGCATGGTTGTCCTGTTTACATAAAATTAAACATATGAGAATATAATATCAATTAAAATAAGAATGGACTCTTTAAACAAAGGATGACAAAATGTCTGTAACTTCAGGAAAGAAATTCATCTCCTATATGGTTTATTCGATGTCCTGACTTGGATAGAGGTCCCCTTCTTTACGACAATTAAGATGTAGATAGTCACTAGGGATAATATAGAATATTCTTGTTACTTTCCTAGTACTTGATCCCACCTGAATCGAAGGTATTTATAATACCTATTCTTGATGGCATTTTGATTTCTATCATTAAAGTACCTTGAAACAACTGAGAACTTCGGTCCATGCTCAAGTACGAGGGACAATATTTTTTGATCTTCATTGAAGTTAAATGGAGCTGTGTTATTCAATTCAGAATTTTTGTTGCTTCTTCTTCTTCTTTTGTAGTGGAAGTCAACTCGCTTCCTTTTCTTCATCTTTTTGGCTTAATGACCGGAGGGCATAAGATTTAAATCAGCTATTTAAGTTAACGAAGGATTCTCTTGGTTTGAGATAATCAATTGTGAAGAATTTTCTTCAAACTAACTTCCGTCTTTTTCCAGTTGTAAGAAATTCATGAAATTTTACTCCGCTGCACAATCTTACATTAAAATTAATATGAAATTTGGCTTTGTACTCACTTGGGATATATATAAAGAAATTTCATAATATCTTTTGAATTAAGACATATTAATGCAGTCTAAGTATTATTTATTTAAGATTAATTAATTGTTCAGTTAGTAAAGGTATTTACAATTACTACATATTACTAGGCTGGTAGCAAGTTATATTATTAATTAATTATAATGTATTATATATGATCAGAATGATATTTACATCCTTAAATATTGAGCACTCTTCTAAATTTTTCCATAAAAGGAGTTCATTTGCCTTCATAAATGAATTTAATAATTAAATAATTATATTGACTTAATATTCGTAATTAAAAAACGTCGTAGTGGTCACAGTTTATTTGCTAACTTTGTTTTGGTTTAATAATTTTATTCAATTTAGAGTTCCCCAGCATTCAAATGTGAATAGCTATATAACTGCGATGGCTTTGAGAATTTAAACATAGTTTAAACTTATGAGGCATTTATTTCCAAAAGTGCTATTTCCATTTCCATAATTTTGTTAAAACAACACTTTGAGATGAAAGCCATTGGTTGGGTGATAGCAATGATGAAGATTTAATTGTATCCAAGTAAGTCAATAAATTCTATATCTTTTCCTTTTCTTCCTTTTTTTCATAAATTATCATGAGATTACCATTGAAAGAATCAGTTGTGCATGGACAAGGGAGACTGCTAGATTTAGTAAACTCGAAGGTATTGGAATTTGGTAACATTTGCATTTCAAAACATAGCTCGTTGTAAATTATGAATTTATAATTAATTAATATTATTTATTGAATAATTCAAGCATCTCCATTTCCTGCAATTGATTAGCAAGCAAAAGGTTTTTCAACAATTTGACATAGATAAGGAGTGGTTTGCATAGTTCCCATAGGTATTTAGAAAATAAATAGATACATAGACAACATCATAATAGTAAATAACGTATATCAATACTTAAAATGGTTTCTTAGTTCCAAGTAATGGATGGCTGAGATATTTTTGCAAATTGGGTGATCTCTTTAAGAGGTCGTATATTTCTTAGAATAGTATATAAAGCTAAAATATAGAATGGATATGAAAAAATAACGTTAATTTTTTGGAGTAATTGTACTTATAAATTATAATAAATTTCATAATATAATGAAAAATGAAAATACAGATAAATCAGTGTTTAGGTTATTTTGGCTGCATTTCATTAAGGAAGTCACTATAAGTAATGTACTATTATTCATTTCTATCAAATCTTCTCATTAATAGTTCTCTGTTTTTTTCGTCCAAATGGACTCCGTGATTCTCGAGGAAGGTCCTTAATTCCTATTCAACTATGATTTGATTGGAGGTGATCACAGCGAACAAGGATTTCAGATTAAAGTTTGGTCTTTGTGATAGCTTCTTTCTGATACATTCGATGGCAACTTCATTCTCAATTTCAGTTTTAATGACATTCTTTACTGCATTTAGTATTTCCTTATCCAACTGCCTGATGTTGATTTTCTAATAGTTTATTGGTTTGAAAGCAGCCAAGAATTCCCTCACATTCCATTTGCCATCTCTGTCGATGTCATATCTTTTCATCCACAAATATAACTATGATTAGGTTGGATATATTTCCAATTCCTCTAAGGCTGCCTTGACATCTCCTGGAGCCAACTTGCCAGTCTTGTCTTAATCGAAGAACGAGAACAATTCCAGAAAGTCATATTGGAGATACCCCAACTCCTCCTTCCTAAATTCATTCTCATATTCTAATTCTGAAATGATCTTCAAGGCTTCTGCCAAATAATCCATATCGTAACACTACACTTTCTTCTATTACACAATCTTTTTGTTTCTATCGATGTGTTTGGCCACACTCTGTTTGGCTCTTCTATTGGGAAATTGATTTTGAATTTCGATCTATTTGACTGAAGTCACAGCGGAGGCTGATGATTTCTGAGAATACACATTTCCGTATTGAGGTTCAAGGGCAATTCTGAAATCCTCAAGATCGATCTAACTATCTCGATTCTAATCCAGTCTCCTCATCAAGGCACTGCAATCCCGATCCACGAAGTGTTCCAATAGATCCAACTGTATGAATCCAGAGTTGAATTGGTCAATGGTTTGGAAGGCTATTCGATAATCGAAATCAGGAGACTGGACCAGGTCTTGTTTGTAAGCCTGAATTTCATCGGCGATTTGAATTTCTTTGTAGAATATTCTGCATACTCCATACTCTATTTCGTAGGAGATATCCTTTGCAAAGGTGGGTTTTTGTGAGACTAGTTTTCTCAACTCGAGATTATTTGCTGGGAGGACTATCTACAAGAAGTCAGCATAGGTGAGTCGGTTATCACATTTCTATGAATACCATTTTACTATTGGATTCACTTATTCCAGTTGGACTATCAATCCATTCTGTTGCAATAATTGGTAGATCTCTTATGAGGCAATGTGTCCAGCATTGGAGATTTTCTTGAAAACTGAGTAGGGTTCGAATTCATCCTATTGACAGAGGATTTGTCTCATCGATTCTGAATGAACTTCGAATTCTTCCAATTTGTTGAAGAGTTTAAGCAATTTCTTTTTGGTTTGAGAATTGATCATTTGAAAATAATATTCGTTAAATGTGTATATTAAATAATGTATTTTTTAAATACAGAAAACTGCAAATCTAAGTTAATTGAGAATCAATTTATATAAGTAGTGGATGCGAATCCATTGGCAATTCTAGTATTAGAGTATTCTCTTCATTCCAAATAATCTCAATATTAAAATTATGTTATAACAAAACTAGGTAATGTATCAGTAACATCCAAATTAATAAATGCCTGCACAATAGCATCGGGATTACAATGTTCCTCCCCCAGGTATTGCTAGGATCCATTAATTTTTAAGGTTACAAAGCACCAAGGTATCCCAGAGAAGAGTTGCCTGAAAATCAAGAGCAGAATTTGGATTTGGGTGGTTCATATTAGAGTTATCTGTATAATTGTGGGGAATGTTGCGGCAATTGCAAGGCAGTTTGTCCATGCAATCCATTTGTTGAATACCCGTATGTTCAAGTTGAATAGAGCTTTGTCGGAGTATATTTACGTTTTGGTAAGTACATAAAGACAGGTATACAAATTCAAATTACATAGTGTAACCGGGATTGATATACATAAATCCTTGCACTGACACAATATAGAAGGTGGATTGCAAGGTTCAGATGATAGATTGCCCAAGATAATAAGTTATGACAAAAGATAACATTTTGGTTAGCATCGACGCGACAGTTTACTATCGGATAGTCATACCCAGGAGATCAATCTTCTACATCAACGATTTGCATTAAGCAGTGACTCAATTGACATTGGCTACAATAAAGAGCATCGCAGGATCACACACTTTGTAAGACCTCTTGGAGAAGAGAGCCGAGGTGCAACAACAAATAGAGGGTTTTGTGGACGAGCATGTGTGGGAATGGGGAATAGACATAGAAAATATGTTAATCAAGGATATCCAATTGAATGCTGATCTATAGAATACCTTGTCGATGGCAGCCAAGGAATAGAGAGCTGCTTAGGCCAAGGTGATTTCAGCTTAAGGAGATGTGCAATCAGCCAAATTGATGAGGCAGGCTGCAGAATTGTTGGATTCCAAGGCAGCTATGCAAATTAGATACTTAGATACTATAACAACCTTGGGGTAATAGGGATCAACCAAAGTAGTGTTGCTTCCTACAGATTCTAAATGATTAATTTTATATCTATATTGGATGATAATATGAATATTATTAGTAAGAGAGTGTTCAAGGGATAAATGGAGAAATGAGAATTCTGGTTATGATTATTTATTTTAAGTAGTGAAGGTAGAAAATTAGATTTGATAAAAATATGAAAAGGATTTAATATTATAATTAATGAAAGCATATATCCTAATAGCTATTTTCATTAGCTTAGGAGCATCTTAAGTTTAAGTCACATCATAAACAATATGCGGTTGTACCCAATTAACCAATCAAAATGATTGCAACACATTACCGGGTTGTTAATGGACAAACAACTCATGCTCGTAATAGAGTTGCTTATCACTTAATCAGTCTTCTTGTTTAAAGGCTTCATAGTATTGCCAATGGAATCTCACAGCAGACACTCCTTCGTGTTCATCATTTGACTCATGTGAAAATTTAGTAGCTACTAATAATCAATAATGTATCTAATAAAATGTTCGCTGCCTAGGATTTAGTACTAAATCCCAATAATGTTTATACTATAATCAGATTACTTCAAATTGCATTGATTTCCCATAAGCTGTTTGCTCTTATAATTTTGGTAAGGACGGACCCTGTTATTGGACTAATAATAACTGTCAAGTAATCAATAATTGTTCGATGGCTACTAAACAAGATTAATGCTTATAGCTCAATTATTTCAAATCCGAATATCCCTAAGGAATTGTATGCCAATGGAACTAGGCCACTATGTAATGCCAAGCCATTACAAATTGTAACCAATTCCCTAGTCAAAACACATGCAAACACTATTTTGCAAGTTTGAATTCTATCACTTTGAATGTCTGTTATTGGTCTTTAAATACAACTCCCCCCTCATGTGTCCCTGTGACCAATCTTAATAATTTGACTTCATAGAATTGCTTGTTGAATACAGGTTTACTCTTCAGATGGTATGGATAATAAAATAACCCTAATTAAGGTTTTTGCGGTCCCTGCAAACAAGTCGAATTAATAACTAGAACCTAATGCACTTGTTCTGACTATGTCCTGCAAACTGATTGCAATTCATAAAATAGTTTATGCCAATGGAATACAGGGACTCAAATCTGCACTCTGAATACTTGCTCCAACATATTAACTCAAGATGTTTGCATAACAGTCTCTGGTTGCTATTGGAACTTTAATACCTATTCATGCCAAACTTTGAATAATTGCACAGATCTAACATTTAAAGTGAGTGCAATAGGATGTGCAGCCTAAAGTCTATAATGTGCAGGTTATATAGGAGGGACCTGTAACAGTACATCAGCTATAGTTTCTACTTGTAGTAATTAAAGCAATCAAGAAAGTTGTTCATAATTCATTAGCAATCAAGGCCTATGTATTTGGAATGTTTCAAATAGTTCATGTTCACTCTTGTAATACTGTAGTCAGATAACTGATGCTCCAGTTTGTGGAAGTTGGTAGAATCAATGCACTTGGAATGCATTAATTTCATAATGTCAATAAATGACCTGTGCAATGATCACAAACCAACAAAAGTGTACCTATGTTCTAACACAATTCTAATAAACGTAATATTAACTGTGCAGATGGGACAATTCAATAGGAATTCAAGGAGCCTGTGAAAATGCTTATTCTGCATTGTTGTAAACGTCATAAACTTGTGTTAATGCTACAGGGAACACTTTCAGATGGAGTACGAATAATGCATCTGCAGGGATGTGTGTTTCATGTGGCATCAATCAATTGTCAGTTCAAACACCATCCTCATGTCAATGCTAATAGTTTTAGTCCTAAGACAATTGCACAAACTCAGGATTCTGCACATTCAATAAAACATCTAATATTTGTTAACCATCACCTTGCACTTCATTTGAAAATTAGATTACATGTGCTTTATTAAGTAATTGTTATTGGAATAGCAATTACTGTGTACAATTCACTAGTTGTTCTGATTTACCACCTGCTGCCAATCAGTTAGAATGTGTCAGTATGAATGCTTCATGTAAAGGAATCAGCAATAAGATCTGTCAATCCTACCCAACCTCCACTTGTTCAGCCATGTACATAGCTAATGGCAGTTGTTATAATAACATTGGTACTGATGGAGTGTGTCTCTTGAGTAATACTGACTAAATTACCTAATGCATTGGATTCTCTTAATGTGCTCTTGCCTAGAATCCGACTCTATGTTTACGAAATCAATTCTCTTGTTAATGGAATACTGTAAAAAATTAGTGCTCGTAAATTACTTGTGCATCATTCCTAACAGAGTTAAATTGCAAATTCTATCTACCAAACCCACTCTCATCTGAAATCATTCCATGTTATTGGAATACCAGTAATCATACATGCGTGATAGCTGATGATATTTTAACTACATTAAATTAAAATACATGTGCATTGAATACTTATAATACGTATAGATGGGTATCAATTTAGTAAGGATATTGTGTCAAATGTTAGGAGTAAGTCACTCTTCCCAATTAGTGTGATTGCACATTTCTAAGCTAGTATGATTGTTCTTAAGCCTTTGAATGTTACTGGAATAATTCGTATTGCCAACAATTAGAATGTCCATAAATATTATAAAAAAATATATGCGCATCTCAATTAGGTTGTATGTGGAACAACAATTAGTGTCAAGTATTTAATGGACAATGTGGCAATTTACTAGGTAGTTCTCAATATTAATGCATGGCACAAAATGTTTATTGCGTTGGCAGCAATGGAACTTAATGCACCAAATCCTTACATAATTGCAAGGAGAATACCTAATAAGCTTCATGTATCTCCACAGCTCTAGGACGTGATGGAGTTTGCTTTTGGAGTAATCAATACTAGAAATGTGTTGCTTACTATGCATGTAACCAACTGCCAGAATCTGAATGCAGATTCAGCTCAAAATCTTGTTATTGGGATTAGACGAATTGCTAAACTTTAACATGTAGCGCACTCTTCCAATAATTTGGATATTGCACTTATGTTATCAGCTTAACATCCATCAATAATATTTAGGCTTGCAAATTGATTAATAATTAATGTGCTTCATTGCAAGATCCGTTTGCTTTGTCTTCAGATCAATGTTTTAGAAATACCAATAAAACAGCAAGATGGATACCAAGGCAGAACGGAAACGGAGGTATTTGCTATTCTTGTTCTGCAAACTTGGTTCCATTATATTCACCTACCATCTGTTAATGTTATCAATACACCACTTAAAATGATTGTTTATAATCTCCACGATCATGTTTTTGGGACAATGATACATGCATGGTGCAATCTTGTGCCAACATTTACACTAATCAAGCATGTGCGCAAACTTTAGGTTGTGGATGGAGTAACGGTGTCTGTGAAAATTTCACTTCATGTAATTCGATATCTGGATTAGGAATTAATATTGAAAATTGTCTGAGTTATTCAATCTAATGCAAAGGTTACAATGGATAAACATGCACTTAATATCCAGATGATACTTGCAGTGTGTAATAAACACCAAGTAATTGTAATGGAAACTTTGGATCTGATGGTCCTTGCCTCTGGAATTTGGCTGGGAAAGGATCATGTTATGCAATATCAATATGTTCTGATATATTAAATCCCAAGATTTGTAGTTACTACAAAAATCTGTGTGTACTTGTAAATGATTAGTGTGAGTAACTTACCTGTGCTTAATTCAAAAGTCCAGCATCATGCAAGTATGTGGTTTCCTCTTTCTTGACAGGGGAGCTCCAATTATGCCAATGGTCAACAGTCTCACAAACTTGTATTAATTTTATTACTCCTTCATCATTAAATTCAATGACTTGTTCAGTCAATACAGGTTACACTTATAGATGGATTCAAAATAACAATACTGATGGTTATTGTACTAAATGTTTGTTAAAATCTCTTTACGTTCCTGGATAATGCGCTTGTAATCAATTAATCTACGAGAACGATTGTCTATCAAATCCTTTCTGCTCTTATTCAACTGCATAGAACACACCAAGTTGTTATAATAAGCCATGTTCTGAAATTATTCTACAGGAGATGTGCAGTTCCAATCCAAGATGCTCATGGTCAGCAACTTAAGAGTTATGTCAACCATTTACTAAATGTTCAGATCTAGTAGGTATCAATTAAGGAGAATGTGCTAGTTATTCTTATTTCTGTGCAGCAACTACTTAAGCGTATTCCCCACTTCAAGATAAGTACTTTTGTGCCCAAACACCAACTCAATGTAAAACTGGTTCAGGAACATCATCTGCNAATCAATACTAGAAATGTGTTGCTTACTATGCATGTAACCAACTGCCAGAATCTGAATGCAGATTCAGCTCAAAATCTTGTTATTGGGATTAGACGAATTGCTAAACTTTAACATGTAGCGCACTCTTCCAATAATTTGGATATTGCACTTATGTTATCAGCTTAACATCCATCAATAATATTTAGGCTTGCAAATTGATTAATAATTAATGTGCTTCATTGCAAGATCCGTTTGCTTTGTCTTCAGATCAATGTTTTAGAAATACCAATAAAACAGCAAGATGGATACCAAGGCAGAACGGAAACGGAGGTATTTGCTATTCTTGTTCTGCAAACTTGGTTCCATTATATTCACCTACCATCTGTTAATGTTATCAATACACCACTTAAAATGATTGTTTATAATCTCCACGATCATGTTTTTGGGACAATGATACATGCATGGTGCAATCTTGTGCCAACATTTACACTAATCAAGCATGTGCGCAAACTTTAGGTTGTGGATGGAGTAACGGTGTCTGTGAAAATTTCACTTCATGTAATTCGATATCTGGATTAGGAATTAATATTGAAAATTGTCTGAGTTATTCAATCTAATGCAAAGGTTACAATGGATAAACATGCACTTAATATCCAGATGATACTTGCAGTGTGTAATAAACACCAAGTAATTGTAATGGAAACTTTGGATCTGATGGTCCTTGCCTCTGGAATTTGGCTGGGAAAGGATCATGTTATGCAATATCAATATGTTCTGATATATTAAATCCCAAGATTTGTAGTTACTACAAAAATCTGTGTGTACTTGTAAATGATTAGTGTGAGTAACTTACCTGTGCTTAATTCAAAAGTCCAGCATCATGCAAGTATGTGGTTTCCTCTTTCTTGACAGGGGAGCTCCAATTATGCCAATGGTCAACAGTCTCACAAACTTGTATTAATTTTATTACTCCTTCATCATTAAATTCAATGACTTGTTCAGTCAATACAGGTTACACTTATAGATGGATTCAAAATAACAATACTGATGGTTATTGTACTAAATGTTTGTTAAAATCTCTTTACGTTCCTGGATAATGCGCTTGTAATCAATTAATCTACGAGAACGATTGTCTATCAAATCCTTTCTGCTCTTATTCAACTGCATAGAACACACCAAGTTGTTATAATAAGCCATGTTCTGAAATTATTCTACAGGAGATGTGCAGTTCCAATCCAAGATGCTCATGGTCAGCAACTTAAGAGTTATGTCAACCATTTACTAAATGTTCAGATCTAGTAGGTATCAATTAAGGAGAATGTGCTAGTTATTCTTATTTCTGTGCAGCAACTACTTAAGCGTATTCCCCACTTCAAGATAAGTACTTTTGTGCCCAAACACCAACTCAATGTAAAACTGGTTCAGGAACATCATCTGCTTCATAATGTGAAAACACTATTACTCAAAATGGTATTTGTTAATTTAATACCAAAACTAACCAATGTACTTTAGCCACCAATTGTTCAGATATTACATCTCAAATTAGATGTCAAGAACTCATTCATTCATGTTACTGGCAATAACCAACAGGACAAACAACCCAAGGATCATGTATTACCACAAATTGCAATATCATTAACAATCAACTAGAATGCACTTATGTTTTGACTACCTTATCTTCTACTACTCCATCATCTTCGAATGTCATTTAATGTTAATGGTCACCCACTGTAGGTTGTCAAACAGCTAAAAATATCTTTTCTACCTTCAATTCAACCAATTGCTACACCAATACCTTTATGTTGTCAAGGTGGGCTTCCACCTCAACAGACAGTGGTCATTGTATTACCTGTGGTCAATATGCTACATCATAATCATTCGACTCCTTTTGTTTATGTGAAGAACTGTCTGAATCCGAATGCCAATATGCTTCGCCTTAATGCTCTTACAATTCAGCCTCCTCTAAATGTGCTATATAGAATTGCTCATCAATTACCTCAAAATACGAATGTGCCGCTAACCAGAATTGCATTTATATTGGATCCACTTGCTATACTTATTCATCTAAACCTAGTCAAACTGCTGCTGGATGTAAGAATATCACCAATCCCAAGTACCCTTTCGAATGCTACACAGCCTCAATCAATTGCCCAGTATTTACTCTAAATGCTTCACATAATTCCAATTCTACAAATAATTGTAGTGCCCCAACCTAATGTAGGTACTTGAATCATACTGAATGCCAAATTTATAATTCAGAAATCTGTGTTTGGAATGCTAATAATCAAAAGTGCAAGACTGTTGATAATTGCAACCAGATTACTGATGTAGCCCTTTGTAGTCTATAAACAAGCAGGTGCCAATGGAGTGTAGTTTTTAATTCCTGCATCACCCAATCTTGCAACTCCTATACTAGTCAATCTGATTGCACCTATGTATACACCTCCTATTCACCTGGGGATATCGCTCTATGTTTCTGGGATTCCTCCCAGAATGAGTGTAAAAGTGCTCCCTCATCAAATGCAACTTCCTATACTCAGACTACCTTCTAATGCTTTGTCAACACTGGTCATGTTTATCACTATGATGGAAACTAGTGTAAAATGTGCTTCGAAACCGTTCTAAATATTCTTCTAATCACGATACTCCTCCTATTAATATGAGAATATTAATCATTTCACAATAATATCATTATTTTGGTTTTTTTCTCCATTCTACTTTTATATGAAACTTCATGTGTCTCATTTGTTTTATCTCCTCTTTGTCACATCAATTAAATTAATTGCATTTAAATTCTGTCACAACCGATATAGTCAAATTAAAAAATACATAAAAAATAAGTAATTCCATCTCTTAGTAAACTTCATTAAATATGAATAGTCAAAGTACAAAAACAACTTTAACCAAACACAAACCCAATCAACTTACTAATCCCGCAATTTCCGTTGAAAAAACCTACTTCCAAGCACCTGACGAACTTACATTTTCAACTAATGAATGTCAATCACATCAAATCTTACATAAACACAATTCCAAATTGCTCAAAAAATCACATCAAATCAAGAGGAAAACCAGAAATTTCACCCTAAGTGATGATCAAAAAATATTACACCTTGTACTAACTCTGGGGCCCAAATTTAAGTAGATTGCCAAAAAAATCCCTGGAAAGTCTATCAATGTAATCAAAAATAGATATTACAGGGATCTTAGATATAGGTGGGATGAAGTCTTGGGAATGTACACATTTTTATATAAACTTATAGTGAATATATTCATCTTAATGTCAAGAAAGAAGAATCATACTTCGATACCTTAGTCGCAAATTCATACATGCACCAAGACCTATCCAACATTTTGATCCCAATGTTATCCTCAATCCAAACAGTGATAAATTAATGTTTGCATTGAGTTTATAAATCATTTTGTGTATTTTGTTTGTCATATTTAAAAAACAAGTTGTACTCGAAAAAATGCGTTTAATCAGATGTGATTTAATTTATAATGCATAAAAATTAAAATGGGTTTAATACTAAAAATTAATTCCCCCCCCTGAAGAGACACATTTACTTATTAAATACCTTTCTATATAAAGTAATCAAGGATGAATTTCAAAATCTCCGTGCCGCTATAAATATTCTAATCACATCTAATTCTATTTATCCAAGCTTATGAATTTCTTTGATTTCAAATTAAATATTCATATGGAATTGAGTTCTAAATTACAATTAAACGAAATCTACACTATTTTTACTAAATTGTATTAAAGGACCTTCTTCTTTCAAGAAGTTCAATCTCAAATTATTTTATCTCAATTACATTAGACATGGATAGTTATAACTTCTATTGATTTCCTTTTGCAGAATATAAGTATCATTCACTTTTTATTTATTAGTAAAAATATTTTAAATATGTAATTGGTAAAACAGTTTCAAAATAATCGTAAATAATCTGCTATCCATGACTCCAAAGTCAGGGATGCTTGGTTAATCAACATTCAATTATCAAACTATATGGAACTAAATAAATATTAACTAATTCTTTAATAAAAATATGGTAACAGGAGAAGAAAAAGATAGTTTTTCAAAAAATTTATATTTGTTTAAAAACGATTAAATTATATTTTCAATTATTTCCAACTTATATCAACTGATTTTAAAATTAATATAACAAATCCAACTTTATATTAATATCAATTGCGGTTAATATGTAATCTTCATTCATTTGATACTATTTATACATTTGGATTACTACTTGAATTTTTTAACAGAAAATTAAGAATCATAGTTAAATTCAAATTAATATTAAAAAAATGTAACATTAATGATTAAATATATGAATTGGTTTTCACAGTCTCTTTAAACTAAGGAACCCTTCTCCTTTTCCTCCACTATAACTAACTTGGAGTCGAGCTCTATTTGGTAAAACTATAAAGTCTTAAGCATTTAAACCTAATAATCACTACAAAGGAGATACCAGTGTATTCTGAAGATTTCTTCTTTTGATCTAAGGTGGCAATGTTCTCTCCATTGATAAGAACTGAGACATTTTGTTTTTCTTTAGAGAAAAATGCATAAGCTATGTGATAGACTCCAGGGGCGACAATTAAAATAGAGCTTTTTCCTTTTTCCCATACGAAATTCTCTGGTAAAGTGTTGATAACTTCGTACTCCCAAGGGATTAAATGATTTTGTGTTTCACCTGATCTCCACTAAAATCTAGCCACAATGTTTTCTTAGCAAAGTGATTCATAGATTTAATTTTAGCTTTTGAGATAATTCGATAAATCATCTGCTGATACTTTGGTTTGTAAATCATTGTGAATAGCTTCAAAGGCTTGATTGATTTCAGGAATATCTAAGTTTTACTAATATAATACTTGCTTTAGTGTCTAGAATGGTAATCATGTCTTGTATTCCAGCTTTGAGCATCATGTCCTTTTATATTAAATCCAACGTATATTTGGTCAATTAAATATGTTTTGTTAAATCCTTCTGATAGGCTCTTTCATCTTGATCAATGCATAGTTTTTAGATAATATTTTTTAATTCTTCAAAGTCTTAGTAAAGGACTCTCTATTTCAAATTAATCTCTAATTGATTTAATTGTTATTCAAAAGAAGATATCTTTTTGGTGACTATTTATGAGACTTCTTATTTGATATTCTTAACCCCATCCTAATTGGAACCTGTTTTCTTTATTTCGTTGACTCTCCTCTATAGTTATTATTCAATTTAGACTTGGATATGTTATTCGTCTTCATATGATAATTACTTTGCTTTAACTTCGCTTATTTCCTTACTTTATTATAATAAAATACTTTATTCATCTATTGAACTTATCTTTATAGTTGTTTAAACACTTGATCGGATTTAAATTCGTCTAGATACTCTTACATTTAATCTACTTTTTATTAAATATCCTTTTTTTGTATCCTCATAGTATTAACTATTTTTTTGAGATCATCTAATTCTTCTCTCTTGTCATCATCCATTTGTTTAATATTCTCAGACAAATTGTACAATTCCTCTGTCAATTTCTCAGATAAATGAGTGGATTTCATTATAGTAGTTTACATCTACTCGCTCGTGAACTATTTAGATTCTAAGATCTCATTCCTCAATCGATCAAGGTCTGAAATAATCTCTTGGGAAAACTTATTAAATCTTTAAGAGTAGCCATCCAATTCTCCCTAAAGTGAGTTTATGGATTGCATATATTTATCGAATTCCTTATTATCAGCTTTCTTGTTTAATTGTTTAGTAACTCCATCTACTTATTGTTTCATTTCAATCATTATAGAATTGTTGTCTTGCAATCTAGATTCCACAACATTTTTTAATTCTTATTATTGTTCTTTAATCACTTCTAATTGATGTGTTTCGGCCTTGTTTTGCAATGAATTGATCAGGATTGAGAAATCTTATCGATCAACTTTGACTTCTAGAATGGAGGCAATCTTGTCAATTTAATCTAAGGAAGCCTTCTGATCTAGATTTTAGATGATTGGTTATAGATCTTCTAGAGAAGAGTAATTCTACAAAATCTGATCTAATTCTTATTTGCTGATTTTTTTATTTACTGCTTATTGCACTTAATGTTTACTGGCCTTGGTTTCGAGCAATTCATTCATTTCTTGTAGATTTGCTTTAAGTTCCACTTGTTAAGACAATTGTGAAAAATCTTTCATGCTTGGAACTTGTTAGAATTTCTTGGAGATCTGAGTTTGTAGTTCTTCAATTTTGTGTTTCATATTTTACATTTCTCCTTTGAATTCTCCTGATTATTATTTTTCTAACAATTGCTTCATCTCGTCAACATCAATTTTGCTAAGAAAATCATCATACAAACACTATACTTGCTCAACAAATATTACATGTCTGCTTTTAACACGTAATCCTTCAATAAAACCTGAGAATCTTCGTATGTAATTTTGGTATCAAGATTGGCAGCTATCTCGGCTATGGTTCTTGAGATGTCATTAATATTGGCTTTAAGTGCTAATCCCGAATGAAGTTCGTTTTTGGATGCTCTTGTGGAAAGTTGCTTCTCGATTTCTCGTATACTTTCTCCTTGAGATTTTACCACATCCGTTAAAGCCTTAAATGTCAATCTGATAATATCATTGATGTTTTTCCATTCAGATTAGGACTATGGTTTACTATAATGCATTCTACCTACAGCAGATCTTCCACGATGGCCGTACTATATGGATCATTATCATCTCGGTGATGCATAATTTAATTTTGAATTTCGGTTGATAATTAAATATATATTAAAATTCATAATGGTTTGTTCTACATATACACCACCTAACTTGGGTCTCTTGATATCTTATATCACAAATATTAAATATTAAGAAATAATATAATAACAGTAATTCACTCTTTGATTTGGTCTTCAGCCAATCTGATGGATTGATTGGATTGCATCTGAGATCCGACACTCTCATCCTCGTAGTCATTTTACAGTTCCAGTAACATTGCAGATTCCTTTTGCAACAGGAGACTTGCTATCAACAAAGGCTTCACTTTTTTCTCTATGCCAGATTGCTACAGATGAGAGGACACTTCTTAGATTTTCTTTTGTAAAGTGTCTATAATTTGTCTCCACTAATCCAATCGATCAGCATCCAGTAGGACGATCTAATCAAACCTTTGTTCTATAACCCCTCTAATACTTGGCCACGAATCCAGCAACTTCGAAAACTTATTACAATGTAGAAATTCTTACCTATATCATTATTTCAGTCTTCTGCCCCTTTATTTATAAGAACTAATTTTAAGCTTCCTCTGAGAATAGACCAAACTCAACACAAACGACAGCAAACTTTTCAAACGAGAAGTTCTATTCTCCCTTAACTAATAAGTCCGCATTCGCAAAGAATATTTCAGAAATCTATTCACTACTTAAGCGATCAGGTTCAATGTGTCTGAGCAATAGGAACCATTCTTCAAAGTTGCACATCCCATTTCCATCTATAATTAAATACTACTTTCATTATACCTAAATCGCAGGCTGCAAAGGCATTGATAACATACTCCTTTGCTCTACTTACTAAGATTTTATATTTGGCAAACAGCTGTATCATAAATTAATCAAAATCGATTAAATGTTATTTATTCGCTTATTTGGGATCATTCTCTTTAAGCAAGTCCAACTCCTTTCGCAACTCCTCTTTCTCTTCAGCCGTCATTCTTGAATCTGCGAAGATCCCTATGTATTAGACTACTCTCAAGTATGGAACCATATATCGAATTTCTTAGTCTTGATCGGCATTCAGAATACCCAGTTAGGAAATATTTGTTATATAATCATGGGCTTCTAAGTATCGTTTGAGTTCATCCAAGTTGAAATTAACATAAGTGTCGAAGAGATTCAGGAATTTCGCAAAATTATTGATTCTTACAATACTCTTATAGTGTTTGACCGAAACAACTAAGATTAAGAACTTTTGTTCAGCAATCTTTTTAATACCAAATTGAGATAGAAAATAAGAATAAACAAATGAGGCCAAATCTTAATCTTTAATGTTGCTATTTTCCTTTTATTGCGTAATTCTATCTGCATATATCACATTGATCTATTTTATTAACAATTTAAGAGGCATAAAATGTTTAATTTTAGGTAGTTGTTTTGACTTAATTTTTTCAATAAGCAGAGGTCCTGCATTCTGCTTCTAGAATTCATAGACTACAGTGACTTTCTGTCCCAATTAAGGTCCCTTGAAAATCAATTTAGCCTAGGTCATCTTTTTAGCATCCCTCTTTCTGACTGCTATCTTCTACTCAGATTTTAGGTTTTAACTTTCTAAGAACTATTCTATTTATTTCTGTTCCTTTTTTATCTATTCCTTGCCACATGCAACATTATATATATCAGCTTCTGTAAACAAGGATAGCTTTCTTTTCAGTTCCTCAATTTGCTCATTCAATGATTTGATTTGGTTCTGCATTTCCATCAGTTTGTGATCCTTTGATTTGTTCTGCATCTCAGCTCCGGACAACAATTCTATCAGAGTCTTCACTTTCTCTACATCTACTTGCTACACATTGTGTTATTTCTGTAATTAGATGTCAACCTAAGTGTGAATGATCCTTTTATTCTCATCGAAAACCTCAGAGTCCAACATAAGGTTTTTGTCAGTCAAAGACGGTATGTCAGCCTCCTTTTAAGTGAAAAACTTCTTCTCGATCAAGGAATTTAATTGTCTGCTGGAGGGTTGATTTTTGAATTTATCTAAATTTACCATTACAATACATTCTTACCTTCGTATATTTTGACTATTTCCTCAATATTGTGTTTAATTTTCTACTGCTCGAAGACCTAATCGAATTTTTCTTGAGACTGTGTAAATTAATTGAAATCTGACCTTTGCATGGATATCAATGTTTGACATGCTTTTTCTCTGGTGGCATATTCGAGGAAATCTAGCCCTGTGACTTAAGCAAAACAAGCAACCGTGATGATCTTATCCATGCTCATGACCATGTTATCCATTTCAATAATATTCTTATCATCCATAAGTTCTTCGATAACTTCGTCATGTTCTTCTTCTGAAGAGGAGTCTTGTTTCACTTGTTGGGATTGCACAGAGTTTTATAGGGAATCTGTTTTTTAGTGGATGATGGAGTTGCGACCTTATTTCAAATAGAACACTGAAGGTGCATTATTGATGCTGTTTTATTTGCTCAGTAGGTGTTTTTCGGATTGATTAATAATGATTTCAGTATGAGGAACACCCACTTAAGAGAATCGATGTTTTTTTTCATTTTGCAATTTCTTTGTCAAAAGTTCTATTTCGCTATTGGCCTACTTCAATTTCTTGGTCAAATAGGCGACAATTTTTTTGAGGTCATTAGATTACAATCTCATTTTTCCGAATTGATCTTCTAATTCTTTGTAATCGTCTTTGAGTAAATTGTTCTTCTTGTTTTCAGCAGCCAATTGATCGGTTTGTTTTTTGAGTTCTACCTTGAGACTGTCAATTTCATGACCAAATATTTTGGATTGAATTGCATATTCATCCAACATCTAGATTTTGCCTTTGGAAATGAATATCTCTGTTTAAAATTTCATATCATTAATGATATTAATCACTTTGGTCCAAATTTCTTCAATCAATAATCCTCTCTCCAAACATTCGAATTTAATTTACTTTATCAATTCTTTAATGGTAACTGATAATAAGCTTAGAGCATCTGATTGATCCTCTTGCTTTTACTTGTCAAACCATTCCCTTAATTTAATGGTCTAGACTCTGCCCATGGGAGCATCGGTTTGCAAATTCCGAATTTCTGAATTCAGAGAAGTCTCCAACTTCAAGTACTCATTCATATCCAAAAGGGATAATTGGGGCGAACTCATCTGCGATATCTGTCTCCTACTGACTTGCGGTTTCTTTCTTTCCAATCTCTTTTTTTCATCCAATAAATTATCAGACTTCTTCCTTTCCCCTTTGATGGGATCATAATAATGACTGAGATCCTCCCGAACTCGAGACATAAGTGAGACTTGTTCCTTCTTGTCTTTCTCCAGCAGCAGATTGGCTTGTTTCTTGTTCCTGGTGTACTTGACGAATTCCTCGAGATCCAGTTGATTGCGAGAGGTGTTTTTATGGGCCAATTGCTTGGTACTATTCTGGAAGACCGAATTGAAAAGGAAACTATTCTGGTGGCTCTTCTGTTCTGCCTTGGCCAATTTCAATTATTCTGCGATGTGAAAATTATTTTAGGTGACTGTGGTGTTGTTGCTCCTGGTCGATATCTATTGACTACTGATTTGCTTTAATAAAGAATTCGTATGAGATAGAGTTTAAAATTTCAAACCAGTTTCTGTGAAAGAAGGTAATTATTATTACTTCATTGAATAAATTATCAGTTGTTTTAAGATAATATATCTTGGCCCGAGTGAAATATTGAATCTTTTAAGGCATCAGTTGAATGTCATGAACATGACAATCAAACTTCAAAGAGGGAACATTAAAATGAATTTGTCATTTGTATATAATTGTTCGTATATAATAAAAATGATTAACTTAAGTTAAATACTAGAAGGAGACAATGGGGAGATCACCTTTTGCGAAGACGCCAGCCAAGTCGATTTAGAAGATATCCTATAAGAGGATGACGACATGAGAGAACAACTCAATCATTTGAATAGCGATTCCCAGACTCTGGAATGCAATAATCAGAACAATGAATCATTCATATGTGACCAAGAGGAATTCATTTCCCCAATCCAAATTATGTCTCTCGGACACCAATCCAAAACCTTTGGCATCTCAACGAATTACTTGATCAACTATTGGGAACCCTAACTTGCATTATTCTCCAATAACAAGAATTGCAAAACCATTCAAATTCAGGATGTATCATACATCTCAGTCAAAGGACAAACCATAGCTGTCGGATTCGAGAGCGGCTCAATTCACATCTACGAAGGAAGTCAATTAAAATTAGCACATAAAATACAAGAACATCGAACCACAATTATCGGTTTGAATATAGTGGATGTACAAGCCAATGAATTAGTGATCGCATCATCCGATCTGGATGGCAATGTCAAATTGATTAGAGTGGGTCAGAATTTATTCAGAAGTAAAATTGTAACCAATACTATATTGAACAAGTTTGAGTACCCAGTCACCTAATTAATATCGTAGCAATTTAAATACTCGGATAGCGATAAAACCAGTTTACTATTGACTCTTGCGAACAGCAACATGGTTATAACACTCTCCATCAATCCCGAAGTGAGGGTAGTACATGTTTTTGACAAACAGAAATCCAATAATGATCTCCATTGGGGCAAATGTCATCATGAAGGCAATCAAATATAACTGTTATCCATCCAATGGAATTCATTTATCTAGTTGATCACCTTCTTGGAAAATTCCCCTTGGTACTTCTCATTCTACTCTGCTGATACTCCTCTAATCGGAGCTAAATTCATCTCCGAAAACCTAATCATTGCTGCCACTGAAGGCCAATTTCAAGTCCTTTACATACCTTATTTCTCCAAAGGCAAATATTGCTTTAAAACTGATAGCAAGGCCAAGATTTCCAGCACACATTTCCATCAAAATATATACTGTCTAAGAGTAATAAGCAATGTAGTCTACTTCATATCAGAAAATAAGTTGTATTCATTGCATGCTTTGAGTTGGCTACAATATCTCAAATCGTTAATACAAAATGATACCCCATAATGGCCAGTCGCATTAAAATTTCTTATCCAAGTCTACAGAGGCAAAGTTAAAGGCATGCCCAATCTGGAATTGGATGAAGATAGAAGTGCAATCCAAACATTGGCTCCTACTTTAATTACTAGTATTACTAATTCGAAGATGAATAGAGAATTGATATCAGCAGTTGTGTAATTTATTCTTCTTTGTTAAATCCCGTAGCATTTGATGATAGTACGATAAGGATGCGAGAAATAATAGATATTGGATGATTATTATAGAGTGTTAGAACTGCATCTAAAGAAGATCACTTAATTACCCAAGGAGATATTTTTTGATTTGGCAAACAAATTCTCACCAGAGTCTTTCTAATAATTGGTTATCAATTTGGATTTAAATTCAATTGATATTGGATATACATATGATGTCTGTCTGAGTAAAGAGATTTACACTCCATTGTTGTACATATGTCCGAGAAAAGAGGAAGATTTTCTAACGCCCTTGAATAAAATGTTCGAGAAACACAAGTAGGAACTCTATGAAAAATGCCTATGGTTTATTGAAATCACATAGAAGTAAATTCTGTTTCCGAACGACCAGATTCCATTGGAAATTTGGAAGAAAGCTGTTAGATAATAGATGTTGTGGTTGATGGAAGTATTGGACGTGTTCTAAAGCGAGAAGTTGTTCCAAATCTTAACTACCTATCTTAAATAACCTTGTTTCGGTGCATTACATCATGAATCAGTGTACTCGTATTTCAACATCACTTAAGAGAATTTATTGGCCACGAAAATATTTGAATAAGTAAGCAGCATCAAATAATAGTATTTGCTTTAATACCTATTGTTTATCAGTAAGATAATCGATTAGATCAAAGTCAAAGACTCAGAGAAATTATTGTTGCAGATCTTTGAGATTAATAAATCATATATTGATAACTACGTAGCCATGCCTGAAGATTTGGATCAGATCCTACAAATCATTTATTATTTAATGCCTCACACCTCATTAATCGAGCAGGCATACGAAAGCAAATGTGTTGATTATATTGCTTATTACTTCTTATCCCAAAATCAGTTCAACGAAGCCATCAAAATATTCTTTGATTATGAAGAATTCAAACTTCGAGTCTACAAATGGCTTGAATATCAATCCTATGATCCATTGATGTTGGATCATCTGGATAAGCTGCTTGAATTAGATCCTGAGAAGTGTGCTAAAGTCTTTCAAAGTTGGCCTATTGAGACCCTCCAAAAACTCATCATTTATCAACCAAAGAAAGAATTGTTGCATGTATTCAAATATCTGTCCATTGATCTTTCACCATTTCTTCAATTGAAATTGATTGAATTGATTAGCATTCATGAACCAGAAAACACCATTTCATGGTTGAAGAACAGATCCTACCAATTAGAAGACGTCGAACAAATTTTCAAATAAACCAACAACATTGAAGGATTGGGATACATTATGGAATAAAAAGGACTCTATCAATAGGCTATTGATAACTACCTTCAAGTCTATAAGGAGGAATCTAGGAACTACATTTTGTCATTTAGAAATTAAGATCGAGTAACCCAATTGTTCCAGAACCTAATGAGAGCCACTAAGATTGCTGTCTAATCTGATGATTGTCACTAAGATTTGTACTTGTATATAGCCCATCAAATCTTCAATCCTTTAATGCATTAAACTCATTGGTGTAAACTCAAACGATCCTTTGTTTTCAATCAGTAATTTAGTTAGCTCTTTATGAATTTATTCCGTTACTCTCCTACAGAACTAATTAAAATCATAGAGATAAATCATGAGACATTTAATCAAGTTCATTTGAAGAGTAGTTTCATTACAGTTTTTAAGGAATTTGGATATGAAAAACAATTAGTCGAAAAGATATCTAAGATAATCAGAAATGACAACATCAAATTGCTTAAATTACTGTATTCTTTGATGAACAAGTCAAATCTATATGAAATAATCTGTATAGAGTGTTAATAACCATACACTCAAGACTAGGCCATTCTTTTAAAGTGTGGTCACACCATGCATCCATTTTGCCTGGAAAACAAATATTGTCCGATTTGTTAAAATATCTCAACTTAATCATGTACATTTATGAATTTAAATTTATAGTGCTTGAAAGTATTGGAGTAGAGGAATTAAAGAAATCTATTTTGAAGTCTAAAGTAGACAATTAATAGTTGTAATTGTTGAAGAATGTCGATGACATCGATTTTGAGGATAATTTCATTTCATCGACTACTTAAGATGACAAAGAAATGATGGAATTGAGGTTGTTAAATAAAATGGATATATATGATTAGTTAATTGATTCTGGATTGCAATAGGTATTCAAATGTAATAATTTTAGTACAATTCATTTCTGGATTATTATTTTTGATGGTTGTCTGACTTTTTGGTATACTTTATATATTTGTGTATATAAATAAAAAATGCAGTTATAACATATAATTTAACATTAATTAAAAAAAGAACAGATTTCTACATCATGCTTTGTGAACACAAAGGAACATAATCATATTGTATCGGTTGTCAATAAATAATCTGTGAAAAATGTATTTGTTGTACTGATCCAAAAAAAATAAATTTACCAGACAATGATTTAAATGCGCTTTGCTCAAGATGTGATTAAATCTCAGCCCAATTAAGGTGTGAATAGTGCAAATTTCAATTCTGCGAAGAATGTTTTCAATCAGTTCACAATATAGGGAAATTCTCTACTCATATCAAAATTGCAATTAATTAAGAGCTACACTAATAAATAGCGAAATAATTGTCGATTATTGCAGAATTCGAATAGTACTCATAAGATCAAATGGCTTCTGTTTTGAGATACTTTGATTAGATTCAAGAAGTTTTAGATAGGAAAAAATAATAGTTAATTGATACAATCTCTAATTATCAGGGTTAATAAATGAAAATGCTTAAATAAAGAAGAAATGTAATTGAAGCGGCTGTCAAAATCAATTCAGAACAATCCTTTGAAATCCCATAGTGTCTCAATTATTAGAAGGAAACATTTAATTTAACTTCCAAAGAATAGTTTATCGAGTTTATCTTAAATATCGATTTTTAAAAAAACCTTGAATCAAGTACAGTCAGTCCTCGTAGAATTCATACTTAGTCTAGTGTGAGAAGGAGTGCAAGTTCTCGAAAATTGGAAAGTCAAGAAAAAATTGTTGAAATTTGTGAAACTTTTGAAAAGAGAAAGTTTATTAAATAATTGTGTTAATCAAATTCTATTTAGTTATAATGGACTCACTCCAAATAAAGGGTTGACTATAATTTAGAGATGGGAATTGGGATGAAAATCAAAGGAGTTGAATAGTTTAAATAGGTTTATAAGGGTACGGACCCATAATTTACAATCTCTGGGTTATAAACAAAAACAAATTATAAATTCAGAGTGTAATGTATCTTTGAAAATAGAACAAGTGAATTCAGCGAGATCTTGAATTTGACTACGTCTCAACAATAATCTGTTGAGGATAGCCTAATAATTTCTAAGAAGATAATAAACAATGATATCTAGGTGTAATTTGAGAAACCTGGGTTAGTGTTAGGCACGAATCCATTATATTTTGGAGTCTGGTCTTGGGAAATCAAACTAATAATCAATGGAATAATTGAAGACTTGACTGCCAGCTTGGTTGTGGGAGTAGCCAATAAGTAGAGAAAGATAGTTGGAACTACACTTAATTATGGTTATCAGAGAGACTCCTTAGTTATCAAAGTCTTGGTTGATATGGACAACAAGTGTATGACTATAACTTCGAAGATGCACCCAAATGGAGAGAGATTCCAAAACATAATAGGTCCTGTATTCCCAGCATTTTAGAATAAGAATACTCATAAAGGATCGGGATGTAAATTATTGATATAATATTAATAATTATGAATAAAAAAGAATTGAGAAAGCTTAATTCTTACGTAGACAAAGAAGTACTCAATCTGACAGGTGGACTCTATCCATTTGCTCTTTTCTCATAAACAAAGCCTCAAAATCATTAGAAATGGGCTCAGGAGGAGATACTGTTATCGAATTAGTAAATTGAAAAAGTAAAGGCGTGGGTGCCTGAATAAGAAAGGGGAAAAATGTTCACTGGAGAGAAGGTCAATTACGATCCAGAATACCTTGAGTTTAAAGAAGGAGAAGTAAGTGTTGATGATGATTGGAGTTTTGAAGAGACTTAATATTTGTTCAATTAATTGAGGAATTACAATTACAATTTCATAGTGCTTTCTGATCGATATTCATATAAAAATAAAAACAGAGATATTTATGAATTGAAAGACAGATATTATGGCGTTGTTAATGAAGTCTTGCAAAAGAGGAATGAAACATCGCATTTTCTATACAATTATGTTTACGATGAAGAATATGATCGGTTTAGGAATATGGAACTTGAAAAGTACTTAAAACGAACAAAGCAAATTTGTGATGAAGAAAAGAAGTTGCAAGAAGATTTAAGGAAGGTTGATCAATAAATAAAAAAGCAAGAGAGAGAACATAAAAGTCTATGCAAATCTATTAATTTATAAGAATATGATGTAACTAGTATTTGTCATTTAGGACATTGACGACAAATCTATCAATTACATTATAGACATGTCATCAAGAAATGAAGAAGTAAAAAAGACAACTACTGAGAGAATAGTGTATTTAAGAAATAAATGGATTAATGAGGCATTACCATTACCCACTTAAATCAAGGATAAATTGGATAGGCAACTAAAGGAAGTGCTTTAAAATACTAAATTAGCTTTGAATTAAGAAATCGAAGAGTTATTCTGCAATCTACGAAAACTCTAATTGGGCGTATTGAGTTAGCAGAGATTACAAAAGAGAAGAGAATAAGACAAAAGATATTTAGAAGATAAAATCAAAAAACTTAAAGCCTAACATGATTCACAATAAGCAAGTGATATGAAAACTAAAAAATGAGATAATTTATATTCTAATAATAATTAATATTGGATTCATTGTTTTACTATTTCAGAAAATTCGTGTTCTTTGGCTAAGTAAATTCAAATTAAACAAAACAGTTACCTCTTTTTTCTAATAATGATCTAAAATATTTTGCAGAGAAGTCTACGATATCTCCTGGCTTGTTTCTAATAACTTCCTTTGCATAATGTTTCAAAATCACTGGCAATTCAGGAGGTACAACAATCTATTCAGCACAATAAATTCTCTATTCTCTCACGTCTGCCATTTTATTATATATTAAAATAATTAATTAAAATTCATTATTTCAAAAGCTAAATAGATGAGGAAATCATAAACAAACATTTCTCATATGCACATGTGATTAATGATCTGTCATTAATATTCTCTATTATTGAAAAATCACTAGTTAAGTTGGGATGATGCTTAATTTAACTATTCAATATCAAAAATCTATTTATATTTAAATATATGTATATTATGGGTCATGCCATTGTCTATTAAATACATTCATAATATCTGTTTGTGCAATAATTATTATCCAACAGCAATAGATAAAAATAATCAACAAATAAATCAAATTGATCAGAGAGAATTCATGAGAATTGTTAAAATAATGATTGTAATTCATGACAATAAAATAAAAATTAGGATCAAAGATGATATGACATGGGAATAGAATTCTTCAATAATGATAGATGTACTTAAATCTATGACTTGTTTTTAACCCTTCATACACTTCATCTGTAATGGTTCATAGTAGCATTCCTTCAAGCGAGAAGCACATTCATCTGAATCAATTATTTTAATGCATTCTTTTACACATTGCTCAACAATAGTATTATCCTCCTTCACTTGAGTACTCCAATAACAACGGTCTTATGCCTAGAAGCATTCAACCTTTGTCAGGAAGGAAGAACATAAGATTGAAACACATTTACCATTAGCATAAGAACAGATCTATTATTAATTTTCACATTAGCACTTCTCTACAATTTGTTCACATTATTAACAAATCAATGAATTAGAAAGAATGCATGAATAGCCATTTATTTCATTTCCATGACATAACTTTTTTGATGATCCATATAATTGACAGGGTTGACTTGTACACACTTCAGTAGCATCTAATAGATTCATTTTCTACCAGTTGCATCTAAACCCTTACACTGACAGTTGATTGCAAATATTCATAGCAGAATCTCCATAATTATTAACCAAAGAGCATGAACTTAGTATCTGACATACCTTATTAGAATCTAAATAGCAGCCACTTACACCATTACAATCTTTGATATTATAATCAGAACAAGTTCTAACTTTACAAATACCAAATTGATATTTGCATTTAGGATTAGAACAATTTGAATATGGACAATATAGATCTAGATTATTTGATGAAGCACATTGATTCCCTGCTTAACTGCATTGAATAGAATTGATGACGTAGTTAGAACATGGTAATTTTGAATCAATAATATCTTCACATTTACTTGCTGATTGACAATCATTTGAATTATTTAAGTAGCATTATTTATTATCTAGAATAGAATTGCAATCTTCTGCTTATAAATGATAACACTATTTTCTGATGCATTAATTACCATTGAAATAACAATTTGAATTTGCTTTGCATTCATTAATTTTATCAAATTTGCATATTTCTGATTGGAATTCAATGCATTTACACTCTAGCTTTTCTTAACTCCAATTACATAGAGAATTAGCTTCACAAAACATTCTATTCTTTCCAGGAACATTACAAGTATTAGATTGATAGATAGGAACATTACATTATAGTCTAACAGAGTCATATGTGCAATTTTCATTAAATAGTGATGCGCAAGCCAATGCATTTACATTCTTTACCGTTATACAAGATGACTAATAATCACTAAATTTCTAACACTTACTATTCCTAAAGACACATGGTTCTTACTGGACCATACTACATGCTTGTAAATTTAATCCAGGTGTGTCACATGTTAGAGACCATACATTAAATTAGCTAACACATTAATTTAATCTATTATTGTATAAACAAGGGATGTCAGAGATACTTTAACAAGCAATTGAATTAACCTAAAATTTAGAATCACAATTTATTTGAATTTTCAAGTCTTCACATATATTAGATTCGTTCCAATAAATAGGTTTTTGATTATTTTGAAGACATGCCTATTTAGATAGACCCAGCATTTAATTATTTTGAACAACTTCAATACAACTAAATGTATCTGTATCATGAATACAAGCAAAATCTAAGAGGATTTAACAAACATAAGGCGAAACTAATTAATAATCTGAGCATTTATTCTTTTTGTTGTCTTAACTAAATTTTTAACACTGATTAAGAGATACTACCCATTAACAAGGTTAATTAGGAATAGATAAACAAGTTTTTTTACTTATCCCAACCGATATGCAATCTATTGTTTATAGATCCTGGACTTAACAAGAATACTTAGAATATACGCTACTTATACTATGATCTATGCAAACATTTATATTAACATTTGACATAATTGGATTATCTTAAGTCCAATATAAACATTTATGATTCCAAAAGCAAAGTTAATTGCTACTTGTAATACTCAAACAACCCCAGATATTGAGTGCATCTGAACATTTCAATTTTTCAAAATTGGTCACTCTTTGACATGAATTAACCCAAACACAAGGTTAATCTTCTTTTCTTGAATTAATGCAATCATGCTTAGTTTAAAGCTATTCGCATTGATTAAACAATAATGGTTATGGATAATCCAAGGTTTGAATTTCTAGAAGTTGCGAAACAGTAAAATAATCATCAAAATTCTGGGAAAATTATTGGGATGGTATGCAAATCTCATGTTGGTAATCTAAATTACAAGGATCTATTGCATTAGTCAGACAAGCAAATTGATTGAGTCCCTTTGGCAGATTAACACAATAAATCTTTTGATCTAAACCTTCAAATGATTTGCATTAATTATCAATCCATTAGCATTCAACTTATTGAGTATTCAAACAGACAAATTTATTTAAAAACAATTCACATCTCAATAATATTTATTACTAGCAAGAGTTCAAATTCCAAACACAACCTTTTTTTGATTAAATGCAAGCTTATTAATTATAAAATTCAGAGCAATCTGTCGGTATATCATTTATGCTTTTGCATTGATTAAATAATTCTTCATATTAACAAAGTTCATCAGATACAGCTTTGCATGGTAGAATTCCATTTAGGTAGCTTGCTGATGAACAGGTTGTAATCTCTTAAAGTTAGCATCGTTTTTGATTGATGTCCCATTTACAATGCTACCCTAAATTCTTTACATTCATGCACGCCTTTTCGTTGAGTAGATCTGAACACTAGGCTGAATAGAGATTTGCATCTTCACAAAATCCTCCGTCATTGAATTACTTCCATTTACAAGGTACATCATAAGTTAATTCTACACAAGCATTCAAATTTAATCCAAAAAGAATGCAAGAATTAATTTTAGTAGTAACAGGAGAACATTCAGTCCCATCAAGGCGTCTAGCACAATAATTTGATGTTTGACCACTACATAAACTTTTAGATGTATTAGTGGTTTAATCAGCCAAAGTGCAATCGAACTGAGTGACTATAATTGTTTCACAGCTTTTGATTTCAGAATTCCATTGACACTGAATATTGGAAAGTGCAATCTCTAGACAAGCTCTTAGATTTAAATCTGAACATGAAGATATCTCCTTATTTTCCTATATGAGTACTGTTTTGCACTTTTCATTTTTCCATCTACAGTGAATTTCTTTAGTAAGTTCACTCAAACATGCATCTTTAGAAAGATTTTGGCAAGATTACTGATAATCCGTAGATTCTAATAATTTGCAATTTCCTTGGTAATAATAATAATAGCCTGTTTGATGAATGCAACCATATTTATTAATTTAATCATCAGTTCCAGTTGTTGTACATATGGAGTCATTAAAATAACAAATAGATTCAATTTAATCACATTATTATTTTGAAGATCCCTGACAAGTTGTACCAATGTATTCGTTTACTAATTTACACTTATTGTCCTAAAAGGAGTATTTACAGTCATTACTGCCAAAGTGCATACATGCAGCATAACTGGATTTAAACTCTGATATATCATCGCAAGTCAGAATATTTTAATTTTACACATTCCTGCATGTCTCATCATTATTATTCCAAAAGCATTTCAGATCACCATTTAAATGTGATAAATCCTAAAAGCAAAGATCTTAAGGTAATTGTTCACAAGATAATTCAACTATGTTTTATCCTTAAAAACAAAAGCCATAACCGCTTTTTGTATATCCGTATTGACAATCCTAGAAATTTGAACACACATTTCTTGAATAATACCCAGAAAGAGATGGACAGATATCCAAGAGTTAATCAAGACTATCACAATCATTTATATATTAACATTAGTGTTCACTGTTTTAGACTGTACAGGCTGCAACATTATCAATACTCTAACAATCTGCGTATTTCTGATATTATCTAATCTATTAGCATTGAGAATCTTTATAAATGCAATGAGGGTATTAATGACAAAATAGGTAATTAGTTTTCTCAAAAGAATCACAATCAAAGAGAGTATTTGTTATTGCAAAGCACTAACCGTCCTTAAATACGCACTATTAATCATTAGTATCATTTGATTCACATTCAAACGTAGTATCATCACACAATACGGAAGAATAAAATTAACATCTATTATTTAGATATTGACAATATTATGTTGGTATTGAATAACAACCATACTTATTTAACCCTGGAGTATCACAAGTGTATAAATTGTAATCAGCTTAATCTATTTTAATGCATTCAGTTTCACCAGATATCATGAAAATATTATCGTGATTAGAAGAACAGAAATAGTTACTAGTAATTGATTGTATGTCATAAAAACTCATAGACTTGCAAGTCTCAAAATATTCATTCCAAACACATTAAATAAATGGAGAAGAGGAACAAGCAAACTCATTAAGATATTTGCAATTCTCTGTAAATACATAATTTTCTGAAATATATTTACAAGTCTTATCTATAAAAGCACATCTACGTTCTTTTGTCTATCTTATACAGAGGGTCTATGATATTCCTGGCTGCTCACAATCATAATTTAAAGAACTATCATATATAGATATGCAGCCTTCTAAGGGATCATAAATGCATGAATCAGTTGCCTATGAACATATATTTGGATTTAATAAATTCATATCCGAATAATAGTAATTTAACAAATAACAATACATCTTATCCAATTTCTAAAATCTGCACCCTTTATTGATTATGATATTATTGATATCTGACGTTGCTGAGATATAACAAAATTAACCAGGAGTTCTCACAGATCCACAAGATTTCTAATTAGCTTATTCACAAGTAATTGTGTTTAATATTATTTCAGTATCCATGCTGGAATCAATCAATGTTACACACTTATTACTAACAAACGCACACATTTACACAAAATAGCCATCTTGGTCAATCCCTGTCATCCCACTACAACGATGAATATTCATTGTATCGTTATCCCCACAATCAATCTAATTTTCTATTTTTGACATACATTTATTATCTTAATAAGCACAATAATTCTCCATCGTGAATTCTACTTTATTTATGTTTTTCAATTTCACACATGTTTAACTACTGCTATTCTCAAAAAAAGAACAACTAGGAAAATTGTCAAAATAATTTTTGCATTAGTTAAGAGATGTGCTCCAAATACATAATTAACCATCCGTTTTAATACTTAAACATGTCAATTTATTAACATAATTTTCTTCGCATTTTAGTTTCATAAAATAAATGCTTTAGGTTGAATCAAATTCAATACACCTATTTATCTATTCATCAAAATATGTATAACTATCTGCCACCGCCTAACATGCATACCTATTTAGATTGTAGTTATATTCAATTGTATCTGTTGAACTTAATTAAATGCATGAATGAGTGACTTCATTATATTTACAAAGTGTTTTATTAACAAATTACATTCTACAAACCTATTGATTTACATTAAGTAGAGAAGAGCACTTTAGATTATTTATGGTATTTATAGATACTTCAATACACAATTCATCTGAATAAGTGCAAAATTGTCCTTCAATATTGTTACTTAAACATTGCTCTTCAGATAATCCATTCCCAGAACACCCTAAAGTATTTACTTCTTTTTCAGTTTTTTCAATACAAGAAGTGGTGATTTAATCATAAACACATCGAACAGAATTTGAAGATAACTTGCTATATTGACAGAATCGTTCATTTACATCAATCAATTCCAAACAATATTAATTTTTGATATAGGATTATTCAAATTTTTAACAAATTTACTTCTCCTAATTCCATAGATAATACCCGTTCAAATTGTGGAGACAATCATATTTGTTGATTAAGGCTAAGTTTTTATTCAATTTTAATTAATCGAATAAACACACTCTTTTTACTTCATCAAATTCAGTTGCTAGTAAAGAATTGTATTTACAGAGATTCAGATTGCAAACCAAACTTGTTTATTATTAATAATTTTCATCTAAATTTCTGTCCATAAAAATAGTATGTACCATCAATAATGGTTAATCAAGTATGTTGATGCATTTCATCATCAGTTCAGACCAGTAACACAACTAATCGCTTAATGATATGAAAGTGCAAACATGTATATTTTAAACATCTGAACATTTCATTAATGAAATCTCATGGTCCTGTAATTCATAGCATTTATTTTCACTATTATCCCAATCACATTTTGCTCTCAAGAATATGCAACCAGATTTTGTTAAACCTATTTAATTGCATGTGTTTGTAGGTGCACAAATAATTTCCGATTATATACTTTTAGCCCCCAAATAGATGCAATCCCGATTTAGGCATTCAATCATATTGGATATTGAAGTACAAGTATTTACACACATATTGGTACTTAAATCAATATAATGATTATCTAATTTTTGACATTGCTTGATAGTGCAAAATCCATCACTACAATCAATTTCATATTCATTTGAAACCTCTACGCATTAATATTCATTTTAGTCATCATCTATTTTACAATTAGATTCTTTTGGGTTAAAAAATATGCATTAATATTTATCTAATGATTTACAATTTATGTTATACTACTCTACTACTTTTTAGTTTGCTAATTCAAAAGTATCGAATTTCACACATTTATTGTCTATAAATATATATTTTTAGTTTAATTGAGGATTTTAATTTAAATATTTGCAATATACGTGATTTACTCCTAAGATTTCATCTTATAAACTAAAGATTGAATAAAAGTCATCGTCATCATATATTTCTAATGCAATACAGCCTTCTCTAAATCTATTCGATATTTACACTTAAAATATCAACAATTATTTTACAATTTGTTTCACTAAATTACAGAGATTTTCCTAATTTATACCAAATAAACTTTCCGTTTTTTGTTAAATAGTTATTCTACATCTCATCCAGGCTTGGATCATCAATTTTCATATCATCAGTGCGATTAATATTCAAATCTCTTTATTATTGTTGAAACGCCTCTAATTGTAAATCAGGAATGTATGATGTGAGATTCCATAATAAACTACTATGAATCACTAAATAATGTTCTATATGAGAGCAAGCAGAAGCACTATACATCACCTTGTCAAAATCATTTTATATTAAACCTGATTACGATGATGCTTCTAAGAAATAACATTGCTGATTTTTCCAAATGCAAATCTATGATGGAGTTTAAACAGATAAACATCCATACTTTGATAAATTATTATAACACTTTTCAGTCTATACATCAGGAATATTTTCGCAGAATTTTTTGAATCGGCCTAATTCAATCTTAAATAATACATTTTGCAAACTACCCTAAGGCATCCCCTAATTACTTTTAACAAGCCAACAAATTCAAAAAAGTGTTACATCCTTGCATATAATCATTCGTGTGTTGACAATTATTTCTCACTGAATCCCACATACATTAATCCTCTATACTATTTATACATGATGGATAAGATAAATATTGATTGCATATATCTAAACAATTTCCTCTTAAAAAGAAATCAGCAATCAATATTTGTGTTATTATAAAAATCATAATAATAAATAAATTATTTATATATCATTGACATTATGAGATTTTTAATCATTTGTAATTACAAAATCCTTTATGTAATTATAATTAATGATTTATTAAATTATGTAACCGCTATATAATATTTAGAATTACAAATTTTGAAGAGATTCGTATTTATAAATTTAGAATAATGTTATTTTAAATTCAATCTTATGTAATATTTTATATGATAGAAATTTTTTGATATAATATTTAACTCTAAGTAATTCATCATTATATATAGATATATATTTCCGAATTAGAAAGATTATTAAATGAAGCAAATGCTGAAAACCATTAAAATATCTTACAAGCAATAAGATCTTTAATGATTATGATTTTTAATAATGAATCAATAAATCTAATCTTTTATGTAAATATTTGTATTTTATTATATAAACCAACATACTTATAAGAAAATCATTAATTTATATAAACCTTTAATAAAAAAATACATAATCATTAGTATACAATTATAATTTTAAGTACAATAATAAAATAGGATTTTTATGTTATTATTATTAGTTATATTCAAAAAGATTTATTTAAACTTTGTCCATACTTTTACTTCAATCCAAATTCCGCTTGGTTGGATTGCTTTTGTAGTTTCATTATAGTATTTAAATCTAATGGGCGTAAAGGAAAACTCCTCTTTTTGCTTTCTGTATACATTCTCAAAATAAAATAGTATTTTGCGTATTCAGCTGGATAAACTTGAAGTCTATAATCTAATAACATTAGAAATATTCTTTCCATCTCATTAATGTCTTTTGTTCGATATTAGGGAAACACTTTAGCAAAATTGTCATTTTCAAAGGATTCATCATCCCAAATCTTAGATGCAATTATCTAATATTGTATAATAAAGAGAAATACCAATGATATTAAAACTACTCTTTTCCAGGTTTATGGTTCTAAACTTATATTGGCTTATGTTAATAATCTTTCTATGTAAACGAGACAAAGAATTGTCACTTCCTTTTCCATTTTTGAAGTTATTATAATGTTTTTACAATAGTTACTTACAACTTCAGCTGTTGGTATAACTTACTCAGAATTAACATCAAAATAAATTTTTTGATATTAGAGCTTAATTTCTTTGTCATCCTCTTCCATTTCAATAAAGTCAAATTTAGATTAAAATAGGGATTATTACTCTTAATACTACATACTTTGGGAGTAGTTGTATATTTTTTAAGAATCCTCAATGTGTTGTAAAGATTCTTCAGAGATATTATTGACTTTAACCAATTATTGTTACTAATGTTATATATATTTAGGTTTAATCGGACTAAAGGTATCTGACTCATTCTATTGAACTTAAATAATTTAATTTTCATTATCATTTTCTTCTTCTGAACATACATCATAATCTTAATCATTTTGTGAATAGTTATCATTTTCTTCATTTTCAAATTATTCATTATGAAGATAACTTTCCTTCAAAATATCTTAGATTTCCTATTTCTTAATCTCAAACTCATTTTCATCTTTGCTTAAGGTTTTTTCACTAATTTAGGCCAAGGTCTTATTCTACTTATTACTCAAATTAGTTTTATCTAATTTTGATATCTATTATGATTAGAACAATCCTATCTGTTGTTATTATTGTTATTCACTATAGAGATGCAATTAAGTTGGTTCTTCAATTGGATTTTGGGAAGTATCTTAGTAATTCATGCCTGTTCCTCGAAATCGTATATCCATGGAGAAAGGAATACTGGAATTTTTCATTGTCGAATAGTTAATCCTCTTACTAAATTGAATATGCTTCAATATAGCCCAAGCCAGACAATTACTCATTTCCTCGATATCCAAATTCACAAGGGTTGAAGTCAATTTACCAGTATCATAGGATAGATACATGTGTTTGATTTAGGACATTTGTAAATCTGGCATATTTTCATCCTCTTCAAAATTTCTTTTTCTTCTTTTCTAATTTAATTACTTCTCTAAATTCTTTATCAACCTAAAATGATAAGCATACATTACTTGTTCTCCTTAACTTCTGTAACCAATTTATCATCTTGGAATTTACTAACCAAGATGATATCGTCTTTTGCTTTTGGTTTTGTATGAGTTCTGCTCGTATCGGATAATATCGGTCCTGTTGTAGTTTATAAAAAATTATTGGTTTTTGTTAATATTGGTTTGCTGTATTGATTTTACAGAGTCTGATTATTAGAATTGATAATTGTCGTTGTATCTCCTTTATATTTCTCCATAATTTAATTTAGTGCTTAATTGAATTCGTCTTCATAATCACTCTCATCTTAGAAAAAATCAAAGCCTATGTTTGTAATTTTCATTTGCTTTTATTTGTTGATGGCTTGTATTTGTTATTGTTATTGTTATTATTATTATTATTAAGGTTTTATTCTTTAAGTTTAACTTGTTTTGGGTTTTTATTGTGTTAGGATTTTACTATTTTTTTTTGTATAACTAGTATTTCTAAATTTGGATGAGTTTGAAGGCGTAATGATTTCTTTAATGTAGGCTATTAGATCCAAGAGTTTGACTTTATGGCCTGGCAATACTTTGATGTCATTGAACAAATATTCAATTTAATTGTCTGAGAGCATTGCAAATTTAATTAAATCATACCCATATCCTCTTGTTATTAGTTATTGAGCATATTATTACAGCTGATACAATTTCAACAATTTGTATAAAGGGATTGATTCCTTATCTTCTTTTTCTTTGTGTGTGAATCCTGAAATGGATGAATTCATGGAATTCATTGATTCGTTTACTTTAGTTGATTTCTTCTTACTTGAAACAGGCACTTGGGCTTTGGCATGCTAGATTCGCTTTTCATAGAGCTTCTGATTTTGTTGCTTCTCCCACTATTTCATTTTAATCAATGATTTTGATTTTATAAATTCAAATTATTTCTTATATAGCAAATTAATTTATCTAGAATTCTAATAAGCTAAAATTTGATAAATATTGATCAAAAAATACTAAGCCAAAGAATTATAAATGAAGTATATATTTTAATTAGAAAATATTATAATAAATTAATAATTCAATGGATTAGGAATATGACTTATAACTCTAAGTAACTAGAAGCAAAATCAATTAAAAGAGTGCAGTGCCTAGGTTTGCATTTTAGAATAATCAGCAAGATTTTGACGAATCTTTGAAGCATCTCTCATTATAATAGACAAGAATCTCTTCTTTACCAGATGGATTGTGGAAACTAAAAAAATTGATATCTTTAAATTTGAATGACAACTACATTAAACAATTAGATTACAATATTTTGGATGGATTCAAGAATTTGGAAATATTGTTTATCAGAAATAATCTATTATAAGAATTCTAATTTGGAAAATTCAGGCATTTGCAGCAATTGGACATATCATAAAATCATATTAAGAAAATTTCTGCTGACATAGGCGACTTATTGTAGCTTGATCAATTGTTCATCTCGCATAACAGTTTCATGGAAATCCCTAAGAGCATTACTAAACTAAAATGTATTAAAGTGATTAACATAGATACTCTAAATGTGTTCCAATTGGATTGGTTCAAATATGGGGATCCTGGAGTTCAGGAGTTATTTCAATCTCAAGAACTGATATATCAGTTGTTTCATACGATTGAAATATGCTGCACAGGTGAAACGATATCGGCAAAACAATTGTTAAGTTCGATTGCATTTAAACAATTTGCCTTAAAGTACCAAGACAAAGACATTTAGATCCAATATAAAATACATTAGACAATTTTGGATGAGGATATTGGGATGCTGAGAATACTATTGTCTGAACCCAAGAAATTCTAAATTGACGAAATTAATCAGGATGATTACTCTCCTTTAGGATTGTCGATTTGGGAAGAGAAATATTTAGCAGCAAGATATTTATTATATGCAAATGCTGACCCAAATAAAGGAGCGTATGTTTATAATTAATATATAGTTCATGGGCTAAGAGTTGTTTAAATATTGCAGTATCTAAATTATAATATTATTTAGTGCTTGATTTAATCAAGCGAAATGTAGGATTGCATGAATAAGATATTTATGGTAATAATAGTATTCATTACTTATTTTGCGTATATTAAATGAATGAAGCAGAGGCTCAAAAGATTCTGCAATTACTATTAAAAAATGGAGTCAATGGCAATCATATCAATCATAATGGCTACACTCCAATTCATTTAGCTGTTTAAAAAGGATACATCCAAGTGATTGAATACGTCTATAAACAGAAAGAATACAAGTTCAATTTCAGATAGAAAACCTAAAAGTAAAAGCACAATTGCTTACATTTGGCAGTCCTCACCAGATAGATTTATATTGTCAAATTCTTCATCTACAAATTTCCTGAGTTCATATTTTAGAAAGATTATCACGATTTGATTCCAATTGATTATTTAAAGAATGACCTAACCATTTACAAATATTTGAAGGGCTTTTAGAAAGTAGAGATTCAGCATATCCTAACAAAAAATGAGATATTCTATTAATCTCAATTGTCAGATGAATGCGATGAAATTTTCTCTATAAAAGTATAGAGCCTCGCCCAATTGGATAATTTGGGATTGGAGAATAAGATTTAGACAACAAGAATTAATGAAATCACAAGACAAATACCATTGTCTCCTAATAATCTAAAAAGATTAGAGGAGAAAAACACTCTGATGAATCCGTAAGACTCTCAGAGAATCTAATGTTAAATATATAAGGGGATTAAGAAGATTGCATATGAGTTTGATAGATTACAATATAATAATATTGAGAATTTACTTAATTAGGACTAATTCTAAGAATAGTTAGACGATCTAATTCAAATTAAGAAGCTATTATATTAATTAAATAGTATTAAGAATATTATCGACTCGAATGACATCTATAACAAATAATGGCATTTCTAATTGAAGAGTCTGAAATATCAAATTAATAAGCATGTGTATAGTGAGAGGAATCTGGAGGATTAAAAGAAAGCTTCAAACCAACTCTTGCAAATATTCTTAGAAATTATCAAGAAGGTTGAGTACCTATTCAATAAAAATGAGAAGATAGATAGTTTATTATCCGATTTTGTGACAACTCAGTTCTTATCAATCCATTCTGGATTTGGATTGGGTAAATTGGTAGTGTTTTTGGAACAAAATCTTAAGGAATCAAAATCAGATGCAAATCACTTGGAACTGCTCTTTATTAAACTTCAATTATAACATCTATCGGTAAAATATAATATTTTCAATTAAAAATAACTAATGAATATATTTACTATTTGAATTTATATGTAATTTAGTGACATTTTCATATTATATATATAAATAACTACTAAGATGCTCATTTTTCTAACTCTCTCTCTCGTTCGTTCCTTACAGTAATTTGAAATCCTTATAGGCTACCCTCAAATAATTGAGTATTATTCAAGTGCTGGAATCATCATAGAACAAAATCTCACATCATCTTCAGATATGAATTTAACTACTTCTCCTTGTTAGGTTGTGCCATAGTAACTAATCAATCAGAATTTGCTATAGCAATCGTTACCTATCATCCCTTAATATAAAGCAACGTAGTTTTCCTAATTTTTTAATGATGGCCAATTTTCAGGATTGATCCCTCGTATCATTTCATTTGTAAATATTGGGAATGATGTAGTCATTTTAACGAATTCAGCAGAACTTATATATCTTCAATTTTATAATGAAACCTTTGTTCTATCAGACAAAATTAATCTCAATATTAATTTAACCATCTTGTAGTATCCCGTATTTATGGAGATAATTTAGAACCAACTTATTATTATCATGTATTCAGATACTATAGGTCTCACAATAGGTGCTCAATCTGATAAGATATTTTTGAAATCCTTTCGAATTTACGAATCTTTCAACACTATAAAAATCATGAGTGTGGCTGTGGTTAATAATATGTTGTTTATTGCAATGGGAGTAGGAGGCTTACACATATTTTAATTGAATGGATAAGTGCTAGGTTCAATAGATTTTGAGTATTCAATCAATAATGCAACTGATCTGAAAGTATTTCATCAATCTGATGTATATTTTATTTATTTACTTGATTATGAATTGGGAGTCACATCCTTCATATACAATCCCAAATCTACTTTGATTTATAGGAATGAATAACTAGATGCAATACCATTTTCTGGAGATATTATTGATATTTACAATAATACAATGATGATTGCTCGTTTCTAGGATTAATAAACAATTATTTAAGAAATTTAATTGAATTACTCTGACTTTAGTTGGAAGCAAGTAAATAAACATGTAATCAATTACATTATCGTTGATATTGAGATCTTAGATCATATTGCCATCACTTTGGGTCAAAATGGAAACACAGTGATATTTCACTCAATTCCATCAACATTTCAAATCAAATAACAAAGATTTATTATGCCTTCGTTGATTAAATTGAATTTCATCAAAACTTAAGGGTCATTGTATCTGATTGGTGTTAGTCTACATAACTTTTACTTTTCCAAGTTGGAGTTGAAATAGAGTTACTTGTATTGTTACTTTGAGCAGGAATAATAGGTTGAGTTAAGCTATTCACATATTTCGGAATGCACTAAAAAGGAAACTGGCATATGCACTTATAATCAGGAATATATAATACAATCAATCAAGCCAATAATTACGACAGAGTAAAAGTATTTAGTTTATTTAATTCTATTCGTTGTTGCATCAGCCTTTATTTCAATTGTGGTTGTACTAATCAGAGAATTTAGGAAATATCATAAATTTGTTGATGGCTTAGATTTCAATGTTCAAAAGTCAAACGAGATTACTCTTGAAACATTTGAAAGTCCAAATAAGAATTTTAAATTTAATTAAACTGGAACACATTCCTCATAGTTTTCGATAATCAGTAATATATCTAGATTGCCGCAAGTTTGATGAATGTGTGATATATATTATTATAATAAATAAATAATGATAATTTTGTTATTACTCACAATTGTGCAAAGTTAGGAATATAATATCTCTGCTGATTCTGAAAAAATAATTGACAGATTTGAACAATTTGGCGAAATATTTTTCTAGGAAATGGAATACTAGGATAAGTCATTCTAACCTTGCCATTTCACTAAACAACAGTTAGTGCAAAGTTCTGGTTTAAATGTAGACATTGTTGAATCTTTTAATGAAACTTTCTTTGTTCAACATTATGAAGAAGGTCATTTAAGTGGACAAATAGATGAAATCATAGCTGCTGTCACAATTAAAAATGGATCTATTGTTTTAACTCGATAAGGTAAATTATAACATTTACTGATTACCAATACAATCACTTTAGGAAGTTCAATTCAGATAAACATTACAACCACAAAAAAGGTACATTTACAATACTTTAGTAAAAATAGAGTGTTAGTGATAATAGCAGATTAAGAAACATTAGCATTCTAACTCTCAAATAACACAGATGTGTTTAAAGATTCCCTAAAATTAAAGTTGTATGACCAATTCAATGTGGATTAAATCTCAAGTGTAACTACAGTCAATGACATAATGTTTATTGCTATGGGGAAATTGGGCATTTCGATATATTAATTTAAGGAGAAGAATTTTTAATCGATTCCTTGGATTGTGAATGGTTAAACAAGTAGCCAATTTTAAAATGTGGTGGACATCAAAGTGTTCTCCTAAAGCCAAGATCAAATCTATACCATCTATGTCTTAGATAAGAGTGTTGGTGTCTAACAATTTGTGTATAATTCTGTTACAACCTTGATCTCCTAGAATACTAAATTGGGAACCATCCCCTTGGTTGGAGATATCTTTGATATAAAATAGTCTGTTTTAATCATCATCAGACACCAACCTACATTTTCATCTGTAAATGAATTAGAATTGGATTTAACAAACAACACATACAGATAAATCAATAAATATAACACTTTTAAGGATGTGCAAGATGTAGATATACTGAATAAATATGTGATTATCCTAGGCTAGAATGGCCATCAAGTGTAAAGACACTCCTTACCTCAAAAGTATAGTAATTAGTCATTCAACTCAATCATCATTCCAAATCTGTAACAATTAGATTATATTGATTATAAAAACAAGACCATTATTTTTGGATTCACCAAGCATAGATTCTTCTATTCCTCCATCAGAGAAGTAAATGTTTATTCAAATACTAGTCTCCGAGTTTAATCGTTTGCTAGGCAAATTATACTGAGAGACTTTCGACAACATTTGTTTACAAGCAAAAATCTACGATATGTCCCGATAATCTTAATATTACAAAGGGGGAGTACTGCTAAATATAGAAAACGTACACAATTAATTTCATCCCTCCTACGAGAGGTGGAGGTTATTATTACATTATCTTAATATATGTGATTGCATTTATCTTAGGCCTTGGGTTTCTGATGTTAATCTGTTAGGTGTGTAGAGAATTCAGGAAATATGAAAATTTTGTCAAATACAATGAGATGGTTGAGAATGACTCAATAGAAATGGAGGGACAAAATTTGAGTCCTTCTCAGGATTCTGGAAAACAAAAAATGAAATTTGAGAAAATAGAGAATAAAGTATCCTCAATGACTCCAGTAGTTTATGAGGAGAGGGATGATTGATAATATTTTATGTTATTATCTAATAAATAAATGGATTATATTAATTTGGGGGGATGCGGAGTAATAATTTTAAAATGATTTTTAAATGTATAAGAAAATCTTAAAAAAGATAGTTGAAATTTATAAGAATAATGAAAAAGTAGCAAAGTCCCGAGATGTACTTAATAAAGAATGACCAGTTTTGGCATTGCTAATTTATATCATTAAAACCAATAACAATTCAAATTCGGAATGGATTTTTGAACGGCAACTTAGAATAACAAGAGACCATAGAAATCTCATTAACTAAGTTCCCAACAATGGAAAGAGGTATTGAAGTGATGAGTGATTAAATCTAGTAAAAATTACAGAAGGGATTCAGAGAAATCAATAGCAATGATATCTTGAAAGCAAATGAATAAAAATTCTAGGAGAAAATGATTGCGACTTCCAAAAAGGATTTGATGCAATAGAAGATTTTGAAGAAGGTGAACTTGCCAGAACAGAGGAAACCAGTTGTAGCACTGACAGATGATGCTACTTAGGGGAAGTTAGTGGGAGAATGGCCAAAATATAGAGCCAGAACTCATTTAGGGGAGACCTTGGATTTAGGTCCTCCTGGAGACACTAAACCTATTGCTTGTTTATTGGCTGGACAATGGAACGAAAATATTAATCCTACAAATTATTTATTGTCTGAGAAATTGGATGGGATGCGTATAATTTGGAGTGGATGTGAAATGTTTACTCGAACTGGCAACTCTTTAAACTTCCCTACTTCATTTGTTGAAGGATGGCCAACTACTTATTTGGATGGAGAATTATGGCTTGACAGGGGACAATTTTAGAAATTGGTTAGCATAGCCAAGAAGAAATAACCTGATTACAAGACTTGGAAAGACATCAAGTTTATGGTTTTTGATGCACCTTTGTTAGATGAGCCATTTGTTAATCGATACTCCAAATTGAAGAAGGCTATTGAAAAAATAAAGAATCCTCATTTGGTTTATGTTCCACATGTTGTATGTAGAGGTTATGAGCATTTAAAAGAAGAACTAGCACTCGCTCAATAGGCAGGAGGAGAAGGATTGATGTTGAGAGATCCATCATCCATATATGAAGGAAAACGATCAAATACGCTATTGAAGGTCAAAACCACAATGGATTCAGAGGCCACTGTAATTGATCACATCAGTGGTATGGGTAAGTTTAAGGATTAATTGGGAGCATTGAAGGTGCAGACAGATGCAGGAATCACATTTTAGATTGGAGTCGGATTCAATAGCAAATTGAGGAAAGATCCTCCCAAGGTTGGTTCTAGAGTTTCTTATACTTATTATGGATTGACTGATGATGGGAAACCAAGATTCCCTGTATTCGAGAGAATCAGGGAGGATATATGATTTATATAATATTAATTTTATGTTTGAGAAATTAATTGAAAATCTCCTTTAATAGGTTTTGGGAGAATACATCGAAGGTTTGGATTAACAATCCCTGAAGGTTGGGATTTGGAGTGGAGAAGCCAAGATTGAGAATCTGAGATTGAAACCAGATGCTTTTATTAAATTAGACCTCCCCTTCATTGTTAATTATAGCAAATTGGGAACCCTTAATTTGAGTATTCCTTGGAAGAATCTAGCCAGTGCTCCCATCAAAGCAAACCTCGATACTTTATATTTAATACTAACCCCTCAGGAAGCCCGCGATTGGAAGTTTGGTTGTGTTACAGGGGCAGATAAATTTATAGAAGTTGATTCATTTAAACAGAAACTACTAGAGAGGATATCTAATAAAGAACAATAAGATGGTATGATGTAAAGAATCATAATCAGAGTGATTGAAAATCTATAGATTACCATTTAAAATATTCACATTAGAGTGGAGGACGCATAGATTAGCTATGGGTTTGTATTGCAGAATTTCACTTTGCTTACAATAAATGAACAAGGGGTGGAACAATTCATTGATAGAACTTCAAATAAAAATTAGCAATTGATTAAGAGTTTGCAGATTAGTAATATTGGTTTATATTGGAAGAGTTAGGGAGGTATTCAGTTTTCTGAATCTCTATTCGAAAAGGAAATACCAAAGCATGATTATCTATTTAGAATCTCCTTATAAAGTAAGGTTGTACAACCACCGAAATAGAGTGAGAATCTCCCAGACTTCAAATTTGATTTAGATTTGCAATCATTTGACATCCAATTATCGAAGCCTTAACTTTAACAAATTATCAATCTTGCACACTATTTGAATTCTTACAATAGAGCTAAGATCAAATTTTAGAAGTAATAGTTGATGATCTAACCATTGGATTAAAAGGATCAAAGACGAATTAAACAATTATTGTAATCAGTACAATTGGATAAAAAATATAAAGATGGACTCAATAAGGATTAAAAATAAGAGCTTTGCGCCATTTTAGAGAAAACTTAGATTGAAGAAGTAAAACCAATAGTGTTAGAAGTTATCAAAGAGCAACAATTTGAAGACATGAAATAAAAGGCTTTGAAGAAGAAATAACCCTAAGGATTCTTATAAAATTGGTTCGGAAAAGGCAAATAGCAACAATAAAATGAAACTCCAACTCTTCTAGAAGAAGAATCAGAGGAAATCTAAAAATTCTTATAGTAAAATTTCTCATAGGATGACTCTTTATAACTAAATCAAGGGAAGGCCACGTAAATAGTAGTGAATGGCAAAATGAGACAAGGAACTATAATTTTAAGCAATCCTAGACAACAAAAAGTGGATCAAATTAAAATTATATTCTAAGATCTAAATTGCAATTTAAAATCAGATAGGAATCTAAAAGTAGATCTATCTTTAATTGATATCATTGTTCTATTCAACGATTAACAATTTCTAACAAATACTAGCAATGATAATTCAAAACCTATATTCTTATTGAATTACAACTTAATTGAATCTACCACTACGTAAACTTAATTAGAAACAAGATCCTCTAAACTGAGATTTCACCCAGACTTAATTACAGTACTAAACGATTTCAGAAATGTCGACTTGAAGTCAAATCAGATCAAAAATATGGCCACTGATAGAATTCAAGAAATGAAACAGAATGCACAAGCAGCCTTGGCTAATTAAGTCATCGTTGAAAAGAATAGATGGGTTAATATAACAATGGATCAATTCTATTTTGAAATCCCCATAAATAACTCATAAGAATCTTGGCTATTTTGTCCAGGTTTAGTAAGCATTAATAGTAGCATCGTGAATGGTTAAGAGTTGTTCAAAGTGTAAATTTCAAACATAGGATTGAAATATCTATCTTAAACTCAATATAGTGTAATTGACAATTTTGCTATTCTTCTTGATTTATAGTTACCAAATCAAAAAAACCAAAATATCATTGTGAATGCCAAGATCCAAGACATTATCACCAATTTGAATCCATAGATATATCAAAAACTAATAAAAATTGAAGATTGTTTAACTCCTTCAATTAGTGCTTAAGAATACAAAAAGTAAAATAAGTCAGAAAATATTGAAAACAAAATGTTAATTGAGAATGTTATTGACATGGGACCACTCTACATCAAGGAAGGTCCATTGAATTAATGGATTAAATACACTTGTGTAATGGATGGGTCTAATTTATACTTTTATACAAATCCTAAATCCTAATAACCTATCTACATCAAATATGTAAAAAATTCATCAATCGTTGAAAAGGGAATCGATGAATTTAAAATGAATATTCTCATAATAGCAAATGAGAATAATTCATTTGAAATTGGTATATAAAATTAAAATCAGATTCAAGATCTGATCCAAAAGATCTCATCTTGTAATGATTTAGAGAAATAATTGCTTAAACAATTAGAGAATGAATAAGATAAATAATAATTAGAACTCATTGAGTTTAAGAAGTTCATTAATTTTACTATATCAGTTGTCTAAATTAATTTATAAGATTCAAATTCTAAATAATTTCTAGTTCTGAAAACTAATGATTTGTCTCTTAGAATGAAGGTGCACTCTGAATTCTTGTAGGTTCAAATTTCTCTTTCAGGATTGCAACTACAAGATAATCTAAGATCATACTGTAAATAGGAATTAAGTAATCTCATTATATCAGAAAAAGAGAATGGAGAACTTATTGAAATACTGTTTCATTAAACTAAGAGGATTTCAAAAAATTATAAGGATGTTGATAAGTAAATAGAATTGAAATTTGGAAAGTTGCACGTCAATTTCAAAAGTGAGACAATTGCATATTTGTAATAATTCATTGGCTATAAAAAAAAAGATAATTAAAAGGATTAATCATTTGATAAAATAGAACAAGAGTTTTTGGAAGCTGAAAAACGATTTCTATTATTAAAGATGAATGTGTAGATCAATCAAATCAGCTTAACTATCATTCATGAAATTACCAAATTGCCATTTTTAGATATTCAATTTTAGGATTCTGCTATCGAAATACTAAAGTATCAAGATGAATTATAAATGTAAGTTAATTTAGGCAATCTATAAATCAATGATTTGACCAATAATCCTTATACATTGACCAAAGAGGAAGATTACCATTTGATTAAACCTAACTAAATTTTGGGAATCAAATAAAAGGGTCAATCTCTTTTATTTGTTAAAATCATCTTAATAGAACCGCTATCCAAAAAAGCATAATTGAATCGAGATATCATAAGCATTGATGCAAAAATAAGTTAAATTGTGACTGATTATCAATAATAGCCCATTCTCAGAATTATTGATTATATTCAAAATTTGAAGGAACCTTTCATAAATCCTTATTCGTTTTAAGTTTAGGGATATCATATTGAAAATATCTTAAAATAGTTTGTGTAACCAAGTATAATTATTGTTGAACCCTCCAAAGATGAAGCAATTAAGATTACTAATAATCCTCCCAGACTAAAGTTAAAGGTGGAGATTGACAATCCTTAGATTATCATAAGAAACAAATTTTCAAATGAATTCATGATTCTCAATTTAGGAATAATCAGTGTTAGTAACATAAAGTAATAGATCAACTCATTTTATAAGGACATTTATACAATATAAATCACTCAATTAAACATCACTGGAGAGTGTGACAGTGAGAAATCTATCATTGCAAGTGATTTCAATTTGTCATTGACTGTCACTGTACCTGATTTAGTCAAATACTATAAATAGATCAGTAACCATGTTGATGAAGCATTCTATGTTAATTGTGAATTGAGCTAATTTATTCTAAACGTAGATAGAAATACTGTAAAATTGATCAATAGATTAATAATATATAATTTTACTCTAAATGATTCATTTAATCAATATGTATTGCTTAATACTGAGAAATCAAATTAAATAAATTAAGAATAATCGAAAATAATATTAAAGTAGGATGTTTAGAAGAGAGTTAGAAATTAGGATTATTTTATGAAATTGAAACTGAAAATTATTAATATTTCTATATTCTTATGTTTGCATAGACCATTAATTAGATTGTCTATAGTGGATAGCAATATAGAATTTAATATGAAGAAGGACGATAAAAAAGAAATAGTCATCGACATATCCTCATTCAATTCATGTGTATATGAGTAGGTTGATGCATATTATGTCAGTAAACCTCTAATAGGAATTCAAGTGGAGAAGAAATATGATGATCTACATAATTTAAGGTAATTAATAGAGAATGCTTCTAATTCCAATAAGGAGTCAGGTAAGATTGAAATTTATATCAATCCCACCTAAAACTAGACCCATAATAAACTCTATTTAAAATTTGAATCATTTTTACTTACCATCTAAACGAAGATAATTCTATAGACTCTGACAATATTTGAGGGAGAGGAGTTAACTCGATTCGTAAATACACAGTTATAGGAACATTAGTTGAAATATGATGAATATTTGAGAAGCTAATAAAAGGAAGAAGAGGTTCAGCCAACAGATTCCCAAATATTGATTACCTTGGGTGATGTAATTATTGGAGTTCCTTCAAATGAGGACTCAATTCTTACATTTACTGGTAAATTCAATATTATTTTGAATACACAGGACACTGTGAGTTCTGATGAACTGCTTTGTTTAATTAAAGAAAAGGGTTTGAGTTATAATGATTAAAATGAGATGAACTACAAAATCAAATCATCAGTATCGGTCGAACAGGTGCAAGCATATGTGGCATCAAAGCAATAATTGTATAGTTAATAATTCAACCAAATTGAAAATAAAAGGTAAATCATTTGGCCATTCACTATGCTCTTAAATCAGAGTTAATAATTAGTGTTATCCGAAGACTAGGATACTCTTGTTGAAAAACAGACTATACGATTGTCATTAAGTCCATTTGAATTCAGGATTGCTTTCACTGATGTCCTATTTATATAAAATCAGATCAATAACTAATTGCAAATTATAAATGAAT